TCGTTCTAGAATATCATAAAAGACATTTTCCTGGCCTATATTGCCTCAAAAAAAAAAGTTGGAAAAATGGCCATTTTTCGACCAAAACCATGGGTTAACCAATTGGGAAAAATGTCAATTTTTCCACTTTTTGGACTTCTTGTTTTTATAGCCTAGAAAGGCGTTTTTTCGTTTTAGAATATCATAAAAGACATTTTCCTGGCCTATATTGCCTAAAAAAAAAAAGTTGGAAAAATGGCCATTTTTCGACCAAAACCATGGGTTAACCCCTTGGGAAAAATGTCAATTTTTCGACTTTTGGGACTTCTTGTTTTATAGTCTAGAAAGGCGTTTTTGCGTTCTAGAATATCATAAAAGACATTTTCCTGGCCTATATTGCCCCAAAAAAAAAGTTGGAAAAATGGCCATTTTTGGACCAAAACCATGGGTTAACCCCTTCGGAAAAATGTCAATTTTTCCACCTTTTGGACTTCTTGTTTTTATAGCCTAGAAAGGCGTTTTTTCGTTCTAGAATATCATAAAAGACATTTTCCTGGCCTATATTGCCTGAAAAAAAAAAGTTCGAAAAATGGCGATTTTTGAAGCAAAACCATGGGTTAACCCCTTGGGAAAAATGTCAATTTCGCGACTTTCTGGACTTCTTGTTTTTATAGCCTAGAAAGGCGTTTTTTCGTTGTAGAAAATCATAAAAGACATTTTCCTGGCCTATATTGTCTAAAAAAAAAAGTTGGAAAAATGGCGATTTTTGGACCAAAACCATGGGCTAACCCCTTGTAAAAAATGTCAATTTTGCGACTTCTTGGACTTCTTGTTTTTATAGCCTAGACAGGCGTTTTTTCGTTCTAGAATATCATAAAAGACATTTTCCTGGCCTATGTTGCCTCAAAAAAAAAGTTGGAAAAAATGGCCATTTTTGGACCAAAACCATGGGTTAACCAATTGGGGAAAATGTCAATTTTTCGACTTTTTGGACTTCTTGTTTTTATAGCCTAGACAGGCGTTTTTTCGTTCTAGAATATCATAAAAGACATTTTCTTGGCCTATATTGCCTAAAGAAAAAAGTTGGAAAAATGGCCATTTTTGGTCCAAAACCATGCGTTAACCCCTTGGGAAAAATGTCAATTTTTCGTCTTTTTGGACTTCTTGTTTTTATAGCCTAGAAAGGCGTTTTTTCATTCTAGAATATCATAAAAGACATTTTCCTGGCCTTTATTGCCTAAAGAAAAAAGTTCGAAAAATGGCCATTTTTGGACCAAAACCATGGGTTAACCCCTTGGGAAAAATGTCAATTTTGGGACTTTTTAGACTTCTTGTTTTTATAGCCTAGGAAGGCGTTTTTTTGTTCTAGAATATCATAAAAGACATTTTCCTGGCCTATATTGCCTCAAAAAAAAAAGTTGGAAAAATCGCCATTTTTGGACCAAAACCATGGGTTAACCAATTGGGAAAAATGTCAATTTTTCGACTCTTTGGACTTCTTGTTTTTATAGCCTAGACAGGCGTTTTTTCGTTCTAGAATATCATAAAAGACATTTTCCTGGCCTATATTGCCTAAAGAAAAAAGTTGGAAAAATGGCCATTTTTGGACCAAAACCATGGGTTAACCACTTGGGAAAAATGTCAATTTTGCGACTTTTTGGACTTCTTGTTTTTATAGCCTAGAAAGGCGTTTTTTCGTTCTAGAATATCATAAAAGACATTTTCCTGGCCTATATTGCCTAAAAAAAAAATTTGGAAAAATGGCAATTTTTGGACCAAAACCATCGGTTAACCCGTTAGGAAAAATGTCAATTTTTCGACTTTTTGGACTTCTTGTTTTTATTGGCTACAAAGGCGTTTTTTTGTTCTAGAATATCATAAAAGACATTTTCCTCGCCTATATTGCCTAAAAAAAACAAACTTGGAAAAATGGCCATTTTTGGACCAAAACCATGGGTTAACCCGTTGGGAAAAATGTCAATTTTTCGACTTTTTGGACTTCTTGTTTTTATAGCCTAGGAAGGCGTTTTTTCGTTCTAGAGTATCATAAAAGACATTTTCCTGGCCTATAGTGCCTAAAAAAAAAAGTTGCAAAAATGGCCATTTTTGGACCAAAACCATGGGTTAACCCCTTGGGAAAAATGTCAATTTTTCGACTTTTTGGACTTCTTGTTTTTATAGCCTAGAAAGGCGTTTTTTCGTTCTAGAATATCATAAAAGACATTTTCCTCGCCTATATTGCCTAAAAAAAACAAAGTTGGAAAAATCGCCATTTTTGGACCAAAACCATGGGTTAACCCCTTGGGAAAAATGTCAATTTTGCGACTTTTTGGACTTCTTGTTTTTATAGCCTAGAAAGGCGTTTTTTCGTTCTAGAATATCATAAAAGACATTTTCCTGGCCTATATTGCCTAAAAAAAAAAAGTTGGAAAAATGGCCATTTTTGGACCAAAACCATGAGTTAACCCCTTGGGAAAAATGTCAATTTTTCGACTTTTTGGACCTCTTGTTTTTATAACCTAGAAAGACGTTTTTTCGTTCGAGAATATCATCAAAGATATTTTCCTGGCCTATATTGCCAAAAAAAAAAAAGTTGGAAAAATGGTCATTTTTGGACCAAGACCATGGGTTAACCCCTTGTAAAAAATGTCAATTTTGCAATTTTTGGACTTCTTGTTTTTATAGCCTAGAAAGGCGTTTTTTCGTTCTAGAATATCATAAAAGACATTTTCGTAGCCTATATTGCCTAAAAAAAAAAAAGTTGGAAAGATGGCCATTTTAGGACGTAAACCATGGGTTAACCCCTTAGGAAAAATGTCAATTTTTCGACTTTTTGGACTTCTTGTTTTTATAGCCTAGAAAGGCGTTTTTTCGTCCTAGAATATCATAAAAGACATTTTCCTGGCCTATATTGACTAAAAAAAAAAGTTGGAAAAATGGTCATTTTTGGACCAAAACCATGGGTTAACCCCTTGTAAAAAATGTCAATTTTGCGACTTTTTGGACTTCTTGTTTTTATAGCCTAGAATGGCGTTTTTTCGTTCTAGAATATCATAAAAGACATTTTGCTGGCCTATATTGCCTAAAAAAGAAAAAGTTGGAAAAATGGCCATTTTTGGACCAAAACCATGGGTTAACCCCTTGGGAAAAATGTCAATTTTTTGACTTTTTGGACTTCTTGTTTTTATAGGCTAGAAAGGCGTTTTTTCGTTCTAGAATATCATAAAAGACATTTTCCTGGCCTATATTGCCTAAAAAAAACAAAGTTGGAAAAATGGCCATTTTTGGACCAAAACCATGGGTTAACCCCTTGGGAAAAATGTCAATTTTTCGACTTTTTGGACTTCTTGTTTTTATAGCCTAAAAAAGGTGTTTTTTCGTTCTAGAATATCATCAAACACCTTTTCCTGGCCTATATTGCCTAAAAAAAAAAAGTTGGAAAAATGGCCATTTTTGGACCAAAACCATGAGTTAACCCCTTGGGAAAAATGTTAATTTTTCGACTTTTTGGACTTCTTGTTTTTATAGCCTAGAAAGACGTTTTTTCGTTCGAGAATATCATCAAAGACATTTTCCTGGCCTATATTGCCAAAAAAAAAAAAAGTTGGAAAAATGGTCATTTTTGGACCAAGACCATGGGTTAACCCCTTGTAAAAAATGTCAATTTTGCAATTTTTGGACTTCTTGTTTTTATAGCCTAGAAAGGCGTGTTTTCGTTCTAGAATATCATAAAAGACATTTTCGTGGCCTATATTGCCTAAAAAAAAAAAAGTTGGAAAAATGGCCATTTTTGGACCAAAACCATGGGTTATCCCCTTAGGAAAAATGTCAATTTTTCGACTTTTTGGACTTCTAAACGCTAAACCTGGGCTCCTGCATAGGTCCCGTAAATTTACGTGCTATGTTTCCCGTAAAAAACGTTTTATGCAACACGTTCAATTTCTGATGCATAAACGACACTTAAGTGAACACTTACGAAAATCGTAAGTGCAACCACTTAAGTGAATTCCCTAAGTGGACCACTTAAATGATTTCATGCAACTCACTTAAGTTACGAGTGCACGTACGTATACCCGTAGTTGTTACGGGCGTTTTATGCAACCGGGCCCAGGCAACGACTTAAGGATATCGAACTACAAAGATGGCTAAGGTGAAATAAGTAACGACACTAGAAAACTTGCTAACCAAAGCAACAAAATGAGAACCTACCGGTTATTCAAAACGATAGACAATTCCAAATGTGAAGATTACCTACATCGGGTCACCCATACGCGACACAGAATAACTCTAACAAAAACTGCGACTAGGCCACCACAAATTAAGGACCCCTTTGTTTTTTTTTTTTATACCTAGTCCGTATTTTATACCCAGTCCGCAGTCCGTAGTCCGCAGTCCGCAGTCCATATTTTATACTGACCGGTTGTTCAACTGTCGCGTCCCTGTTGAACCTATGAGAACTGATAGAAATGACGTGCGTTCGGAAGCTTGATAATATAGTATGAAGCGATGCATCATGGGATATATGAAATTCCTTATTTCCCCACCCCTATATTATCTCCAGTCCCGAAATGATCCTCATTTTTTTCGCGTCGAACCCGAAATGATCCCCAAGGTTAGGGTTAGGGCTACTATCCCTGAGGACAAATGGGGACTACTCGTAGTCTAAGTTACTTTACATGTTATCTGAAGGTATTTTAGTTAGATTTTTTATGTTGGTATACAATTGGTGTACCGTATATGAACGCGGGTTTATTACTAGTGCAGATAAGGGACGGACCATTAGAAAACTTATTGGGAGGGTGGGGGGGCGGACGAAGTACAAAAAAAAAAATCGCGCAAGGGAAAATTAAATGAAAAAAAAATTCTTGCACGCCAGTTAACCCTAAAAAATGTTCATGCTATGGCCTAAAACAAAAATAATACAAGGAATTTGATAACGAAAAACAATTCCTGCGGCTCGAAAATTCCCCTCCCCCCCATAACTTTTCTAATGGTCCGTCCCTAAAGCCGAGTACCTCTGGGGCCAAGCAGGTAGAATGCTACACGTGGAAAATCATTATGTCTTGAAATGGCACTTTCGTTCAAGGTATGTATCTGAACAATCTCCTGAATCTCTGGAGTCATTCAAGCAGACAGCATAAATATAGTTCTAATTGTGCTTCCTGTTTAGTTTTCTAACTTGCTAGGCACCGTCTATCGGCAAGGTAATATTGTTTTCAATGAGGATGGCGACTGTATTTTGAGTCCAGTAGGCAACAGAGTATCTGTCTTTGACCTTAAAAAGTAAGTGGCATAAACATTTGTTATCAAGGATCTGGATAACCTAGCCTCAGTAATATTTCTGCACTGTGAAAGTTAACATGATGTTAGCTTAAGTTGATCTAACTCATTCTTATGTCAGGGTAGCTTGTTGGAGCTACTACGAGCTCATTGAACTTCAACTTTTTTGTTGCTGCTCGTTCTTGTTGTCGGCCGTGTTGTATGTTCAAGCTCCGAATGACTGAAGTTTTGTTACATGTATTGGCCCCTTGATTGCAGGTCTCACGTACATTGGTGAGACCATCAAACCTTAGCACACATCTGTCTAAACACAAGAGGGCAACAAGAAATGGTAATGTCAACAATCACATTGTTGAACATCATTTACAGACAAAACATTGAATCGACTGGGGCTCTATGACATGCATTATGTATTCTACAGACTACTATCAATGACTCACTTTAGAAAGCTGGTTTACTGACTTAATTGGAACAAATGCCACTGAATCACATTCAGCAGTTACCAGCACCATATAGGTGAATTATTGATGGCTCAAGCAAATCTGACTACCACAGAATGACTGGGCAACTGACAATTTGACTGAGAATAAACAACAGATAATCTGTGACAAAAGATGGATCAAAACTGACCAAGCACAGTCTTCATAGTCAATAACATCTTGGCGTAATTAACTGACAGATGACCAATAACATCATGACCTACTTTAGTAATTGACCAATCAGGTCGATAACCAGAGTTTAGTACAAACAACTGACATAATACAACTCACTTTGACTCCGAAGATGGTTACCACAAAGGTTGTTCAAGCATCAGTCACTGTCAACAACAGTCGACCTATTCAGGACTATACTTGTCCAGACTATCATGATTCAGCCGCCATTGTTTTGGTTTTCAAAGCCGGCGCTTTTTGCTACTAGTGGGCTATAACATATAGCCTAGTAGTAGCTCAACCAATCAGAACACAGCATTGATAATAGACCGCTAGTTGGCTTTTACTAATATTTAGATATGCAAGCATTATAGACATGATTAAAGACTTAAGGTGTGATATGCTGGAAATGAGAGGAAGACACTTTAGATTAACACTTATGTACAAACTAACTCATTGTCTTGTTGATATAGATAGCTGAAAATATTTAATTCAACATTCCGGGAGACACACGTGCCATATGCAAATAAGGACATTTTTAAATGTTTGTATTTTCCAAGAACTATAGCTGAGTGGAACTGCCTCCCCGGGGCCATTGTATCATCAACTTCATTGGAGTCTTTGAAATCTAATTTATCAGCTTTTCTTAAGTAGTAGTTACATAGTTACTGTTATGAAATTTTATATCATTATTTTATATTATTTTACGATTGGTGTGATGTCTTAGCGATTTTTACCGACCTAATATATGTTGATGCTGTAGATGTAGATGGAATGATGTGTATGTTGTGGGTCAATTTTATCAGTGGTTTCAATTTTCCTTTGTTTCAAACTCATTATACATTACCATACCCAAAAACAAAAGAAAAGAAACATCAAATGGAGGATAAAACTGAGCCAGAACATATAAAACTGAAAATTGGAGACTGTTCCAGAGTGGGATTGTGCTAGAATATTAATTTTGTATGGATCCTCTCAAACTGATAATTTTGGTTGGAAAAGCAATAGTAGCGATATTGGAGTTAATCTTGTAGAATATTGTCAGATTTTTGATTGTGCGGTGTTCCTTCAACAATTGCCAGTTTTGATCTGCAACTGTAGCAGGAATGCATAGCAGCATTCATTCAAAATAAATCATGCACCGCTTCTTTGGGAAAACTCAATAAAAGAAATATCCTTGATGATACAACGTGCAAAGAAAGTAGTGTCCGATAGCCCGCATGCTAGTTGATTTTGCTATTGGGCTAGAGAATTCTGTTTTTAACTTGCCCGACGGGCAAGTGATGTTTTTTGAGGAATTCAAATAACAGAAGAACTGTGAAATCAATTCTGCTCATCAAAAAGCTTTTGGGGCTGGTTGAAATGATATCTGTGCTAGTAAATGCTAGCTTCATGCAGCTTGCCCGAATGGCAAGCTGTAAAAATGATTTTCTTTGCACTCTGTGATATGTGGTGGCCATTCAACAAATGTTAGTCCTCAATTTGATGGACCAGCTGATGTGGGCCTGCAACTTGATTGTGACCCCACATAATGCGAGGATTACATAAAATATTTTAATTTTCACGTTCTTTTTGTTCTATTAGTAACAGATCATGGACTCTACCTTTTGAAAACCATAAGAATATTTCAAGAATTAGTTTGTGTCCAGATGGCAAGATACTCATTGCAGTTGATGAAGGTTTGTATGGCAGAATTTGGTAGCACATAAGTGACAATAAGATATTTGGTACAAATACAGTGCCCTGCATTTATGTTTTTTTTCTCATGAGCAAAGCTCATCCTATTGTTGCTCAGGTGGTGGCAGAATTAAGCGGGGAGTATTTATAACACTGATAAAACACTAACGTTTATTTCTTTACATGTTTGGTAATATTATTATGTGTTTAAGATAGCAAGGACACTTCTTTCTTGTTGCAGATGGAAGTTGCATTGTAGCCAATCTTAAGAGGAAAACTGTTCTTCATCATTTTACCTTCAAAAAGCCAGTTTTTGATTTAAAATTTTGTCCAAATGGAAGGTAAGTAAAACAGCTGAATACACCGTATTCACAAATGCCAGACATGCGGGAAAAAACTGGTGCCTAGTCATGAAAGCGAGGCGTTGGAGGATAAACAAAAATTGCAAGTGAAGACTTTCAGTGAACTTGCAGAGTGTTAAGCGCGGATTCCACCTAAAATAACTTTGTACGGACTTCTTTTTAAATACAATTACGTAGGATGTCTTCTGCCTTTAATGTTTAGTAGTGATTTTCTGTTTGCAATCAAAAGAGATGCATATATCTTCAAGGAAACAGGATGATTTTGTAGGTTTCTGAAGCATCAGAAGCTCGACAAGTGGGCTATGGCTGGATAAAAGCGGCAAAATGTTGGCCCAAACCTCACATTGAAACTGAGTACGAAAGCCAGAACACTACAATTCTGTAAAACGGAAATAAAAACAGATATTGGTGGCGAGAAAAAGAGAAATAAGCGACGGATATATGGCCTACTTGTTAATGGAAGAGACCTCCACCATTACACAAAACAGGTCAAGTCGAGAGCGGGTGAAAGATTCATTCACAATGCTCATTTATTCATGTCAGTGTCATTTTATACATATCTATGTATATACTTGTATTCTGGGTAGAACGTATTCCGTAGAGCGCTCAATTCATTTAATTGAAGAGCATTGATTATTAATAATCACAGGAGTCATTTAATTGAAGAGCATTGATTATTAATAATCACAGGAGTCATTTAATTGAAGAGCATTGATTATTAATAATCAGCAATAAACGATCAATGATTACTCCTGAAGCCTGAACTCCTGTGATATCTATGTATATATGTATGTCTGCATTTACAACTTCCTTTGGATCATATTCATTCCATCACTTTGGAGTGAATTGTTACTGAGGTACGTTGGCAGAGCTTAGTAAAAATCTCATGATTTCTTTGTCATTGCAAAATAACTAAAAATAATTTTATTAAAATTAGAAGCTGTATTTTGTGAATCTTATGGCTTGCTATTTGCCTGGTCTCCTTTAGGGAATTATCTCAGAGAGCTCTTGCTAAAACAGTATTGTAAAGCTTACATTTTACTAGGTTAAACTTTTAATTTTCTTTTAAGGCAATGTTTGTGTCAGGAATGAACACGGCAAGCTTCTGTTTCGAATAATTAAATTCGAGTCTGGATCCGTTTAAGAAGACCATCATTTTATTTATTTATGTATTCTTCAACTTTAAAATATTATGAAACATTAAGTTAAAACTCTTAACAGCCAAAGATAAGAAACACGAAATTACTCGCTGAAATGATATGTGGCCGGCTTACCGAGTCTGCCGAGTAACATGTTGAAATTTTGAGTGTACTCCACTTGATCGCTCCTGCATTTATACTCCTTCATCGATAAAGACCAGAGAATAACGTCCTGGCAAACAAAAAACAAACATAACTTCATCCTCCTGTTGGAAACCCCAGTCACCTCTTCTTTCCTGTAAGTTCTTCCGGTTTTGCCAAGAACCATCCCTTGATGTTTAGCAGGGGTTTGCTTTCATTTTTTCCATCTCGACTTGAACTCATTGTGTTTCAGTTCAACGGCAGACGCCTTTGACAAATCCATTGATATAACCGCCCACGATCTCTTTATTGTCTAGACTGCACCTCCTGTCCTCAGTCAGCCTAAGTAAAGATGTCTCACAGCTAGGCCATATATCTGTCGCGACGGATACTGTCCTGTCCTAATCAGTGATTCAATTTATTATTTCTTGGGTTTTATTAGTTTTTTCTTGCCACCAAGATTTGTTTATATTTCTGTTTCACCGAATTGCAGTGACCTGGCTTTCGTACTCGGTTTCAGTGTGAAGTTTGGGCCAACATGTTTGCTGCTTTTCTCCAGCCATTGCCCACTTGTCAAGCTTCTGATGCTTCGGAAACCTACAAAATCATCCTGTTTCCTTGAAGATATACGCGTCCCTTTTGATTGCAAACAGCAAATCACTACTAAACATTAAAGGCAGAAGACATCCCACGTAATTGTATTTAAAAAGAAGTCCGTACAAAGTTATTTTAGGTGGAATCCGTGCTAAACACTCTGTAAGTTCACTGAAAGTCTTCATTTGCAATTTTTGTGTATCCTCCAACGCCTCGCTTTCATGACTAGGCACCATTTTTTTCCTGCGTGTCCGCCATTTGTGAATACGGTGTATACCAGTATATTGTACATGTTCTCTTTGGCGTTCAGAGCTTTGTTTTGTAACAAAGTCTTCTATACTTCATGGAGGTTACTTAAGGCAACACTTAATATAAATATGTTAGTTATTAACTCTGGAGGGTTGCAGATATGTAGGTACAGATGCAGTGTCTTATTAACTCATTATTGTGTCACAGCTTTAAATGGACCTTTGAAGATTTTTTTGACAAAAGTGAATAATGATGATATACCCAAAGATTGCCAGATACTGCCGTGCTGCTAGCAGAGACCTGTTCCCTGGTATTCTTGCCTGCCAAATACCAGAAAAAAGAGGCTTCTGCTAGCAGGGAAATTGCCAAGCTGACAGGCTGGTTTGAGGATTTCATGATGAGGTAGAGCATTTTAGAGCAAGAAAAGAAGAAATTAAAGTGGTGTGGCATCTTTGTCAAATATCACCCAAGAGCCATCTCAAATCACTCAAAAGTAAAAGGGAAAATGAGGATACTATATAGTTCAAGTGTGACTTAATGATTTTTTGACCCTTAAACATTGATTATTGGTATATCTCTGCTAGATACATTGCAGTTACTTATGGAAAGCATGTGCAGGTGTGGCATGCTCCTGCCCACAGCAAAGAGTTTGCACCATTTTCTGTTCATAGAACATATACTGGTCTCTATGATGAAACTGTTTGTATTGACTGGTCATCAGACTCCAGGTTAGTACATCATGATATATATGAGCCTAAATGATCAGGTTGAGAAGCTACAAATATTTTATATATGATATCTTAGTATTCTAAAGTTATTAGGCCTTCAGTCGTCAAGCTTGTTTGGGACTATGTCAATTAAAACATGAGCAGCTTACAAAGAAATTTCAAATTTCATGACTGCAGTGTATTTTAACTTAAGTTGGCAACAAATATATCTGAGCATTAAGCCTAAGGTGACTGCAAACCACCCGACCTGCCTCAAGCAAGCAAATTTGAAGTATAAATTAGCGTTTTAATGTTGTGAATTGATTCTTGTTAGTGTTCAAATTTATGTTCAATTTTTGCAGGTTTTTTGTGGTGGGAAGCAGAGACATGACAAGTCGCATCTTTTCGTTATTTCCAATGAATGGTTTTCTCCCGGTCACCTTGTCTGGCCACCGGAACACTGTAGTAGGATGTTATTTTGCTCAAAACTCTTTGGATGTATCCTTGTTAACTGCCACTTGTGTGATGTACTTGTGAAGGTGGCCATTATAGAAATTTAAGGCAAATTGTGTTTATATCTAGAAATTTTTTTGTTTATTGTGGGCGACAAAAGGAGCCTGCCACCTATTCTTGGTCAGCAGCAATAGATTTTTCTCGATTCTGTTGAAATTCTTGAGATGCCCATGTTCTACCAATTAAATGCATGGTATGTCGCCGCGAGGGCCCTGGGGTTGAGTTTTCAACAAATCATTATCGCAAGCACACGTAATTCAGGTACACAAGTACTGTACTAAAATGGTAAACTTTTTGATTCGCCTTGCTGGCCTAGAATCTATTTACCGAGGAAAATGAAAGTAGAGCCTGATCTCAATTTAGTGTGGGACAAGTTTTTGGTAAGTTACGAGTGCTAGCAAAGTATAGAAATCAATGTAACTTAAGTTTATTCAGGTCTCACTATAGTGCATGGTTTTTACATTTTTATACGTTTCCCAGCATGTTAGGTCACTTGCCATCTGAAAGCTTCAATAAGCTTTAAACTCCAGTGGCAATTTAAGCTGTCTCATTGTGTTGTATTGCATATCAGTGGCCTTTGGTCATTGTACACAGATGGAATATTCGATTGAAAAATAAGACTTTGTGCATGACTGTACACACTCATTACCGTTTCAATATATAATGAATCTTTGCTGGCGAATACAGACGTCTCCTCTCTCCTTACCACTCGGGGAGCAACTGCGAATAAAATCGTTAAATTAAATATGTCTTGTTTTCTGTTTTGTTCAATCCATTTTTCATGATCTGCAGTGACTCCTTTTGTTGACAATATAACTAAAGGGCATTCACCTACATTTGAAAGGATTTTCACCCCCACTTCCTAGCCAATGGCTACTGCTAGTCTAGAAATTTTGAGAGGCAATACTACAAGCTATGAGTGCCTTTACATTTAATTCAGTACATTTGTCTTAACATCATTAAATCAGATATATAGTGTGAGTCAGGATGGTGTTTTACTTTGCTGGAAATGCAGTACTTGGCTGGAGAGTGTGCACCTTGCTGAACTTTTCCCCAGTCAGGAAGGTAAATAATTAGTAAGTAAATAATTATTTCAAAAGTAGGTTGAGTTTGATTGTCCAGGTGAACGTAGTCCTGAATAGGACTGTTGTTGTTGACAGTGACTGACGTTTCGACAAATGTGCGGTAGTCATCTTCAGAGCCAAAGTGAGTTGTATCACGTCAGTTGATGGTATTATCCTCTGGTTATTGATCTGATTGGTCAGTTACGTCGCAATGTTATTGGTCGTCTGTCAGTTAAGCCGTGATGTTATTGGCTATGAAGACGATAGGAGAGATAGGAGATAGGAGAGATGCGTCAAATTATCGCCCAATTTCTATTCTGCCAACAATGAGTAAAATTCTGGAAAAAGTCGTCCATTCCCAATTCTATGACTTTCTGAATTCAAATAATCTCCTTTCAAGCAAACAATTTGGTTTCCGTCCCAAACTGTCTATAACATCGGCTCTCACCAGTTTTGCAGATGAGGTCCTATTGCATATGGAGAGTGGAGAACTGTGCGGTGCAGTGTTCCTAGATCTGACCAAGGCATTCGATACCGTTGACCATACGATCTTGCTATCTAAATTGTCGGCTATCGGTGTCTCGCCCAGCACTCTACAGTGGTTCAAGTCTTACCTGAATCATCGTAAACAGCGGACTGCCTGTAGCGATGCTGTGTCTGACCCTCTCCCGATGACCTTTGGGGTGCCACAGGGGAGCATTCTAGGACCGCTTCTCTTCTTGGTTTATATTAATGACCTTCCGCTGGTTATAAAGAATTGCGAAGTGACTTTGTATGCTGATGACACGGTCCTGTACTACTTTGCTAAAGAGCCACACCTGTTAGAAGAGGCACTGAATGATGATCTCTTGAAAGTTGCCCAGTGGTTACATGGAAATAAGTTAACTTTAAATCTTACTAAGACGAAATCCATGATTATAGGCAGTAATAGGAAACTTGTTGGTATTTCCTCTTTCACGTTATCTATTTTTGACACTGATATAAATTCTGTAAGTAGTTTTAAATATTTGGGAGTTATGTTGTCTTCAACTTTCACATGGTCCGACCATATTGAGTATATTTCATGTAAGGTTAATAAAAACCTTGGTCTTCTACGTAGGATTAAGTATTATTTACCTTATGATGCCCGGTTACTTTTTTATAATAGCTTAGTGCTACCTATTTTTGATTATGCTGATTTAGTCTGGGGTGACAAGGACAATGTCTCACTTATGAAGGAATTGCAAATTCTCCAAAACAAAGCAGCTAAGTTGATATTAGATAGATCACCTCACTCCTCATCCACCGATGCATTGATTGTCTTGAGATGGCTGAATCTTGAAGAACGTAGGAAATGTCATCGATGTATATATGCATACAAGTGTATTAATGGCCAACTTAATCATTCTTTGGACATTGTAAGAAAGAGTGATATACATTCCTACAATACGCGCAATAACGATACTATCAAGCTCCCCAAAATTAAATATAATTGGGGAAAACAACGTTCGCAGTACCACTGTTTCAAAGACTTTAATGAATTAGAGAGAACTGTAAGAAACTCAGCAAGTTTTCCAATTTTTAAGAAGTGTCTTTTTTCTGCTTTTTATAATTGAGTACTTGTAGTGTGTATGTTTTAATTATTTCTGTAACTCGATTTTAGCTTGAATTATTATTTTTTTTTTAACCTTTTTATATTTTAATTGTATTATATAATATACATCTCGTAATTAGGACCTCTATGTAAACCACTCTTGTGATGGAGCATCCTATTAAAAGATTGTTATTATTATTAAGACTCGTTATCAGTAATTGGTGTGTTTCGATCCGTCTATTGTCACAGGTAAACAGTCGTCTATGGTGCTCCGCAATGCTGAGCACCATTTAAAGATGAAACATCAAATTGACTGGGACTCTGCAACATGTATAACGTACAATTTCTACAGACTACTATCAACGTCTTACTTTAGAAAGCTGGTTTACTAACTTAGAACAAACGCCACTGAATCGTAGCCAACAGTTACCAGCACCGTACAAATGGCTAATTGACAAGATCAAGCAAAACTAACTACGAGAGAATGACAATTTGACTAACAATAGCTGACTGTTTAACTGTGACAACAGACTAATCGAAATGCACCAATAACTGATTACGATTCTTCATAGCCAATAACATCACGGCTTAACTGACAGACGATCAATAACATCGCGACGTAATTGACCAATCAGATCAATAACCAGAGTATAATACCATCAACTGACGTGATGCAACTCACTTTGACTCTGAAGATGACTACAGCACAGGTTGTCGAAACGTCAGTCACTGTCAACAACAACAGTCCTATTCAGGACTATGTTCATCCGGACGATCAAACTCAACCTACTGTTGAAATGACTCCTGGGTTCAAACCTTTCACAGTTTTAAATAATTATTATTAGGTTACCATAATGAAATCTTTGCCACCATTGCATTAGCCGTTGGACACCTTGTTTGCCCCCAAAAGTTTGCATTTGCATTGCTTTTAATCTCTAGAAGTAGTGGAAACATGTTGTTATTGTTATTTTTTAAGGACGTGGTGTGGGGGGGAAGGGTGGCAAACAAGTTTTTTTATGGTCTATGATAAAGTGACAAATTACTGGCATTTTAAATGGAATCAATGGTTAGTTTTTTTTTTTTTTTGGGGGGGGGGGGGTCATTTCCTCATAAGATAACATGACAAAAAAACAGCAACAACAAGGATCAACACCACCACCACTTAACAAGGTCTCCTCTGCAGACTACCCTACAGGAATACTGTTGCTTTTTCTGTTTTCTGCTTCCCAGATATGTAAAGTAGTACTTTATTATTATATGTAGTTCCATTTATATTATAGAAATTAATTTTTTTTGGAATTGCTATTCTTTTCCAGATAGTGAAAATCCAGTTAAGTGGAAGAAGCTCTTCAAGTAAGTAGTAAAGTAGCTGTCTGTCTGCAGAGGCCTTTTTGAGCTGTCTTATCTGTCAGCTGTCTAAAGTGTTTTTTTCTTTGTTTCACTCCAGCTAAGTGCTGAGATCTACTTATGATAATTTGCCGTTAGTTATTTGTTTGGTCCATTGATCTTTAAAAACCAGGCATTTTTACAAGCAAGAAAGTCCTGGCCAGCTGACAACCAGTGCATTCCATAAATCAGCATCTCTTCTTATTGCTGGATTTTCAAGTGGTGTGTTCACATTGCATGAAGTACCAGACTTTGTTCTTATCCATTCATTAAGGTATTCATTAATATTTTTCAATAATTTCTTCTGTCGAGTTGAATTTCCATCCTATACACCAATGAACTATTTTAGTAGAAAATAATCAATGAAAATGAGTGTATTGTGTTTGTCCAGCATATCACAACAGACAATCAAAACAGTGGCAGTGAGCCCTAGTGGGGAGTGGCTGGCATTTGGTTGTAGTAACTTAGGACAGTTGTTGGTGTGGGAGTGGCAAAGTGAAACATATGTACTAAAACAGCAAGGTCACTACTATGACATGAACACTATTTGCTATTCCCAAGATGGAAATTATGTGGCAACTGGTGGAGATGATTGCAAGGTTAGTAGCTACTGCTAACTTTGTGCTTCTCTAAATGATACATGAATAAAATTTATAACACTGTGACTGTTTCTCTGAAAAACCTAGGCATTTAATATATTTGGTCTGGTTTTATTAGGTGAAATCAGGCCAAAGGTGCTTTTTGTTTAGTGGGGTAGGCTCTTTACATTCTTATATCAGACCTGAAAAGAAGAAGAAGACTAAAGAACTGAAGCAGACATAAGTGCTGGCTGTTGTTAGTAAAGAAAACAATTTTTTTGTTTTTGTCACACATATTACATGAACACGGTGGTAACAGAAAAGTGGCAGAGACAGGGAAGATTAAGCTAGAACTATGAAAAAGCCACTGCATTGATTCCAAGGACCTCATCAACAATATGTATCACTGCCGTTTAGTTCAATTGGACACTTGGTGAGCAGGAAGATGTGGTTTCAAACCCTGAGGTCTGTAAACAACTAACATCTGCAAATGGTTATACATTCTAGTCTTGTCAGCTGGGGATGATTAATCTAAAGCCTCATCTCACAACCCTGCGCTTAATCAAGAGTATAGGATGGGTTCCCCAAAAATGCCCTGAGAGGAGTGGTTACTGACAATTTATATACTTTTTACATGAACAATTTACACTAATTACTTCTCAAATGCAAGTTTAACACAAAAAGGTTACAAGAAAATACTGCAGTTGACTGAATAGTTTACTTTCTTGAACTTTCAGGTCAAGCTGTGGAATGTGACGTCTGGTTTCTGTTTTGTAACATTCAGTGAACATACATGTTCGGTGACAGGTGTTATATTCACACCCAACAGTCAAGTTGTGTTGAGTTGTTCCCTGGATGGTACCGTTAGGGCATTTGACCTGAAAAGGTACAAAACTCCATCACTTTTTCTTACAGACTTGGGTGCAGGGCTACCCCCTCTCTGACTCAGTTACATAGACTGACATTATTTAAGTTTAATTAATTTAAATTAATCCGTTAAAAACAGACCTGAACAGGGCATTTGGTGGAACTTGTAGGGAACATAAGAACCATACTAGCTAGTCTACCCAATTATATATAAATTCACCAAGATTACTTAACATCAGGAGAAAACAATCATGTTATTTTCATCTTTCCAGGTACAGAAATTTCCGTACCTGTACTTCTCCTCATCCTGTCCAGTTCTCATGTTTGACTGTTGATAGCAGTGGAGAGGTGGTCTGCTCTGGTTCACTTGATACATTTGAAGTTTTTGTTTGGTCTATGAAAACAGGAAGACTTCTTGAGGTAGCTTGCAGTTCTAAACGTTTTTATTCCAGCAACCTACAAATTGTCTAATTGCCAAAAAACTGATGCTCTGAAGTTTCTAAGGAATTTTCTTTGAAAAATTATCTTTCAGTTGTTTACTCCTTGTTAATTCAACTGTCATGCATATTTTACTTGCATCCCGAGAACCAGTAGAAGTCGTTTGACCTGTTGGATATGTTATGATGTACCACTTAAAGCAACTAGACAATATCATAATTTGGGAACAACAAAATGATCTCTTGCAGGCTCATTGGTTACTAGACAATGGAAATCATGTAGTGTTTTTTGCTTTTTCTCTGCTCATCGTAAATGTCACGTCTGGCTCAAATTAATTGAGTTAAGCACTCTTTAGACAAACAGTCTCTTGTTACTATAATAAATGTATTAATCTTCAGTAAACTGTTCTACTGCTTCACTGACTGGAGTAATACCTCTTGAACAAATTTAAGCAAGTTACAGACAGTCCAAAAATTTGCCTGTCTTATTGTAAGTGGAGGAAGGAAATTCGACCACATAGCTCTAGCTTAATGAGCTTCTCTACTACCAAGGTTAGCGTTAGGGTGAGGGTTAGGGTTAGCCTGCAGAACAAGAAATTCTCAAATGATCAAAATTCCTCTTTTTAGAACAACTAACGGCCAAACATATTTTTATTATAGAACAGTCACCTAACGATAATCAGTGAGCCATTTTAAACGTTGTCTTAAGTTAAGCCTCTTACGTAATTTTTGTCCCTATATTTGATTAGAATTGACTTGTGCTATGTGCAGGCTTCTTTCTTAGACTCGTTTTATTCTTCTTATTGTATTTTGCATTATTTTTGCTTAATCTATTTTCTAGTTTTTATGATGATTTATTCTAACTAAATAGTTCAAACTGTGATATCATGCTTTTATATTTTAGTTTTTATTATTACCTCTGAAAATCCTCCATGGGGAAGTGGTAATAAAGTGTGTATGTATGGTTCTTGCACAAAGTTTTCCGCGAATTATTGTTTGAAATTTTAAACCCCATTGTATTGTACCTTTGCAATAAGACCACTATTCACTTTTTGAACATTTATACGTCATTTCTATGATGTATGAGAGTTTACACACAATGGAAAAGTGTTGTCAATATTGTTAAATATCATGTAGCTCGTAGTGTTTTGCTTTTGCAGGTACTTGCTGGACACGAGGGACCTATTTCTGGACTAGTGTTCAGTTCTTCTCAGCCACTTTTGGTCTCAGGATCATGGGACAAAACTGTTAGACTGTGGAACATGTTTGACAGCAAAGTAACATGGGAAACACTAAATGTGGGATCTGAGGGTTTGTTAATCCGTCTTCTTTTCATACTTTTGATAGTAATCATGTTGCTATGCATACAGCATTGTGTAGAAACTGAGTCCGATATTAACTAACCTCCTGGTGTCAGTAGCCTGCGTAGCAAGCGTTTCCAGGCTATGGTGTCAGCTGTTGGAAATTTGGATAGTACAAGCTTTCCACTGGATAAAATGCTGTCCAGAGGTTATACACCAGCTGGAGATTTATTGACTTTGTAGCAATAGCTAATAGCCCGCAGTGTTAAGAGTTCATGGATGTTCAGTTATCGTCGTCATCTTCATTAGGGAGCTTAACCAACGACGACGACGACGACGACGGCAGTGAAGACGTCGCTAAAAAAATTACGTGCTTTCAGAGTTTATCGCGTCTATTTGGACCCGCTTTATATGTCAAGAGTTGAATTCATAAGGACTTTATCCAGGTTCAAAAAGAGAAAGGAGAATTCGTCTTCGTATGTCCACGTCCTCCATAAAACGTCGCATGAGGAGGTTTTACGTCTTAAGGTGATGTTACACGAGACGATTCACAACGACGATTCTTAGCGCAACACTGTGTTGCAACATTGTTGCAACGTTGTTTCGAATGGTTACAACATTGTTTCAACATTGCAACGCTGTGTTGCGCTAAAAATCGTCGTTGCGAATCGTCCCGTGTAACATCACCTTTAGTCGTGCAGTGGACGTCAAAGAAATGTACTAAAAAGCGTGATGCACGTGCAGAGCTGTTGTTTTGCTTATAAAACCAGTTGCTGTTTGAAGTTGTCGTTGTGGTCTTCGTCGTAGTTGCTTAAGCTCCCTAATATCCTGCCCCTCGTCTCCTCCTTCAAAGCCAAGTGGCTTGTGGGGCATTATTAAGCTTCTTCTATTCCCGTCTCTCCTTTGCAAGCCGCATGTTTACTCCCAGTTGGAAGCTTTTAAAAAGACCTGACTTCTTCCTCTACAGTCCTTCTCCAGATGAATTTGGGACAACTACTTTTTCTTGTACCCTTTGGTGTCCTTTAAGAGGGCTGTAAATATGTTAGTAGATATGGTAATGGTTTCCCCTTGAAGTACGTGACCATTCCAGCCCCATCGTCTTGCAAGAACAGCCCTTGTCCTCCTGCTTGGTCAGTTAAAAGAGCTCGTAGCACTCTTAGTAAAACGTTGTACTTAAGAAGTTAAGTCGAAATCAAGAGCTGGCATATCAATACGATGTCAAGGAGGGTCGTCTGCTGACAGTCTAGGGGAATTGACTTTATATTTAACGGACTCCAAACTCCAAAAGTAACAACTCCAAATTCATCTATGTTGATCACTATCAATTTGCATGGGAGAAGATATATTTTTTCAGTTATTTTGGTGTTTGGTTTCTTTCTTCTATATTCTATGATACGAGTTTACAACTTGGGCTAAAATTGGTGGTGCAATACTCAGTGCAATTACGATTATAAAGAAACATGCAGGTTAAACTGACCTGCATTGCTTTAGTGTTGGCAGTGACCGTACGTCCTGACGGCTTGGAGGTGGCAGCAGCATCACTGGATGGACAGATAAGTTTCTTTGATGTAAGAACAGGTTTACAAACTGCATCAGTGGAAGGACGAAGGGACCTTGCTCCTGGAAGGCGGAGCTCAGATAAGATAACTGCTCAGACCATGCTCTCATCAAAGTAAGTGCTATCAGGTTAACTATTCTCAGCAAGGTGGTGATGGTAGACGTAAAAAGGTTTCTGCGTAAATGTTCTTGTTGTTCAACCAGTTTTCCTCTTACAAACCTATTTTAACACGAGCCGTCATAAACAGAACTAACAGTGCATTTTTTTTCTTTTCTCCTTGCTCTTTCCATTTCCCCCTCCTCTTCATAGTGTAATGATTTGGGGCTTATCGGACGGCACGCAACAAACTCGCGTTCTGGCCATAATTTTCGGTAGACGCGATTAAATCCAACTAGATATGGGGATGTATAAAAGTGCTCATTTATTGGAGTCTTATCTGTTTTGTCTCTTATTAAGGTGTTTTACCAGTTTGTGCTACACTGCTGATGGAAAATGTGTTTTAGCTGGTGGAAGATCCAAATTTGTTTGTATTTATCACGTGCAACAGCAGGTTAGTGTAGCTTCCGATTGTAGATTAAATATACAATGATGAGCTCGTAACTGAAGGGTTCTATAAAGTTTGGTAGAGTAGAAAGAAAGAAAGGCCTCAAGTACCTTAACTTCTTGTATTAGTATTTGCCGAGTAGAAATATAGAGTCAAACCCCCTTTAGAAGAAGGCCACAAGGTAGAGTGTCCGCCGCATTATCTGAGTGGTATCCTCAGTCTTCATAGAGGTAAGAAATGCATTAAGTTTGCTTTTTTTGGCATCAAAAGAATTGTCCGTAAGGTGAAGAGGGTGCCAAAATTTCTCTTAGCTTAATATGTGAGTTAGGACCAGTTTAGGATTTTTATTTGATTATTGACAAAGATTGGTCGAACGTTCCTTTTCCTATTCTAAGATACTCTTTTTCACCTTATTTAGGTCCTGATTAAACGGTTTGAGGTTTCAAAAAACTTGTCTTGTGATGGAATGAAGGTAATCGTATGCCTACCTTTTTCCGCCAAATTTCCAAATTACCCTGTTTCTTGTTGCCTTGGTGAAGTACTGGTCACCGGTGGATGTCTAATAGGGTTACTCTATGACATTTTTTTCAGGAATTTCTTCATAGTGGTAATATGACAGATGCAGGACCACAGGACCAAATTGATGATAATGAAAATGATCAGGAATCAGTGTCCCTTCCTGGGGTGTTACATGGTAAGCCAGCCATGGGGGGGGGGGGGCACCAACCAAGTTATTTAATATGTGGTCTTTTGTTTTGTTGTTTGTTGTTGTATTATGATGGCCACTCGGTAAGTTGTCAAGTAATATTTACCTCTGTGAAGAGGCGCTGGGGTTAAAAATTGTTCTAGTGCAAATCATTTCGGTGAATGGCCATTACATAATAGTTTTCCTCAGAAGAACAAATGGAGAAACCATTAGCCCTGCAACTTACAATAATTTTAGGAGGTGAAATGCAATCGTGTCAATCGGGACCTTGTGTTTGAGCACTCAGTAAGCTTGCGAAAAACACTTTCTGTTGATGTGGTATTCATAAAGTAGGAAACTTAAAATAAGTCACCGGTACCATGCAATGTTTTTTTGGTGTGTTATTACTGTCGCAGGTGATATGAGTTCTAGGAGAACCCAGCCGGAAATTCGAGTCAAATCACTACAGTTCTCACCAACAGGTAACGATATTTTGATTGACAGACTTCCGGTGCAATCTCGTTTTTGTTACTGGTGATGCGGCCGCAGTATTATTGCTATCGAGGCGTCACAGTAATAGTGGAAGGTAGTGAGAATAGTTCTCGCTATGGAGGCATCCTAAATTGTTTGGACAGGAGAATGTGTTAAATTAAAAGGTTGTGTTCTTTGCTTCGTGAACTTTTCTTGTCCTCAGCTAGAAGAAAGTTTTTAAAACTGTATTAAACTGATTTAATCAGCAGTGGATGTTTTTTGTTTGTAGGCCGGTCATGGGCTGCTGCTAGTACTGAAGGACTTTTGGTTTATTCACTGGAGTCTGATATTGTTTTTGATCCATTTCAACTGGACTGTGATGTGACTCCTGAGAGGACATTACAAGCCAGCAGCGACAACGAACACACAAAAGCACTAATAATGAGTTTGAGACTGAATGAGCCACACCTGATTTGTCAAGTTATGGAGGCTGTTAAACCATTTGACAGTCAGTATTGAGTTAACGAAACAGCTTTATACAGTAGATCCACGTACTACCTTACTAACACTAGCATGCATAATAAAAGTTACAAACGGCACAGAAGTATACGGTGATTTAGCGCTGCAGTTGCAGGCAAGTTTTATTGAGGGAGATCATGAAGTATGATCCCGCCCAAGGTTTACAGCTATCTATACAATCTCTCCACCCTTAGGTGACAACATCCTTCTTGCAAAGACCATATGGATTACTGTCAACAGTTTCTTTATCTCTTCTGAAAGAATGTATTCCACTTCAGCTCATAGATTTTACGTACTTTGGAGCTAGGCTGGAGCTTGGTTTCTGAGAAATGTTATGTTTGTTTGAAAATAACTCTTTTCTTTTAGTAATTTAAATTGCTGAATATATAGTTTCAGCTTTGAATCTTCTATGGGTCGCTTTAATTTACATTAAAAAGAATAGTTCTCCATGAGTCGCAGTTGCAAATAGAATTTCGTTGAATTTTTAGGGTTTCTACGAGTGATCTTCTGTATTGGTGATGATGATATTTCCACAAAAATACATCGATTTAACGTATAAACCTTAAACGGAAAATAGCAAAGTTTTTTCTCTTTTTTATCCATTAGTTCCCTTGGTGGTACAGTCACTGAAAGATCCTTATATTGAACTTGTGTTGAAGTTTGTCGCGCTACAACTGGAAAAGTCACGTCATCTTCATTTTTACCTGTTGTGGTGTCAACAGATTTTAAGTGCGCATGGTCAACAGTTAAAAGCACTGTCCAACAAACTGTTAGTCGTCTTACGCACTTTACAGAAGGGCCTTACCAAACAGCAGGAAGACCTTGGCAAAATGTAAGTTAGTCGGTCCAAAGAAATGCCGTATACATACACTGCTAAACTGAATTGTAACTGTCCCTTTACTACTTGCCGTGTCTGGCTCTGAAAAAAGAAAGGTATTTAGCTCTGCCTTGTTAAAGGGAACCTCCACTTCAACAAAAAGATAACTTTAAATCACAGGAAATAACTGTTACAGTCAAGTCAATCTAAAATATTTTTAAAGAAAGCGTTTGTATCCGAAAGAAATAACTTTTAGATTCGCCTATTTTTGTTTTCAAATTTTGCGGGCGTCGCCATCTTGAATAATTGTGACGTGTAATGGTTGCCCTATTGTTATTAAACAAAAGCTCTTTGTGTCAGAACAATAGAGCAACCATAACGCGTCACTATTATTCAAGATGGCGGCGCCCGCGAAATTTGAAAGTGAAAATAAGCGATTTTAAAATTCACTTTTCCTGATATAAACACTTTTTTAAAGACAAATTTCAAACAAATTTGTTTATCAACATAATTTTATTCGATTTAAACTTATTCTGTAGTAAGAGTGGAGGTTCCCTTTAAGCTACTGGCCGAAGCACAGAAGAGACAGCTAACCCAAACATGTCGGACTGTAATTTAGCTATTCAGTTAGGTAGTGTAAGTGGCTTGTCAGTCGAGTCAAACCTAGCCGAGGCAGCAGTTAAAAAAGAAGTCCGGCGATTTGCCCAGCGGCGCGTTTCTCTTTTTAGCCCTTCCGGGCCACATGAGGAATTGTAGATCTTGATAAGTGGATGCCCAGATTTGCGAGAGACTTGCAAACGTGCAGTTTTCATTTTTATTGTCGTTTTGGATTGAGTTGTTGAGTTGGAATTTAATAGCTCTGCGGGGATAATAAGTAGTATAAACTAAATCTTTGCGGCTTTTCTGTTGCAGCTGCTTGAGCAATGCTTACAGTCTCAGCTATATCACATCACTTGCTGATCTACTCAGTACAGCCCATAATAATGAGAACTCTAACGTCATGGGCACGGCATCGCCTGTGCCGTTTGATAACACGGACATGTCGTTATGGTATGTGCGGCCCTAAATAAATGTTGTTATAAGAAGTCATGAACCGGAGACACGAATGGACGTTATTGTCCACGCAAAGTGTCTTGGGAATTCTTTGCACCCATTTGTTATTCTCACGCGTCTTGAGACTGGAGATCTTTCAATGTTCAATATTTGCTCAGAACGCTTCTCAGGGCCCTTGGGTGGGCAGTTCTGTAGGCAATCACCTTGGAAGGAACGGTTTTCCTGCCAGTGTGACACCAGAGGTTTCACAGAAGAACTAAACCGAAAAGTGGGTTAGTTAAGAATCAACTAAATACTCTAGTGATGCAACTTCTCAAATAGCAAATAATAGAACAAAAAATTTAAAGCAAAGATTCGAAAAAAAAATTTGCTAATTTATACCGTATACCAACCATACATCGTGAATTTCGGCAGCCAACTGCACGCGCGCGCGTGCCAGACCCAATTCATCACTCGGCTTTGTGGGATTTTTCCCTCCTTCCAATCCCCATCCCTCTTTTTAAATTCCTCTGTCATTTCTAAATTTAGCTTGTTCAAAAGATTCAAAATAAACAAAAAATATCTTACATTCACAGATCAGCAAAGTGTTGGTGAAATGTAACAGTTGTTAGAACTCTTGGAGATTTGAACCCAACAAGACGAGTTACTGAGTACATACCACAAGCCAGCGAATGGTTATGGTGCCTTCATATCACTCCGATTGGCTTGCTCGTAAATGAGCGATTCACTTTAGAGTAAACCTATAATGCCTGCCGTTTTTGATTTAGTGTAAAAAGCAGGATTTTACTAAGACCTTTGTCGTCGCTGGACTGCTTTACATATAGATCCGACCTGTAATAACTCGGTCAATGAAGAGAGATCACGCCAATATTCAAACAATTTCATTCTGTTTTTTTTCTTCCATGTAAATACCTTTAATGGGAAACTTGAATTAAACATCTGAAATTATAATCCAGGGTATTCGATTTTCTCAACGTCAAAGGTATACAAGGTTAATCTTTTGTATTTATGAGTCTGTACTTCAAAACTTACTTTCTATGTAGCCTGCGTACTGTAGCTGGCAGTTTCGATGGAGCGTGGTGAACATATGAGGGAAAAGTGCAGTAGGACGTGTATCAAATTAACATAGCTGCGCGTTATTTCCACTCCTTCCTTACTTCTCTTTTCGTTGCTTATTCTTTCGTCAGTACTTCCTATTTTTTATACTTTTTGTTATTTGCTTTAGTTACTTTCTTTTCCATACGCCACTTCCACATTTCCCATAGCATTGTTTTCAACTTGTTTTGGGAGGGCTGTAATACCCAGGAGGAATGAAAAACAAAGGTGATGCAAATTTGGGGGTGGGGTGGGGCGGGGGGCAAATAAAGTGCATTGTGGGAAATGTGGAAGTGGCGTATTGAAGAAAATGACAGTTGAGATACAAATCTCCTTTTTTCTCGCGCTTTAACCCGTTGAAGTTTGTGACGTTTTAGTGACATTTGATCATAATATGCACATGTAATTTGCGCAATATAAGTAATAAATTTATTTATTTTATTTATTTATTTGACGTCACCTGGTTGGTGTCATTACTAATGCAATAGAACAGGGAAACTAATGACGTCATGACACTTTAAAATGGTGTAGAATGCACGCGGGAAATTTGACAACTGAAAAAGAAAAAACGATAATAGGCGATATTCAAAAAAATGTTCTCTTACATCCAAACTTTTTTCACCTTTTTTTAACAGGTAGTTAGATTTCAAAATTTATTTTTTATTTATTTAATGTAGATGGTTTCTGTCAGTCGATCAAATTTTCCAACAAATGGGGAAAACATTTTAACATTCTGATCGTGTGCTTACAGAAAGAAAGTTTTGCGGACTGAACCAATAAAGAATTTGGTAAACCTTGAATAAAGATTTGAAACTGTGGGGTTACGGCTCCCCGGCTCCTGTTGTTGGACCATGCATGGCTTTTATGGATGGCGTTGAAGCACCAGAGTCACCGTTCCAGTACCTTATTTGTCAGTGATGCACAAATTTGTAACCTACAGATGAAGCAGAGCAAAATATAATCGTTACTTGATCAGTTTTATCCTCGCAGTCATGATTTTGCTTATATTCTGCTCGTCTATTATAAATGACACATACTTAGTGCTTGCGTCGCGGATCAGGAAAGTTGATCTTCATCTTTTTGCTCGTTCTTTTCCTATTTTTCACGTTGGAACATCTCATTGCAAAATAATTGTATTTATCGGGATTTATCAGTTCAAGAAGCCGGCGGCCTTAACTCCCTCGTACAATATCCGTTTAAGTAACTTAAAATAAGATGCCACAAGTCAACACTTGTGAAGTGCATAATCCATACTGTAAGTCAACAATTTACCCTTGACTTTGAAGTACAACTGTTCCAAACAGAGCGTAAATCCGTTATTATGTAGATTGCTAAAACATACAAAGTAATTCCAGCAAACTGCTACACAAGAACCCTCAGGAAAAAAATTGAAATACGCTAAGCCAACCATTGTACGTGATTGCGGAACAGGTCTTGGCCGCAACTAAATTTATTTCATTCATGGTTACAGAAGCGTGATATAAGTAGTCTGAATTTCATGCAAATTTTTCAAGTGATAGACGGCGGCTTACTGCCTCATTCGGCGGAAATAAATAAAATATATGAACTGTCAATGAACAACAGTACTTAGTCGCTGGAGCAGCCTGTTGATTGCTCATAATAGGTTGGACTGTTCCATTTTTAGTACATGGATAGAACATCAAACTACGGCCTTGTTCATAATGTCTTAAACAGAAACGTTCTATAGACGTCATTTTAGGAGCTAATCGCTAGATGATGCATTTAAATTTAAAGGGAAGAGTGCATTCATTTTTCAAGTTTAACTTGAATATGTCCTTTCCTTAGAGGACAATCTATTGTAGATATTTTTTCTGGTTAGATAGGATTCTACTTTAATCTTGGTCTATATTTTCCAATATTGTATTAGGGTGCATAGCACCATTCATCAATATAAATACGTTCTTTATGACACTAAATTGTTCGGCTCTATAATGGTTGCATTCAGTGAATTGAACGGGACAAACTCTTTTTTAGCGGCAGCCACATGTTGATGCTACCATACCCGAATATTCTCTTAATACAATACTGCCATCTAGTTCAAAATACATTATAGTCATTGAGTGTAAACTCGTCGGTACGCAACAAGCAGCAGGAATGTTTTTATTATGTCGGTGATGAAGTAGATTTTGTATTATTGCGTGATTGGTTGGATTGAAGAATTTATCGATGACTTCGGGGCACTTTCCCATGCAATAAAACGCTTTAAAGCCACGAGGAGCTATAATCCATTTGTCCCATTTTAAATCACGAAACTTTACAAAAAGTTGATGCCTTGTACACATATCCTCATCTACAGATCTTCGACTTCTTGTAGAACTGAAAGCCCCTTCGTTGCTTTTCCTTTTCGACCGCGTATGTTGTTGATACGTCTCTCGTGTTTCTTTGGGAACCTCGTTAGCACTTCTTAGTAATCTGTGGTCGTTCTTTTCGTTCTGACTGTCACCATAAATGATTAGGATAGGCTCCTTTCTACCTCCAGTGGCAATGTAGAAATCTGACTCTGGAGCCCCTAATCCTGTGACAGTTATCCACAAGCCGAAATTTCGCGACGGCCATGAATTCCAAAACGTCACAGCTGGGGTAACATTTAAAACAATCCACTCGCCAACTCGTCTACATTTTACCAGTTTTGTGTCGACTACAGTTTCCTTTCGTTTTTTCCAGCTACTTGCGGCACCGTCCCGCACAACTCTGCGGTTTAAGCGATTCACTGTCACCTTAAAGTGTCCACAAGAGGAGTCGAGCTTGGAACGTCTTTTAAATATCCTCAATTCTGCCTTTTGAACTTTTTCTTTGGTTTGAAGTGCTGATAAGTTGAAGAAGAAAAGGCGCCCATCGTCAACGACTCTCGTATCTAAAACAATAATAAAAGACATCGTTAACCATGCAAATTACGATGACATTTATAATTCACTCGGGTATGCATTTGATAGAGAAAACACATTTACATACCTCGAAAGAAAGTTCGTATTGTTGTACCAGGAGCTGATTTCCATGCCTTGGTAAAACCACCAAAGTGAGCTTGGTCCCTGTACAAGTCCATGACATATTTAGGCACTTGAGACCTGCTTCGTAACACGCTTGGCTTTTCCTTGATTTCTAGAAGCTTGAGTAAATCACTTTGTGTAGCTGGGATAAACTCAGCGTCTTCATTTTGTTGGGATACTGTTGTGAAGCTCATCAAAACTAAGACGACGTTCAGATAATTCATTTCTAGGCTTTGTTTGATTCCTTTCTCAGTTCGAGCGCTATCAGTCGATTTGCGAGCTATCGAATGTTACACTGATTACTGAAGTAGGTGAATGGTTCATTTGTGATTTTATAGCCGCCCACTATATTGTTCACGTGCATGCCCGACATTCGCTAAACGCTGCAGCCAGCCACGCCGGAATTATTCTCAAATTATACTGGCACCAAAAAAGCATACGAGTAATATTCAATGGCTAACAAAGAAGAAAGCTAATATTTAATTGTTTCTTGGAAGCCAAACGACCAAAAATTAAACTTTTTTCTTATTTCAACTTTTCAAATGCTGACCGTATGATCTGATCAGTAAACTATTTTAGTTGTGCTCATATTTCGCTTGACAGCCCATTTAATGAAACGTTTTGTATGCTGAATTCTGAAGAAACCTTTCGCGAGTTTGCCGTCGACACTTCACAATTTTTACACTTTACCGGTCTTCCTATTTTCGAATCTGAACGATAAACCTAATAAAAATCTTATTTACATCTTCGAGTATCCTAAGACCCATTTTATGTATGAGATAGGCTTGATTTAGAGTGCCAGGTTGTCGTGGTTATGATTCTCAACAAAAAGAAAGAGGTGCGGCGAGGGAGGGTCTGCTGAAAGGGAATAATTAATGCAAAGAGAAAGCGGGTTTTTTTTTAAAGAATGTTTTCATATGCATATAGCTGTCTTAAATCTTAAAAATGCCCTTGTAATCCTTCAGTCATTAAATTGTTATGGATCATCAAACGACCAGCTCGATTGTGTTAACACAAAAGGTTTTTGTTTGTTGAGTTTTTTTGTGTCCCCAATCACGAGAAGAAGGCCACCTATGTACAGCTTTACTTTTTTGACAAGTTAAAAATGATGCATCTATCTTTTAGTATTGAGCTTTTCTCTGTGATTATTTTATGTTTTGTTTTGTTTTTCAAATGCGTAATGTCATTTCTGAATTTTCCAATGTATCAGAGCTAACGGATAAGGGACAACACTAAGCCGCGACAAATAATTAGAAAAAAAAGCAGCCCTGAATAAATTGATCCTAGTATGTGACCTATATACTATAAATTTGTCTATCTATTAACTTATATTTTATAGTTCCATCTGTGCCATTTTACTGCCTTGGTAAATTCATTCTCTTGCAGACTCTTATACCGCTTGTTACCGCTCATTGAACATATATATGATAATGATGACGATATGAAGAGGGCGATTCATTGTCATTAACATCATAATAATAGAGAAAGAGAGGAAGGCTTAGAATAAAAAAAATGAAATCTTTTTAAAAATTATTTTATTGTTCAACTTTGATTGGCTAAAGGGTAGGAGCTGATTGTCCGCTGACAGGATATCACTGATATTTGTACTTAACTGCTGTATATGGTATGTTTATGATTTGTTTACATACAGATGGGTCCGTAACCAAGCTTATAAGGCGGGAACTTCCAGCCTCAGACGCCAAGCCTAGTGTCGTCACCCAGACGTTTTAAATATAAATCATTGATATTTTAAAACTAATATCAAATGAAGTTTTCTAAATTCTTCTTCCAAAAAATAAACCAATTTCAAATCCTCCTAATGCGGGGAAAAGGAGACAAACTGTTGTTGTTGTTATAATCATAAGAGTCATTATGCTCGTCATGTTCATTATTGTTGTAAAACTGCGTACCTTTGCACTAGTACGTGGTCTCCGACTAAAAACTGCTAATAATAGCTTTAAGGAAAATGATCAAAACAAAAAAAAAATCGTTGTCTTTATTAGACAATGAAAGGGAAGTTTAGCAGGTAGAGGTTTTAAGAAGAATTAACTGGCTTTCAAAATTATTCTTATACAAAGTTGTTACCCTTTCAGCGCGACTAAGCCTCGTTCTACGTATGTGCAGTGTGTTTATGATTTACAGGGGTATCTTCTGCCATTGCATGGCAATGTGAAATTTCTCAGTTTTTCATCAGAAAAATCACGCCATTAAGTCCTCCTCCAAACTGCCAATGTGCAGAACCATGACAAAAATTATGTTTCTTTCAACTCCTATTTCAAATTGCTTCTGTCCAGTATAATTTTTAAACGGCGTGCACACGAACCGCGAAAATAGTGAAGTATAAAATTAAAACTGGTCGACGTTTCTTTCATACTGATCATTAAAAATGCATATATGTGTAGTAACGCAATTCGACCAATCACAGCTTAATTTATGGCGGTTTTTAAGTCACTTAGCCTTGATGAAATTATGCATCATCCCGGTCTTGCAATTGAAGCAGAACAAACCGTACAAACACAAAACAACCAACAATACAAAATCAGCGGACAGCTATTGTTAGACTTTCAACGCCATTTAATACTTGGACACGTTGAAATCTCGTACTCACCGGGCTCGCCAGATGTATGCTGGTCTTTCTTACGACCCAGTTGTCGATGATGTTTCGTTTAGATAAGAGGCTTGATTCTGCAAACATCGTTGAACTTACTTCCTTTAATCACAGAAATGAAGAATCGGCCTTTTCGTCTCAAGATTGCGTGCAAACAAACGGCGTGCAAAAGACGATTGGAAATGATGTCTCATGTGCAAGAGAAATTATTGGGCCAACTGGTACAGTCCGGGGGTTCAAAAATATGATAAAAGAAAGAAAGGAGTGCTTGAGAGTAGGCTTTGTTGGAAAAAGTGTTGAGGTAGGTCCGCACAAAGCTTCAATGCACTGTGTAAGATTGGTCTGAGTAGATCTAGGTACTTAACTTTGCTCCGTGTTAATTATTTATGCAAACATCGATACGTCTTTGTCACAAACTCGCTATCCCAATTTTTCTTCTTTTTATTTAATAGGAAAAGGAAGAAGGGAAGATCATTGTGTACACCACATCGATGGGAGGAATTCGCTCCAAAGTGGAGGAGTGTGCATACGTCAAGAAATTGTTCGACAATTTGGGACTTAAAGTAGATGAGCGGAATATATTTATGCATAAGGATTATCAAAACCAGCTTGACAAAAGACTAGGAATTCAGAACGCTTCCGTGCCGCATGTGTTTGTAAATGGAGCTTCTTTAGGGGTAAGATGAGTGTGTCATGGTAAATACTTTGGTGACCGGTTCTTGAGGAATTGATTGATTAAAATTGCTCACATCATTTTAAAGCGACTACTTACTACCCTACTTGATACTCGAGTATTGAAAACCTAAGTGAAAAAACTTGTTGTCCGCAAATGTAAAAGCAATATGTGATGACAATTATTGTTTTGATTTGTTGTATAGTTCATTTTGCACATTACCCTTTGTGGGCCTTTAATCAAAGTTATGGCATGCAATTATATCAGTCCCGCACCATATCCGTCGTTGTTGTGTTCTCCTCAACGGTTTTCATAGCAATCAAAACAACAAGGCTTATTTGCATACCGTCTTGTTTTATGACAATATGCCCCAAGACTGCGTAGATTGTACTCCCCCAACTTTTAACAGCATATTGCACCATATCCGTCGTCGTTGTGTTCCCCTCAACGGTCAACAACAAAGGCTTATTTGCATACCGTCTTGTTTTATGACAATATGCCCGAAGACTGCGTAAATTGTACTCCCCCAACTTTTAACAGCATATTGCCTTGCTTTGTTGCATAAACAGTGATCACAAAAATATAATTCAGCCATAAGAAAAAGATGCCGAATAAAACGTTTTTGTTCGATAAATTTTCCATAATGCCATATATCCAGATATTCTTACACCTGATTGCGATAACGTTGTCACAAAAAATGTTAGACAAGACAAAAAAGCAAAAAAAGAATTTGTTAAACATATCCAGTTTTTCATGCTTTTCCAAAGCACTGACTAATCGTAGTATAAAATAGAATATAGGTTTTGCATTTTGTCCTCCTCATACCCACAGCCACGCTCATTCTTTAAAGAGAATGAGCCAGTCAGGGTATTCCAGGATATTCATGGTGTTTTTTTATGAGTAGTTTTTTATCTATCACTTTTAGCCACAGTTTTCACAGTTTTTCTGAGAAATTTGCACGGAAGCATGCAAAATAAAAGCACCTGTTTGAGTGCAAAAACGAAAGGCGATATCTTTTTCCCAGAGGAATTTTTTCAACTAATATTGCTTTCCTGCTGGGCAATGGGGTGGAAGAAATCTTAATCATCGGTTAGCTTTGCTTAATTAATGTTAGATTATTAAAGATGGCGGGTTTCTTGGAGAGTGGACAATGCTCCTGCACATAGGATGCTGTGAGTTGCCCAAAAAGCTGAAACTCCGACGCCCAGTAGCCTCCCTGGCAGACTTTCTTAAGGATTCGTCACGCGTTTGAAAGCGTGACGAAGCCCTAAGAAGTTTGCGTTGGAGGCTGGGCTAAGAGTTGGTGAAAAACTGCAATCAAGACTAATGCAGTTTTAAAACTTCTTTTCCTTTTCCCCCAGGGCGTTCAAGAACTAGAACAAATGAACGAAACTGGAGAACTAAAGAGACTGCTTCAAAGCTTTGAGGTAGAATGAAAAGAATTACCTTTTAGGGTAACGTTTTGGGTAGAGGGTCCTAATTGAATCTCTGGGGATTCCTGGTCTTAAAACACTTTAAACAAAGACTTCATGGATAACATCTGTGTGCTACTTGCATCAAATAACGTGCTCTTCAAGCGGAGCGAAAAGTTCCAAAAATGTCAAAAATGTCACCCACTCAATCCCAATCTAGTGACCCTCGGATCAGACTCGGTGGTAGCAGCTTTTAGACTCAAGTAGCTTGCAAAGTTTAATTGGAAGAGCTGATGCTAGCTCGTTTTACCTAAATAGTTCATCAAAAAAAAATTGTTAAATCTAAAGGGGATTCACCATGTGTTGTCAGTTGAAATGATAGCTGGGTGTTTTTTTTCTTCTAGAGGCGGGATAACAATATATGCCACAGCTGTGGTGGTTTTCGGTACATCAACTGTACTCAATGCCATGGAAGCAGGAGATCACGAACAACAAGAATTTCTAGACAGATCAGTGTTCTCCGATGCACTGCGTGCAATGAGAATGGATTACAACGCTGCTCGGAGTGCAGCAGCTCAATGTAACTGAAAAGGTTCTACGGGATGAAAACCAATGGTCTATCGTAGAACTGCCGTCCAACTATAACAGACGGGTCAAGTAATGATTTGACTCTGGCATGCCTTAATCCCTTTGCAGCATGCTTTTTCAAGGCCCTGCTGGACAGGTGAATTAAGAATGAATTGGTATTTGAAAGGTGAAACAACCTTGGAAGTGCCATGTAGACAAACTCAAGATATAAATGAATACGGCATCACGAAATTGTGTGCAACGTTATTTCTTTTCAGCCTGCTCAGTTTTGTGGCCTGACATAGGCTTTTCGTTTATTTTGAAAGCTTAAACCTATGTTAATTAAAATTCCGAATATAAACAATCAAAACCATTATGACGAGCCTGTGTACAGACGTCCCCCCTCCCTTTTTTCTGAGGGAGAGGGGACGTCTGGGACGTCTGGCTTCCTAACGGTTATCATGAATCAACTGACGACACGATGTTTATGGTTGATCTTATCGAAACTGATTCACACCAAACATGGCCAGTTCGCCGCTAGGGATGAGGAGAACACGCAGGTAACAATGCACAGGGTTGGTCTATGGGTCCTTAGTTCGCTACGAACACGCAGTAACAATGCACAGTTGGTGGGTCCTTATCTGACAGCCATGTATTAACCTGCGGTGTCCTTCAGGGGACCATCCTGGGTCCACTCTTATTCTTACTGAGAATAAGAGTGGACATTAATATTTTACATTAATCACCGTCCAAATTGTTTGTCAAACTGGTGAACCGAGGATGTTCGCCGATGACACGCTTCTCATATCGCGGATAATGATGTAAACAGCACTGAATCATGTGTTAATGAGGACCTTTTGAACGTGCATACGTAGTTAAACGCAAACAAACTTACTACAACTGTGACTAAAAACGAATTTATGCTGAAAGGATCTGATGAAAGGCTAAATACCCTTACTGCTTTCCCAGTTGTAATGAATGGTTCTCGGGTGAAACAGGTTGCAACTACAAAGTCACTTGGTGTGACAATTAACGTCAAACTCGGTTGGAATTGCCCGAGGAAAGGGGTACTCGGGATTTCAAGTGACGGGGATGATCGAATGGGGGCAAAAAAAACCCCCCCCAAAAAAAAAAAAAAAAAAATGCCTAGGGATGTTTGTTTCTTCATCATACTGGCTGAACTTGTCATACGCGGGAACTACCACGAACCTTCAGATTGTTTTGAGCGCTGTGCACAGTTTGCCAGAATCTTACTTAATTCCTTTGTCAGACAAGGACTCAACATTAAGAGTCATAGATTATGGATCTGACTGGGTATTCGTTTTAAATCTGCCTGTTTATTTAGATAAGTTTTAACCTCACGTACAAGCCGCGTGGTTCGCCTACTGTAAATTTAAATAACACCACACTATTGTCAATAAAAGATGGTTAAAATATAACAGTTAGGTAAGCAAAAAATATATTCTTTTCGTTTCATTCCTGTAAGTACCGTGATTCAAACGGCAAAAAAAGCCAAAGATAAACTATTTAAAAAAACATGCAGCACTAAAAAATAACTATCTGATTTAAATTAAGTAGACTCATGGTTCTTAATATTAAACATTGTAGTTAAATAAATGGTTCTTTCCTGTACGTATGCTCTTATAAACTGTAACACTGAGCAGAGACTGAGTAAAAGAAGACTCAAAGGATTTCGTTAAATATCACAGTTAAACTTCTGATGGATATAAGTCGCAGAAATGTAGTAAAAACGATAAGAAAAGAGCACTAAATGGGCCGGCTTTAGGTTCATTCGTTCGGTCGTATTCCGGAAGAAGAGTACACAGATAGTAAATTTTATCAGATGGACTTTGGGGCCACTTGAACGCTTTTTGGAGCATGATTTGACTATTGTCGGTCACACATGGCTACAGATCGATGGTTGTACATTGTAATCTGTACGACTAAATAGCTGACGTAATAATTAACTCAACTGATTCTCATTCCGGCACATACAATCCGAGCTCGAACGAACTCTTCATGCATTTTTTGATTGTATAATAAAGTTCAGGACTCAGTTGTTCAAAAAGTGGATAGCGCTATCCAGTGGATAGTGCAGTTGGTTTCCATAATACTTATCTCCTGGATAGTGATTTCTCCGGTGGATAGAGCTATCCACCTTTTGAACAACTGAGCTAGACGTACGGATCCGTTATCGAGTATGGAGGCGACTTGTATGGTGTATGGACCACTTCTACTCAACCGTTTTTAAGGAACGCTAGCAACATGACAACATCTCTGTTACACTTTGACTCTGAGGAAGACTACCGCACAGGTTGACGCAACATCAGTCACGGCTGTCAACTTAAGTACAGGAATACCCCACCCGGACGCTCATGTTTCCCCTACTGATTTCTGTTACTGCTGAAAAAGAGAAAGTACCCCAACGTAATTCCTAAAATCAGACTTTGGATAACCAATTGTTTCGGAGCCTGCTACATGGAAACAGTAACTGCTTTGGCATGCGGTTTACAGTACACTTTACATTCAGCCATAACAAAGTTCCCAACTGTCAAGAGTCGTTTGCAGACTGTGCATTTGACACAACGACGGTGAAGTACCCAGTTATCCAAGTTACACTTCTCCATTTGATATACCGCTGTCCCGCATACCACACACTTGTCCGCACCGCAGGCGGCTTTGACTGGTAAGCCTGTTCTTTTCAAGTCCGCATCGAGCATTTCATGATTGGATGGATTAGAAATCGGCGCCTTATTCTCAACTTTTCCATAAAATCTTTTGCTGCTTGGATCAGGTTTTGGTGTCTTCACCTTGTTGGATAATCCCTCCTTTTTAGCTGGTACAGCCGGTTTTTCCCTAACACGTGGAAGCGGTTTTTTATCGCTATTACTAGCGGCAGAATTGGAGGTAGATTGAAATTCAGTACCCACTTTCGGTGACACCTAAAACGAGAAATGGACACAGCGGGTTACCATTTAAGAAAACATGGTAGGGAGAAAAAAAATGAAATAACATACTGATATATTTCATTATCAAAAGTACAAGAGCAGAAAGCCCAGTCACTAGAAACATATCTATCTCGCGCAACAATAAGATCCAAGAGGGAGACAAGCGCCATATCAAATGTAACTGAAGCAACACAAACAAATCCAGTGTTGAATGTGGCATTAAAATAAGCCCGCTAAAGGTAGAGTACCTTGCAGTTTTTAAAAATACTAACATAACAATGACACCTTGCTTTTACCTGACTGTTGGTTTCCTTGACATCTTCATTAAGAAGTTGTGAAAGTCTCTTGCTTCTTTGATTGGCAAGCTCTACCCAGGAAGGTTGTATCGAACTTGCTTCCTTGTCGCTCTCTTTTGGACTTAGTAAATTCTTTTCATCCAAATTAACTTCCGTTTGGTTTTCTCTCTGAGTATTGGCGGATTGATTGTTTTTGCAAACAGAAGTTGTACCAATTTTTTCTTTTTCCATCACTAGTTTTCTGACTTTAAGGTCAGAGCTTTTTTCTGTAGACTCGACGCTGTCCAAAGAAAACCCTCTTCTCACTTGAGGCTTGCTTACCGCACCAGTATGCGAACCAATCTCTGGTCCTGATTTACCTTTTGTTTCTACGACGTCGAGGGATTCCGACCTTTTTTTCATGGCAGGTCTGAATCCCGCTTTTTGCTCTGAATTCGTTTCCTTGCCCGCGCTCGCTTTTGAACCCAGTGAACTTTTTTCATCCAAGCCCGTTGATGTGGGAACTACGGGTTCCATTTTGCTAGTAGACACATTATTGGTGGGAGGACTGGCCGGTTGATTTTCTCTGTAAACTGAAGTTTTAACTAGCTTTTCATTTTCTAACTGTTTCCTGACTTTTAATTCACGATCTGAGCTTTTTTGTTTGGACTCGAAGATGTTCAAAGAAAATCCTCTCCTTTTCTGGGGCTCAGCGCTGTCTGCCTCAGTGTCCGGACAAATCTCTGATTCTAATTTGCTTTTCGGTTCTATGACTTCCAGAGATTCCGATCTTTTCTTCAAGCTAAGTCTATATTCTTCATTCTTGTTGTTGAGTTCTTTAAGAATCTTGTCTTCAGACTTTTTCTCCTCTGTATTTTCATGAACCAGCCTGTTTTTGCTGTCGGTCTGGTTTTCTTTATTGCATTTCATCTCACTTTCAGCTGAGCCGTCTTTTGCACAGTTCTGTTTGTTTTTCTCTTCACTTTTGAGGTCTTTTCCCTCCTTGTCACTCGCAAGCATTTCAGTGTTTGTTGGTGATGAGTTGGTAATAACACTTTCAGCTTTTGCTTTCAAATCAGCAAAAAGTTTTTCTTTTCTCTGCTCCTCAGTGGTTTCTTGAGACTTAAAAATTGCTGTAGTGACATCTGAACTGGAGTTACTTTCCACTTTAGGTTTCACAGTAAAATCTTTAGGATCAGTTTTGGATCGCCTGTGTGGTTTCACTTTACAACTATTGAGGGGGTTCATAGAAGAGCTGTTGCAGCGGACCCTAGTGGGCGGCCTGCGGTGTTTTGGGGCTACTTTGATTCTGTCATGCGCAGCTTGTAGTCCTTCAAGTGACGAAGTGCTTGGGAGATCCTCAAAACTGACAGCGGCTGAAAAACACGAGGGCATATTCAGTCTTATTAGTTGGCTCAGTAATCTGAGAGGCTTCTGCATACATATTATATACATATTTTTTGGTAACTAATAAAACTTGATCCACCGGAAAACTGTTTTGCGAGATTTAAAAGTATCTAAGGTGAGGATGAGATAATTATGACTTTATACTAGGCATGACGACGTATGCAGCACTATAAATGCACAGAGTCGTGACAGAATGTTAAGAGAGACACCAGGCAGGGCCAAAAAAGCGGTTTCAAACGGCTTCGATGTTGAGAGAACAAAAGAAATGTTGAGACGATTTTGAACGAGTCTGGACTATTCTCAAGATGACACAACAATACGCAACCATGTGTGTATGGACTATCAACGTTTGGTAAAAAATGCACGTCACCATGGATATCCATGACGTCACCAAGGTCAAATGTGCAGGTTAAGTACAGGCCACCGTGACACTAATAAATTAATTTCAAACTCACTGTCAGCAAAGATTTTATTTCATTATTCTTTTCAGGGGCTCCAGCAGTTTGGCCCCTTTATATCCAGTTTCATCTGTAGTTAAGCTGTTGCAAATTATGGAGAGAAACTGATGAATTAAACCTTTCCTAAAGCGACCAACCAAAATGATGCGGCTGGTTGCTTGCCTGTGAGAGAAATCAATCGCAAAAGGATCCTAATACAGGGCTCGTCTATACACAATGAGTGATTGTCCATACACAACAGCAAACATATTAAAGTATGTGCAAGCAAAGGAATTCAGATGGATGGGAAGGACTCTCTCCAGTTCATTTCTCGGCTTGTTTGCTTTCTCTAATCCTGAAAAACCTGCCTGCAGTGTAGCTGTTACTGGCAAAAACGATTTTGACTGTTTTTTCAAAAAGGATGCACATGTTGTTTATTAAGCTTTATAAAGATAAGAAAAAACTGATAAACATACTCTCAGCAACACTGTCAGAACTTCTTATACTCCAGTCTAGAACTGTGGAGCCTGCTTGGCTTTCTCTTTCATCTGACGTCATGGTTGCATCTTCAATGATGTCCTCTTGGCTTTTGTCTTCTACATGTTTCAAGCCCTTTAATAATTTGCCAATACCCTGAATAATACATGCCAGAAAAGACGACAGAATACTCTACATTACAACTTTTGTTATCCAGAGTTGTATAGCCGGCAGCTAGCGAAGTTCACCACCTTCTCTGCAAGGTTTCACCAGCTACTTTCCTTACCTCAGAAAACACAAAAAAGATTTCTGACTTAAGAACAGTGTAGAAACGTTATGTTTGAGACTGCCTTTTTGAACCAATCTTGCTGCTGTGGCAGGAAAGTACATACAATAAAATTTGTTGTCCGCCATATTGGATATTGAGATATGAATGCATAATTAGTGCGAACAGGGAACTGGGAAAGAGGAGTTTTCCTGTGTGACTATCGGTCACAATCTCAAACGAAAACGAAATGACAAAAGTGAAGGTATTTACCCACCTTTGAGAGAACGACTGAGAAAACAAATATCAATTTGCCAGCAAATCGACCAAAATATGGGCAAAATGAATGTCAAATGAATGTCATGCAGTGGCGAGTTATGAAAGGACATTATTCGGAAGGTCAAAAGTGTTCAACCACTAAACTAAAACTAGTATAATTGCAGCTTAATTCAGCCCTCTAATCTCAAAGTTTCACGACCCAAAATGCCAGGAAATGTGTTTTCCAGCGCTCAATTTTCAACAATTTTCCAGGTAAAGCCCATCACATGAGTCCTCCTTACCCACAACCCTCTACTTTCTGAAATCTCCGCCTACTTAAAACCTTAAAGAAAACCCTGGTAATACAGTTAAACCTGTATTAAGTGAACCCCATATTAAGTAGACAAATAGCCTACCAGTAACTAGGTTCAAGGCTGTGCTCTAAGAAAAAGTGAAGCGAGCCCAGTGCTCTGAACCTGTAAAATCTGGTGTGTGGCCCAGCATATGATTTGCAGGAAAAAAGGAAATTTCCAAGTACCCCGAGTAAGGCACCAGCACGGGACAGTGGGCTCTGCTAGAGCACAGCCTTGATCAGGTTTCAAACATTTTCCCTCACATTTTAAGTAAAACAAACCTGTACTAAGTGGTCACCAGGTCCTGTGGGTCTCCCCCTAATACTGGTTTCACTGTATTATGGCAGCCATACCCAGCCATATCAACCTGGCTTGCAATAAATTTTGAATGCCAATGCATTTTTCCTATCAAATTGGCATCTACATCATTTGTCTCAGTTTTTAATACTCTTTTAATTTTTTTTTCTTTGAACAATCTCTTTGATTACCTTAGATGTTTTTTTCTTAATTATTATAAATTTTGATATTAAACTAGTATAAATAATATAATTCATATTGGTATGTTTTTCATCTGTTGCTTCATATTAAAATGTTTGTTTGATGGAACTTGCTCTAATGTGTTGCTTACCTCACTTGAATCACTCTTTGTTCTGTCCACAGGGTTACCAACATTGCAACTCCTTTCATGTATCTCTATGTCGGCACAAGAAGTCTTGGTTTTGGTTTCCACTAGAGAAGATTCTGATTTAGCTCGGTTCATTAAGGAATCACTATCCTCTGAGGGTAGATTAGTAGAACTGTAGCGTCCCGTTGGGAGTTCTTCACAAGACTTAACTCTTGTAGGACTTTTCCTGTGTCGAAAGAGTCTCCTCATCTTCTTGAATGGACTCCATTTCCATCTCAGCTTTCTTTTCTTTTTCTTCTTGTTGGTGCCTGCTTCTTCATCTGAAAGAATCTCTTCTTCAGTACTACTGGGTGACAGGTGTTCTTCACTTGTATCTTGCACTTTTATTTTTACATGCCTTTTCCTTTCTTTCAAGTTTTCATGTGATGTTGTATTTTCATCAGAGCTTGATGTAAAAGACTGTGCACTCATTCGGAAATGCTCATCAGGTAAGGACTGGGGCCGAGCCGGACTAGAATTTGATTCAAACTTCTGAAAAAGTTCACGTGATATTTTGCCTTCGAGTGGTTTGTCTACAACTGCAATAAAATTAAATGACACATTAACCATTACCTTTAATTTAAAGTTATAAAGAAAATGGTGGGCTTGTGGGTGTATTAAGTCAGCTGATCCATATGAGTAAAGTCACTTCACCCAGATTGACTCTTGACAGTATTATAAGCCCCAAACAGACCAGCAGACCTCAGCAAAATATAATCCCGACATCACGGTGTTGGTGTTAACACTTCCTACCCCTCTAAATCCCACTTTCTACTCCTTGCAAACAACAAAATAATGTTTACATAGCTGTGTTATGTAATTCACTTTCTAACCAGTGTTGATGAAGACAGTTGCTTACCTTCTACTGACTGAGAGGTTTTTATAACTCCCTCTGCCATGTCAACAAGCCCTAAAATCACAAAATAATTTGTTAAATTGTAACAAAAAATATTATTCTTCTTATGGTTACTGATCCATGTAAAATAAAATGCATAGTAAAAGTAATCATCATTAAAAGGGGGTTTTGCCCCCTTATTATACAAATCATTTAGGGATAAAAACAACCCTGTTAAAACATAACGTTTCGGCAATGAAAATATGTCACTATTATAAAATGCAAGTGGACAGAGACTACAGATGTTGTCAAAAAATGAAGAAATAGCATCAAAATGTGAAGAATAAAAGAATGAAATACCTCAGTGACAAGTTTCACTGGACTGGAGACTGTCTGTTTAAGTGCTTAATGTTACATTTCACACCTTTGTTTTCTATATATCACCCTTTCAGTCTTTGTTCATTTGCATTTGAAAATGTTAACATGTTGTCCCCAAAATGTCATGCTTTCATAGCATAGTTTTTATCCTAAAGTCTTTTACAAAATTGTTTGTCATCAGATTATAAATACAAATATCTAGCTCTTTTTATGACTATGCAGGACATTCATTAGTTTAAAAAAATCACTTGCAAACTTGATGACATAATACTTACATTCAGTAGTGATGTGTTTTCAGCAGTGTTGATGTTAATTAGGTTAAAAGTTGAAACAACTATTGAAGGGTTAGTTGCTATTCTTTGTCAGTGTCTCAAAGGTGTAATGCTTTGTCCAAGACATCAGTTTGACAATCAGCTAGCACAAACATGAAAGCTTCACTATATCCTTTAAATAGAACTAGTTCAATATTTTTTTGTTTATGATAAAACCACACTTCCGATGAGATATTCTCTTAAATTATGTTGTTCCTCAGAACGTGTCATAGCGGCTGGTTGTAACCAGTTGTAACGTACACGTAAACAAAAGATTGTTCAAGTAGCATCCTTTTTTGAATTGGGCACTATTAAATACCACGCAAATAGAAACTACATAATTTTGTGACTTGATATGTTATTTTCCTTAGTGAACATAGTGGCACTTGTTTTATTACGCACATGAGCCACTACATCGTCGACCACATTGTCACAAACTCATACGTATGAAACCTGTTCCTTCCTCTCCCTTAACCACCAATCTGATCTTCAGCTCGTTCTCAGCTTCATACGTTCGCTCCTCTCACGCACTTCGATAACGACACGAACGTTTAATACTGAGGGAACTGAATGTACATGTTAGTGAGACATCAGACAACGGGGCGTCTAATCGACCATGAGCACGTACGTTTAATAGACCACAACCTTTGCTAAGACCAGCTTTTAATACTTAGGTCTACTGCGACTTGTAAGCCTCTTATCGTATATTCCTCGTACTTACGGAACCAAGCCACAGATAGCAACTCGAAATCCCACAGAAAAAAAGATACAGATGTAAAGGAAGCCGAGACGTAATATTTTTAATAACAACTTGTTATTACTAAAAAGCTTGTAAAATTTAATCATCAACTATAACTTGATGTAAGATTTAGAGCGAGCCAGCTGTTAGAATAATATAAAAGGTTCCATTTCCCTTACCTCTACAACGTCAGCGACGGAGTCTGAGTTATTGGCAGTAAATTAAACGAGATCTCCAGCAAAGATCCTGAGTTTCTTATCCACGATTGCTCGAGTAGAAATTGATAGAATATAAGCTTACATACGTGCCATGTAATAACAGAAACAATTTAACCTTAGATTGATCAGCTCATCATTTGCTTCTCTTCTCAGTTTACCAAACAGAAATTCCCTGTTCGGATTTCTATGAGATCAGGTTACTGAAGACTTGGATTAGTGCAATCAAAATTTCACCACGTAGGAAGATTATCAACTACTCCTTAACGCTTTGCAGGCCACAGTTTGACGCACGACAGCTCTTGAGCACTCACTTGTGTTTGTGTGTTTTTTACCTGCTGCTTACCATATATGGTAAGTGAGGACCCAGTCCTTCCGCGCAGGCCGCGGTTTTTCGCCCAAATGCCTGGAAGTCGTTTTTTTGGGTCGTTCGAAGACCATCTCCATTCTCAGGCTGATTCTATCTCAATCATCATCACCTCGGTCATCATAATCACAAATCACGCCGGGCACCACTACTATCGACACTTACTATCGACACTATTATCGTTACCACCACCACCACATGGTTCGTACAACCGGTCAAAGAAACATGTAAAACTCAAGGACTTTTCACGGACAGTTTTTAAGTATTCAGTAAATTGGCATTCTTTGACCCCCTTTTGAACACCCTACTGGCTAAACCATTCAATTTGGTCATTTACAATTTTTTTATCCTTAGCTCTGGTTGATCATCTCTTACACTATGTTGCACTACTTTCCGTAACAACACGACTTTGCAAAATGACAGCAGGGACGGCTTAAAGAAAGGTCATAAACCCGTAAGGCATCGCGTTTTTTGGTAACTTTGAGAGGCAATGAATTAAAAACATTGCATTTGAAGTGTTACTTAGGATGGCTCAGGACCAGCTAGTTCTTGAAGTTCTGAGATAAGGGTTTTCAACACGGTCAAGGGTGCGGCAAGAATTAGTTTGTCTTGTCTATCTCCTTTTAAATCATTGCTCTCTTTTCTTTTCCACAACAGTAAAACCCCGCAACTACCGTGACTCAGAACCTGGATTTTAAGAACCTGTTAGGCTAAAATTTGCCAGTTAAGCCCCCTCTATATAAGAACCTGTTTGGCCTAAAATTTGAAACAGGTTCTTAATTTCTAAAATCTACGAAAAAATTCTGTACACTTGGGCAAATACTGACAGGTCAACATTCAGAATTCTCCTTGCTTTATCACTCTCACAGCAGTGTAATGATATATGCAGATTTTATATGAGGAAAAAGCGGAACAAATAAAAAACTCTTAGGTATTTTGTACTTTTTCTTCAAAAAGAACCTATTTAAGAACCTAAACTTGTGCTAATTATACCATTTGAATAAGAACCTGTTTAGGCTAACTTGGAGAAATCCAGGTTCTTAGTCGCGAGGTTTTACTGTACTTCTAGCTTAGACATAGATTCCACACGCGAACATGTTAGTCCAAATAACGAGCAATTTTCGGGCTTGTTTATATTAGAAAAGCGTCCTAGCCATGTTCGGCTTCTACTGCTCAAGATCTGACGACCATGTTCTCAAAAATATAGGGTAACTTATTGTGCGAATGTTACGAATGTCATTTATCAGTTGATAGTTTAGCACGTGATTAGTTGTTCATTTTAGATCAGGTTTGAAAACGTTACTGGGCTCTGTTCTTGTCCATCTTTCATCTTTTTGTTACTCAAATTGAAAACCATTTTGAACTTAAAGTTTACAGGATTTGTTTATTCTACCCTGCAAATGTCATCAAGTTGCTGTTGAGAGCACGATATGGGCTTTACTTGGTGAAAATAGGACAAGCCTTTTTGATGAAGTCCAGTCTAATTACAAAATGGTATGGCATCCGATTCAGGAAGAGTGTTCAACACAGACCAGCACTAAATACGATAAAACGTAGCACAATTTAATTTTACATTTCACTGAATTACGGCGCGGCATGCGATGTAACTAAATAAAAATTGATTAGTTAAGCAAAACTAATAAATACAATTTTATAAGGTACTGAATCCAGTTAAGGATTGAATAAATACTGAATAAGTTAATTTCCTCAATTGAATATCGAGAAAGAAACACGAAAAATGTTGCATGGTTTCTATATACTGCATGGTCACACAGTAGTTACTAGTTTCTAGTGGGAACTGTAATGTCCGTTAGAGCAACGCGGGCACCAGCACGGTAAAGGGTCCAAGACTTGTATACGTATAACGCGATCCGGGAAGGTAGCTGCACTAAGTTAAACCTCCTAAACGTTTCAATGCATTCATCAGCTGTCTTAAGAAGCGAAGCAATCTGTATGATGACGAACAAAGCGATGACTCTGAAAGATCACCCACTTCCCCTACGCGGTTTTCTTGTGTATTTGTGTCAGGACTTTGCTCAGACCTGCGTCTGGTTTGAGTTAAAGACAGTTCCTTGTTGTGAGTGAGAATCATGGCTGTGTGACGTAATACTTTTTCACTTAGCTCCTCCGGTAAAGGTTCCAGCTGCAATTAAAAACCAAATTAAAATTTTACTTGCAAAGTCATGCACAGTAAACAACGACAATTTTAAAAGCTTCCCACCAGGCCGCCGGCACAAGGATACAAAAAGATCGGTTCAAGAAGTATTAGAAGGAAACGTTATATTTCTTTGCGTGCTTTTTTTCAAATTTCACTTCAGTTCTACGCCGGAGTGGTAAAGTTTTTAAGTGTGTCTGATTTACACCACACTGGTTGAAGTGAGGTAAAATATTCCTGACACAGATATCTGATAGAATGTATTCTTAAACTATAAAACTTACAGATCTCTCGGTACAGAATTACCTCGCAGATAGTAGTTATCAGGCATTCTAAAGTGTCTCTTGCACCCTACAACAAATAAAACTAAAAACGTCACCAAAAAAATACTGTAATAAAAAACTATATTAGTCACATGTACACAAGGAAAGGCTAGGAGTGGGCCGGCAAGGCATGAAATAAGGGAAAGAGGAGAGAACGAAAGGGAGAAAAAGAAAGCATTTGTCGGCGGCGGCAGTCTAAACTTACACGGCCAAGTTTCTTGACAGCTCCTATAGGATCATTCATGTTTTCCTCTAACGTTGACACCTCGCTGTTTGTAAGTACCGGCTCCTTTGAAAAAAAAAAAAGACCCGCAACACGAGGATGAGCTGTTTTGAAAGCTGTGTTATCTCCTTAAAGTATGAGAATCTGATTTATAGCATTTATTAACAACGAAGAAAGCTCTTAATTCTTATGCTATCTTGGAAACATTAAGCCATACCAGCAGTATTCGGTTCCGTCTGTCATTTGTACTTACCGCTAAATTATCCAACCAAGTCCACAATAAGCGAGTTAGCACCCAGGGATCAGTTTCCGTGCATACTTCCTCCCAGCTATCAGAGCTGTTCAGTTTACGCTAAGCAGAAAAACAGGAATCTTGTACAGTTTTAAAAAATTCATGAGTTGGGTCTTGAATTTTAATAGTGAAACCCCAAATGGAAACGGAAATCTTTCGTCATCGATACCTAGAAACCAGGAAACCAAAGACTAAACTAGCCTTATTTTAGAGAGGGTACCACTAAACTGTTCTAAGAACTTATAAACCTGTGGCCCTTTGAGTATGTTCAAATAAATAGAAACACTTTCTAGTTCGATTTTTTGATAAGAAAGCAAAAACGGAGAAACCGCAGAAAAATCCGGACCACGGAAACTCAGCCTTCACAAATGCATGCCGGGACACATATCATGGCCCGGCAGTGTTTCCTTTGATTATATCAAATGTGCTTGTATTTAACAAATCGACAACATTTCTCATCCTGGCTTTCACAGACTTAAGAAATGTTCAAAACTCTAGTGGAACCACGAGGCGCAGCTGAGACGTTTCACTGTAAAGTGAGGAATATTTTGAAGTTGAGGAAACAGATCAGGGTAACTCTGTTTTATGTGTGTCTAACTCTTTCTGAGCCTCAATTTTTTAATATTAGAAAATCAGCAAAGTCAGGAGGAAAGGGTTAAAACTGACCGCCAATAAGCTAGGAAACTTAGAAATGAATCCCTATTGGTATGGTATAATCCGAGGAGTTACTTCATTACTGAACCTCTAGTCTTCTGAGGAGCCCTGGATTAATTATACGTAACAACCATACAAATGATACTAACGCTGAATATTCCAAACGTTCAGTACTTAACCAGTCACTTAGTAATAAAGCTTGCCGCTCAACCTATTCTCTCCATGCACTCTATTATGTACCGTCATTCGGCGACTGAGTACTAGCTAATAGTCCGGCACTCACCTTTATTCTCTCCACTCTATTATGTACACTGCTATCAGCACAGGCGCTTGATGACAGGCACTTTGCTGCTTGGATTCTGTCACTTGTTCCTGGTTGTACTGTGTTTTGTTTCAACGAACTTAAAAAACTGTCCATGTTCACCATTTCATTCACTGTTTCGTTGCTGTTTCTTTGCCCCCCTTTTCCTTTTTTTTGATTTTTCTTTCTTGTTGACAGGTTAAGTGGTTCAAGTTTCACACTACGTGGAGAAGGATTAGATGGAAGACCATCCGACATTGCCCTCTGATCACTGCCAGCAGGCTCTGACCCACGCCTTCCATTTGTCAACTGCTCCACATTGAGATGCTTTCCTCGGCTATAATAACCAATCTCCCCTTTTAAAGTAACTTCTTGAACTGCGTCCCAACTTTGAGAACGTTGCATTACTGAAGTCTCGAATGATGGCGTATCAGAATCCACATAAGGGTTATGTTTGACGGCATCTACTATATCCCTTGAGAAGATAGAAGGCTGAACAAACTCTTCAGCAGACTCACTTATGGTGTCATTTTCATCCGTTTCCTCAAAAACAGCTTTGACTTCTCTGGAGAGTGTCCAAGTAAAAGGGACATCCTCTTTCTTTACCCCAGCCACCTCCAATAGTCGACAACAACATAAGTACACCAGCTTCAACACAGGGGAAAATAATTCAACAGAATAAGATACAAAAAAAACTGCAAACCGGAAATATAACAAACTATATCCAGTCAAAGCCAAAATCGATTTCAATCTGATAAAGATGGTAAATCACAACAGAAGCATATTTCTGATCACAACCATAATCATTTTTCTTATCACCTTGCCGTCCTATGACACCATTTCTTCATACAACGGTACACGAATTAAAAAAGTCGAAAGACAAGAAAAAGTTTTGTTTTCTGTAAGTTTAACATCTACCTTGGGGATGTATTTAAGAACTCGTGACTCCACGCCATGTAAAAGATTTCTCTGCCGCTTAAGATATTGTTGCATGGTAAACTTCTTTGCACTAGGTGCGCTGTAAAGTCAAAAAGAACACATCAGTACTACATTCATTGCATAGTAGGTATTAATTTAGCTCGTGCTAAGTTGCTCTGTAGGGATAAATAAACCGCAAGCACTAACAGCACTAATCATTTTGAGGTTTGTTATGTGTCCTGATCGGTTCCTGATCTCCAATGTGATTGGTCAGAGCACAATCATCATATTGCCCCCAAATATATTTCCAGGTGTTCAAAAGTTTTCGAGATTTGAGAGTAACTTTTCTTCAGCAGTAGAACTCTCCTTTACCGCATTTTTATCCAGACTTGTCTACATAAACTGTATGAATATCAGTTTTCTGTGTTTTTAAAGACCTCTCCATTTTTCCTGACTAACGAAGGGACCTGAGTGGGTTGCCTGCAGGACCACTGATTTGCGTCCTTTAGAAGTCAGATGATTTATTTAATAATAGTAAAAACATATCGACCATTAACTGTAGTTGTGAAAAATCACTAATGTTATTTTCATGTGAGAGTCATGTTATCATTTCAAGCTGCCTTAAAAATTTACAATTAACATATCAGTTACAGCTAAAATATTTTTTTAAAGAATTAAGCTCACCATGAAGGATATACCACCCAAAGATGGTGCAAAAAGTTTGTGAAATCAACGGCACATTGAATTTGTCCCCGAGTCTGTACTGCTTTGGGCCTGCAAAGTAAAGAGTGTCAAATAACTGACACAACACGACACGTGCATCAAGAACTGGACTTAAAAAAAATACAAGAAAAAAAATATATAGGTTATACATCTTTCATTCAGTGTTTGGTTATGCTGGCTTGTTGTTGTGCACACTGTGTTCGGTTTGGTGTGACTCCAAGAGTTTGTTTTTTGTTGATGGAAACACTGTTTCTAACACCATTTTCAAATGAAAATGAAATTGTCAGAGATCCTGCAGGGTTCACTTTAAGACACTCATTTAATATAAAACAAAACCAGTTCTAAGAAAATTATCTCTCATAACCTGGTTACAACCAGATACCAAAACCCAAGTCATGCAGCAAGTCTTGTTGGCTCACCAAGAAAGGAGTTCTCATCCCTGGTGTCAATTAGTTCTAAGTCACAAGATTTTTTATCCATATGTTGCCTTATAGAAGAATATACTGCTATGGGTGAAACAAAGTATTAGCAAATATATTACCTACATGGAATTCACTATACCTGTTTGATCGAACCTGATGTATTGCCTGAGAAAATAAGGAAAACATAAGCACTAATGAACATGGAAGCTTTAGAAACAGCAATTCCAAACAACGTTACTAAAATTAAATGAAACAAAAAAAAGGGATAAAAAGAAGGCCAGACTGTCACACAACTCCTAAGTTATATGCAGTCAAATAATATCACAGCAGGGTCACGTTGTTTTTACCTCATCAGCCTGTAATCTCTCTGAAAATACAAGATAGCAAGCAATAAGGACACCAGTTCTGCCTGTAAAACACAAAGACACATTCTAAGGTTTAAAGTATGTTCTCTCTCGCTCTCATTTTCGCTGAAATGATCTCTCTGTTGTAAATGGAAGGTGATTTGCAAAAGTGGATTGTAGCTTGTTCTAATTTACCCAAACTTGTTTTACTAAGCATAAAAAAATATAAACTAATTTCCCTGACACCAATCATCCTTTAATTTATACCTTCATTGTGTTTGAAATCAGTGACTCACTTAAACTCGTTGCTGTTGTTTTCCCCTCATTTATATTTCCTGTTTTGTAGTTAGTTGTCACAAGACTAAGAAGAGTTTGCTTCTTTGGTTGCCTTGTGCAACCTAAGTGGTCATGCAGTAAACACATAATCAGAAAACAATAAAAGTTTTTCATTACAAAGAACAATCAGTTGAAAAAGCTTCCTTGGTTTTCGTGCTCTTTCTGGTTCCCTTATGCATTATTGGAATGGAGAAAGACAACTCATAAAATTAAGGTTTGGTTTTGGCAGTGTATAAGCAATTTATCGAAGAATTTGTTTCATGTCTATAACCAAAAAGAAAACAACATTTACAGAAACTGACCAAGTCCTGCATGACAGTGGATTGCCACCTAAAAGATAACGAAATTAAACTATTTGTTATAAAGAGACATGACATTTCAGTGATTATGTCTAAACCAAATGGTTCCACCTAACATAGAACCCTGTTTGTGATTTCTTCTTTAGTTTCTATGTGTCCTGAACATCAGTGAAGTGAAAGTGTTACTCCAGGCTGCATGTGGCCCTACTATAGCAAATTCCATTCACGCTATATTCTTAAAGCCTGCTGATGACCACAATTTCCCACCTGGTAACCCAGTCAGTCCATGAATATCAGGCGTCAGGTAAAAAATCATAAGAGAACTAAGGTCACAAATAATCGGTGTCTATTGGGTCGATCCTGCATTAACCCAGTTCTTGAATGAATCACCTTTCCTTCCTGTAGAGCAAAAGACATAACCTTCACCATATCCAGAATAGACTCTAATGATCGCACACCATAATCATTCCTGCCAGAAAGAAAGGAAAAACAGCACATATTTTGCAGTACAGCATCAAAAGGGACGTAGTTATATTGGACTTCTTGCGCAAAATAGAATTTGGAGCCTTTCTGCTTTGCAATTAGCCTGTGCCACATATGACGAAACTAAACCCCTGGTTCAAATATTAAACAGGATAAACTAAACTGTATGTCTGGTCACCTTGCTATCAATTTTCCAGAATTTTACAACTGGTTAACAATAGGTGATTATGAAGAATAATTAGTTATTCTTAATTAATAATTAATTAGTTCCTATTAGCTGGGGGATTTGAGCCACTTATCAGAAACAGAGAAATATTTTGAATAAATAATAACTGCATATATTCACCAGTTCAATGAACAGGAGTACTCACCAACCAAAGTTGTAGAAGAAAACTTTATAGTTATCAAACACATGTGAAAAGAGAAGAGAGAGAGAGACATTAATGATCAACAACATAACATATTTAATGTTATTAACAAAATAATATGTCAGATTATAACCACTTATTTAGTAATGTTTGTTAATTATAATGAAATATAATAACCTTCTTTCAGTATGTTTCAATGCATTTTATTAAATTTTGAAAAGCCCCAACAGAGAAGTAAATAATCAAGCATTAACGTTATTAAACAGCTTGCAGTCTATTAGGTTAGGTAATAGTGTTCTGTTGTTATACCCAATCCTCTATACCACAGGTTTATTAAGGTAATCAATTATTATATCTGAAATACTTATACTTGAGTTGCACATACTATCTTCTTGCATAAAGTGTTCTGGGATGTAAGAGAAACCACTAACAGGCTCAAGACCAAATCCACAACTGCTATGTTCTCCAGGATGTTGAAGATTTATCAGTGATTTGATTCCATTCCTTTGAAAAAAGAAAAGAATATCTAAGACAAGGATTACCAAGACACTGTTAAAGTGTCAACTCAAAGTTGCTTGGAGATTAGCTAAGAAATGAGCAAATAAATTTTTAAGGAGCCAGTGTGCAGGCATAGGTTACACATAACTACTGACTGCCTTATGGTACATAGAATAATCAGACTAAACTTAAACGGGAAAAGATTATAGTTCAATCTATATATATAGCTAGGCAATAATGCTGTAATTTCAAGCAATCTTCCAGAATCAAAGGCAATCCCATGAGGCAAAGATCGAGACCTTGCAAATCTACGACATCAAGAAAACATCAATGAAGATGTGAGTATGACAAATAAATACACATTTCCCAGACAAGAGAACCTCGGAAATAAATAGACTGTTTTGTAGACTAGTAGTTTCCTTTGGCTGATGAAGTGCTGCAAGTAGAGTATGCATGACAGTCAAGTACAAAGCTACCGTTACAAACACATCCACGATACATACGTATAAATGTCACTCAGATTCAGAGTAGTTGAAGTTGCTTCTATTAGTTGAAGGTTAAATCACTGATATCTCAACTATCTATAAAGTGCAACACAACTTCACATATTAACAACTGCAAAAATCTATCAATTCAAGGTTCATGGTTCATTTATTTCACACTATTTACAGAGAATAACATAGAAAGAAAAATATAGTTACAATAGATGATTACAAAATAAAATAATTAATTTCAACATACAACAAAGTGAATCTGCAAATCGAATCTATTCAACCGTAGAGTTTCAGTAATTGCAGCAATATTCTGAGAAACGTAATGCCTCAATACACCATGAAACAGGATTTCCTCCACTATAATATTTTAACGTCCCACTTTACTGAGTATTCTTCAGGGTATTTGCTTTTTAATATGCGTGTATGAAAACATGGAAATCAAGGGCCTTGATTTGGGGAAAATTGCATCATTGCCAAAAAGCCAGAACGTGATCAACTAGGCACATTAACTCAACCATCGCCAAAAATAAACCAGTTGCTCATCATGAATCTCATTTGCATACAGTGAAAGTCGTCACGATTCTTATTCCCAGGTTCCATGGTTGCCGCTAGGTACGCCTGGGAGCCAATCCTCCCTTTTGTGTCCTAAATATGGCTTGCAGATTATGACTCTCAGTGCTTGGCAACCTCAAGCAACTACATTAACCTTAAAGCCCTAAGAGTGATCAGCATCAAATTTCTCCTTGTAGTATCAATGCTTTATAAAACAGAGTAGTCAAGGGAATTGTGAACATGATCACACAAGATGAATTTGCTTGATATTTTATGAACTTCTCCCCACTACTTCTGTAGGAAATGAATATGGGCAACAAATGAGAATTCAAATTTTGATCTTAGGGTTTAAAGCGTTAATACAGTCGGATTTTGATTTAATTTTCAACCTTTAAGAGCACCCTGGAGGCATTTTTCACATAAATTTGACTCTCAAGCCTGGGTTAATCTCAGAAAAATCCTGTCAATTGGGAATTTCAATTTTTTCCAAACGTTTCAGATTTGATACCTAATAAAAACTAAAAATATTGTAAATATCCCTGGTCATCCCTCATGGCTGGGGAAAAAGCAGGAGCAAAGCTTGGCATTTCTATTTGCCAATGCTTCCCGACCTCCGTGATAGTCAGCCATTTATTTGTAACATATGAAAACCCAAATAATCCAAAACAGCTCTGTCTGAGAAATGTTTACATTGAGGTCATTTTCAGACAAGGCTCTCTCTTAATAATAATATTTATGTATTTCTAGAATTATGATCATTTGATATCATTATAAGCTAACACACCTTTTAAACTGATCAATCACTTGATATTTCTCAATAACCTCGGTAGATGGACGAGCTGTGGCCAAAATGTCTTGAGTGACCCTTGGTAAAACAAAACAAAAAAAAAATAATACTGGTAATATATACCAAGGAGATAATATGCTTTGTCAACTTATTATTGATTTATAGAAATGAAGCTTTTGGACTATGGAGGCATCCATTTGGTGGGAGGGGGGTGGGAAGGAGGCACTCAAAGGAAGTTTGGATAGAGGTGTGCTCTGAGTTCTTCAAATTCATTTTACAAACAGCATAAAGAAATTTAATTTGTAAACTAAAATCATGCCAACCTTTTGTTTACTTTGGAACAAGTTAACACTTCAGTGGTCAAAAAAAAAAGAAGTAGAATCTTAATTATTTAGCAAAAGACTAACTGGTCCGGTGTTGTAAACTTTCATTGTATGCAAATAGGTCTTAGGGTTAGGGTTAGGGTAATGAGCAAGCGGTATATATTCGGCCATAAATCACTTTTTTTATCTCTGGCAATGACGTAATTTCTCTAGAATCAAGGCCCTTCAATTTTGAAGTATTTATACATGCGCTTAGCCTGCAACTACAGATGTATTTCCCGTCATTGCTAACACACATACTAAACTTAAATGCTGCTGTAACAGTGTCCTTGTTTTAACTCATTGTAGCTCATAGTAGCTCATTGTAGGTAATTCCTTGCTTTAATAACTACAGAAAACCATTACCCTGTTCAGTGGCACATACCTGTTTAGGCCAAACAAGGGAGTGCACCCCATATCCATCCCCCCTCCCCCCCACTTGAGTTAAGAGATGTGCAAAGGGGAAAGCCTGAGCAGGAGGGGGGAAGCATGCTAAATGGAGCATCCTTTTTGCACCTTACACAGTTAGTTTCACCAGGGTTCCTTGTTTAACTCTTATATTTGACTGTTCACAGTCCCCTATTTTTCTGTAAGACGGTCAAGATCAAGAGCTTTTTGTCACGGGCCGCCATATTGGTTTCCGGAGTACACAGAGAAAAACCTCTCGGAGCAAGGGAGAGAACCAACAACAAACTCAACCCACATATGGAGTCGACACCAGGATTCGAACCCGCGCCACATTGGTGGGAGGGAAGTGCTCTCACCACTGCACCGCCCTTTCTCCCTTAGGGTGGCGCAGTAGACAGTAGACAGTAGACTCGGTACATATAGACCATGAGTAGTCCCCCATTTTTCTTCAGGGATAGTAGAGCGAGCGAAACGTGAGCGAGCGTGAAAATCACCTCACGCGAGAAAAGGCGACACGCGGCGGGGAGAGAGAAAAATGAGGGACTACAGACAAAGCCCAAGCTTTTGACCCTTCACGGTCGACTGATTTTGGAGTGTGAAGTGTGCATCCCCTTCCAAATCAATTAAGCGCATCCAATGGGACTCCTTGCCTCATTGAGCTGTCATTGCTCTTGTCATCGGTAAACTGCGGGCCGGGGATATTTATTTCAAGCAAAAGAAAACCCAGATACTAATTTTCTTCACGGCTGTTTCGCGTGAAGAACTTGATAGTGTAGTCAACACACGACTTTTAGTCATGGTAAAATGCTGCTTGTTCCATTTTTTTTCCAGACGGGTAGATTATTCTCTGGAGGAAAACGTTTTGACTGAGCAAATGTGACTTTTGCCGCTTAGTCATACTGAAAGGTCGTGACACGCATATTAATTTTCTGCGGTTATTGTTTATGGTCGGCATGACTTGCCCTCTGATGCAAGAGCATTTTCTTTGACCTCTTTTGAAAGTAAAGCTCTTCAATACGGCCAAATAAGGGTTTTGGGTTGTTTAATTTCTCCGGCGACTGCCTCCTGGATCTCAATAATTTTAAGCGATTTTCTTTTTGGCTGTGAATGTGACAGTTTCCTGCAATGTTTTGTCATGCTGGGCCCAACTCGTTAGCGTTTTTAGCACGACGGATAGTGATATCCAAATCTCGAAGAATGGATTGCAGCTTAAACTAAAACTACATCAACCATGGAGAACTGCGATGTGAATTTTAACTACCACTTGTTTTTCTGGAGATAATGTGAGTCTTTGGACTGGAGTGCGTAGTTCCTTTTTTGAAAAAGCTTACATTTGTAACAGCCTTGCGACTGTTCTGTTATTCCCACTTTGTGATCAGGCAAGACCATGGTTTTGGTTCTCCACGTGAACCTCATCAGTTACCGGGTTGGCTTTCTTCTTAGTTGCTGCTACAAGAGCAACTCTAGTTATTTGTTCTGCTCTAGTTATTTGTTCTGCAAATTATGATTATGTCAAGTGTTGATAGCGGCTGGCACGTTTTTGACAGATGTTGACAGATTTCCATGGAAGAGCCAATCAGAGTTTTGCTTTGTGAGAGCAATGCATTAGTTCAAAAGCTTGGGCGTTGTCTGTAGTCCCTCATTTTTCTCTCTCCCCGCCGCGTGTCACCTTTTCTTGCGTGGGGTTATTTTCACACGCGCTCGCGTTTTGCTCGCTCTACTATCCCTGAGGAAACATGGGGAACTACTCGTAGTCTACAGTACATATGAAATGAAGATGGCGGCCTGTAACAGAAAATGCTCGATCTCGATAGTCTTACGGAAATATGGGGGACTATGAAAAGCTTACTGTTATATAAGTGATTCTGAGTGGGAGCAAAAACACCTGTTGGCAACTGACTCACACAAAGTTTATTCGACTACGCCAATTAATTCTCTTTTTCAAACCTGTCGCTTATACAACGAGAAATACACAAATTCCTGACTGTTTCTTCTTCATTATACACCTACGACAGTACACTCAAAAAGAGTTCCTTGCGATTGCGCGGCGAACCGTATAATTAGGATCATACATACCATGAAGAATAAAGTCCATTTATTGCCATTTCTTCTTTTTTCATCTTAGCAGGGTTTTCGTATTTGCACTGCTTTCCTCCACAAAACATCGAGCATTGGAAAGCACCAGGTGTTACGTGCCGAAAGTGCTCGGAAATACGAGAATACTTCGGTCCGGCATCTTTAGGAACAGCTGAGGAAGACAAAGTCCATTTCACTTCTCCCGAATTGCTAGCATCCATTGTAGATAAAGTCAGGCAATGTTTTACAGATCCATCACTGGGCTGAACCACAGAATCGTCGAAATGCTTCCATTTCACCGGTTACTATGGTACACAAACATGGTGTAAGATGTTGAACCGTCCTTTACCGTAAAAGTAGGTCCAAAGAAGATAAGCAGTGAAAGTCTCATTCACATCAACGTGCACCCTAGCAATCTACAAATAAAATGAGCTCCAAACACCGACCGATTTCTTCAGTTGTTCGGTTTTCTCACTGGTATTTTTTTATCATACCTGTTTTAATTTTATCGGCTCTATGATACCCTCTATGATAACCTCATATGAGCCGCTCATAACGGTATGTATGCCGCACGAAACGTCCCGGTTCATAAACCGCATGAAGCAGATCAGGCCCGAGAGGCCCAATTTTAGCGGTTCTCATACTCTAACGGTACCCGCCGGAATGTTATTTTCAAAGCAAAACGAAAATAGAGCCAGATCTCAGGTTAGCTGGGAGCAGGGCTGCCGCTGAGCTGTAGTGCATGCAGTACCAATAGTCAAACCATCAATCAATCGATGAGGTCACGATTGGTGGCACTGGTGCAAAAGTAGCCTGTTCCAGGCTCCGAGATGGTGGTGGAAAGTTAGGTGGAAACTGAAAGTCGTTCAGTAAAAAGAAATACGAAAAAAGCGCGGGGGCTGGGGAGAGACAGGGCGGTCGTGCGCGTCTTATTTTCGCTCAGGTTAGTGCGAAAGGGTCTTTTCAAATAGCTCTAGCTATTAGAACCGTTCCGCCGAAGAATGCTACTTTTATACCGATGTTTTTGCTACACACTATCCTCTCCCTTGACTATATGAAACAAGAATCGCCAAAAGGCCATTTTAACTGGGTTGCCAATTTTCCTGGGGGAGAGGGTGGCTGCAGCCACTCAGGCCACTAGGCTTGTCGCTGACCATGACATAGCATTGGAAGCCTTTTGTAACAAGAAAAATTAGTACCATTTTTTAGTACCTTTTCAAATTTCACCATTATGAATGAAAATAAACAAGTGAGCCATTCTAAGCAGGAAATCCTCTCTTGCAGGAAACAATAAGCATTATTTTCACGCAACCCTCCCCCAATCCCTCCGTCCCCCAAAATATAGTGTAAGAAGTGTGAGACTGACTAATTTGATCTAACCGGAAATTCCAAAAATTATTGTTCTACAGGTAATAAAACGCTGTTATAAACAACAAGGAGTACATTTCTCAATTCTGGTTCTTAAACTCTAACAAAGCAAATTAAATTTAAGTTTTGTTTTTGTCTGATATTGCGTTATAAAGCCTTTCTAACTGTACAAGTGAATATACACACATAAGTTGAAGCTGAAGTTGAAGTTGAAGTTGCCTGATGAGTGTGGTTCCATCATTTCAGACCATAGACACAGCAGTGCCGCAATCAACGATCGATGATTTTTTTTTGACGCGATGATCCACAACGAGCACATTCCCCAGGACGTTCCTTTCTTGTAAGGAATGACCTTTCACACGCAAAGCAAGAATAGCAATTAAAAAAACTTCAACACAAAGAGAAGAGAAAACTTAAAAGCGACCCATCCTACCATCTTCTGAAAATGGCACTGATAAAAACTGACAATGATAGCTTGAGAGTCTTTATTCATTGAATGTACAGACACACTTTAGCCACAAACACAGAGAGAGTATATGCATATACTAGAACCGGCTCCGTCTATAACCGGCGCGCGCTACATATATTTCATGTGGCACGTGCGCGAGTATGCAATCTAGGTAGCTAGGTTTAACGAACTTTTAACGGTATTTAGTCTTGTAGTAGGACTTGTACCTGACCTGCGGTCAGGCGTTTTTTTAAAGGGCGGACGATGCGAGAGGAAGAGAGATATAAAGTGATTATAGGGAGAGCGCATGATCTCAGGCTAACTTGTACCCTGAAGAAGGCAGCATTGCCGAAACGTCGGTTAAGACTCTTAAATATAAACAGCGTCGATTTCTCAATTTTTCAAGTAAACATCCGTCTATAACCGCATTTGAAGTAAAAAGATATGAAGAAGGAAAACTAAACGTCATTTGTATTGAATATAAATGGTATTTTTGAGCATCACATTTTGATGGTCAATACCATTTTCAGGTCTGTAGCAGTCTGTAGTAAGTTTTGTTGACTGGTTTTTAGGATTGTGTCTCAAAAAATATTCTTGATTTGCGCCAGAAATCGTTCTTAAAATAAAGTGGTTGGTGAAAACGCCGCGACACGAATAAATAGAAGTTGTTCGGGTTATGAGCTCTTAGCCCGCACGATGACATTCCAAACTCCACCTAATTCGCATGCCAAACGTGCTGCAAGTTCTTTTCCGGTTTTGGCGGCTCAGCGGAAACTGGATCACTTTAGATTCAAGATGGCGGGTGCAGCGAGTGATGCAGCGTCGATGTTAGCTGAAGCCTTACAGAAAATGGACGGACTCATTTCCGATGACCAACTTATAATGGAAAGCTTAAAAAGTCAGTATCATGGTCATGTAACAACCAACAATAGAATTCTCTCCCTAGTGGAAGAGCTTAGGGCTCATGTCGAAGAGTTGCCTATTAATACCAGGTCAGCAATTGAAGTTCCTGAGTCAACCGTTGCTCTTCTCATTGATTGGTTGAGATCTATGCAGGTAACCAAACTAATAACTTTGTTCGCAGACAATTTACCTTTATTTTTACTTGCGTAATTGCTGAGGAAATTTTTGTTTGTTTGTTTGTTTTTAACTTTTATATTCAATTCCTGATGTAGACAACCTTCAAAAGTGAACGACATCAAGGCGAGCCTTTGACAAATGGTGAAGCACATATTTCGTTGGTCAGTAGATTAGAAGCGGAAAAAGAATCGATGATCTTACAAGTTAGTGTTCTTACGGATCAAGTAGAAGCTCAGGGAGAGAAAATAAGAGATCTGGAGTTTACGAAAGAGGAAATGCAAATAAAATTAGAAGAAGCAGAACAACTGCTTGATAGCGTGAGTATACAATTAGTCTCGCTTGCGTAAGCAGCGAGACTCATAATCTGCAACCTGTTTTTCTTCGTATTTACGACACAAAAGGGGGTTCATTGTGCGAGGCATTCCTAGCTGAGGCCCGGGAAACTGGGAATAAGAATCGTTGCCTAACCAAAGCCACCCATGTTTTGCGAAGAAAGCTTAGGAAAGATTAAATGTAGAGCTTTTCGAAAACATGTCGGTCCATCGCTTGAAAGCTTGATTACCATGGACCAACTGAACACTGTACTGAGTGGTCGAAAAAAAAAAAGAAGAATCTTACTTAGCAAAACTGTGATGGTCGGATGTTGTAAACTTTCATTGTATGCAAATGAGTCTTGTGATGAGGACGCGGTTTATTTTCGGCCATGATTGAAATGATGTGCAATGTAAATCACTTTTTTGATCTCTGACAATGCTGTAATTTCTCTGGATTCAAGGCCCTTGAATTTTCGTGTTTTTATACACGCGTACATAGCCTGCGACAGCACATGTATTTCCGGTCGTCGCTAACACGCATACTAAATTAATTCAGAAAGAAATAAAAAGTAAATATCCTGAAGAATGCTCGACGTCGCTTAAGTAGGAAGTACAAAACCTTTAGCAAGTAAATCCTGTTTCGTGTAGAATTAATCGCCTCCTCATTTCTTGATCTAATCTCTAAGCACGTGAGACTGAACACCGCTCTAAGAGTGTTCTTGTTCCATTCTATGATGAGCCGTGTGGTGTGTGGGCAGGGTCACATACATCCAAATATTCATGTTACAATGAAGTGATTAAGAATCTCAATGTGATTTCAATGTAATTCAAAAACACTTCTCTGCGAAACAAAATTTTCCCCTTGGGAGGGACAGGAGCTTGACACTGGGGTCAGGGGTGCCACCAATGGTTCATCAGAACCCTGGCCAATACCCCATCCTGTTTAGGACAAAAACAAAACCTAAAGTGGGAAAGCCAACACAGTCCATTTAAGAACCTATTTAGGACAAGCAAAATATATTGTATACTCTGTTCTCACTGGTGGCTAAAAACCATGCAGGTTCTTGTAATAAGCATTAGGATAAAAAAAGGATTACAAAGGGGATTGAAATTTGTTTGTGCATGTTCTTTGGGGTAGTGTTAGTAAAACACTGTTTATCTGTCAGTTTTCCCGATGGTGGGATATTGACGAGGACCACATAACCATAATTTGTGGATGGCTTGTGTCAAGAGAAAACTGTTTGTGAAAATAAATCAAATTAGAAAAAAATTAAAGTAGAGATTGAATTTACATTTTAATATTATGGGTTGCTATTTTTTTGGTCTTTAGGAGACTTTGAAGTCATCAAATCTGTTAAAGAAAAAACTAGAGTTGGAGACAGAGGTTTCTTCACTACAAAAAGCCCTGAACAAACTAAATCCAGGAAGTGGTTCAACAGAAGGCTCAGTACGTTACTCTTATGGTATACATGTACCTTTCATCATGCCCGCCCAGCCAGTATATTGTGTCTGTGGAAGTTAGGAGAGTGACCTTGTGGTGTTTATTGCCCAAGGCTGGTGGGGTAAAGATGTTGACCAGAACAAACCTCAAGGGTTATAACTCTCACCTTGTAAAAGAAAGATCAGTAAGCTATTTACAGGCATGGCAGAGGAGTTGTACTGGAGCCCAAAAAAAAAACAAAAAAAGCAAAACAATCCAGCTAGTGAACAGAGCGGGAACTGGACTTACAATGTCCAACATGCTAACTACTTGGCTGCACAGCCTCTTTTGACAGAATGGTGATTAATTTTTTTAACCATTTTGTTGGCTGGATCACTGACACTTACTTGTTGTATATTCTACAGGAAAGATATGAAAGCCTATTAGCAGAGAAAGACATGGAAATTGAAATGTTAAAAGACCACATTGAGGTGCTACTAGATGAGCAAGAAACACTTAATGGACCTGATCATACCGAAGGTAATAAAAAGGTACAGAAAGCTAGCGGCTTCGCTTGTTATGTACTGATTGCACAATTTTTGCGTAATAAATTGGTCCTAGATTCCATCTGAGTACACTTGCTAATTCATAAGAATTCCCAACAAAGGGTTTATTTATTTATTTATTTATTTATTATTTTCCCACAATAAAGATTACACAAGCATTACATTATACAAAGATGTGGCGAGGGGACCTCAGAAAACCACAAGGCTTGTACGAGGAGGCCCCCTCGTTACAATAATATTAAGCAATAGAACTATAACAACACACAACAACGGACAGTACAAGACGCATTATCGATATAGTAGAAAATCAAAACTTTCGCTTTAAAACGATTGCAATGTAAAAATCAAGTGACTGAGTTTGGTAAAGAATTCCAAATTTTAGGGCCTTGGAACAAAATAGAAAATTGTTTGGTGTTAGTTCGGCAGGCATGAGAACGGAAATGCGAGGAACTTCTAGTATTATAATTATGAATATTGCTACTAGTAACAAAAAGGTTCGAAAAAAAAGCGGTGGCAGTAATTGATGATAATATGAAAACATAAATTGTGCAGTATAGAATGAATTAATGTTGTATATGTCCAAAATCTTTAAACGGAAAAATAATGGTTCAGAGTGCGCTGAAAAAATCTGCATTTGTAATAATTGCACTGCTCGCTTTTTGTAGAAGAAAAATTCTATTAAGGTTTGTTACATAAGTGGAGGACCAAACTGTGGTACAATATGTTAAATAAGGATAAATTAAGGTATAATAAAGAGACTTTTTGTTGTTTCAGAAAGAAAGAAACGAGACCTAAACATGACGCCAATAGATTTTGAAATTTTCTTACATATATAAGTAATATGCGGCTTCCACGTTAGATGCTCGTCGATAAAACCCCTAAAAATTTAACTACCTTTACTTGTTTTAATAAAACCTCATCGTACAAGACAGGATTTATTGGGAAGTCGACTGGTTTTTGCCTTGCTGCAAAAATGATATAATTAGTTTTCGTTATGTTAACAGAGAGCTTATTTGCTTTCATAAAAGATCAATTTGAGATAAATCATTATTTACGGCAGAAATAGCACAATTTAAATCGGGATTAGAATAAAACACACTAGTATCATCTGCAAAAAGCATAGTTTCAGCAAGACGAGTAGCACAAGGGAGGTCATTGATATACAAAACAAACAATAATGGTCCTAATATAGAACCTTGAGGGACTCCACAGCTCAGAGTCAGCCTAATAGAACAAGTCTCTTTGTACTGGACAAACTGCACGCGATTTGACAAATAGCTTTTCAACCAGCTAAGTGCTAGCCCATGAATCCCATAATGCTCAAGCTTAGACAAGAGTATTTGATGGTCTAAAGTATCAAATGCTTTTGATAAGTCTAAGAATATGCCAACTGTATATTCGCTTCTGTCAATAGCAGTTGCAATTTTATTAATAAGATGAATTAAAGACAGCGCTGTAGAATATTTTTACGAAATCCAAATTGGCAACAGTATAAGATATCTAAACGATCTAAAAAAATTTGTAATACTGATTGTGCATAACTCTTTCAAAGAATTTAGAAAAATTAGAAAGAAGCGAAATTGGACGGTAGTTAGTGAAATACTGGGAATCACCAGCTTTAAATACCGGAATCAGTTTAGCAATTTTCAGTTCATCAGGAAATACTCCTTTAATAAGAGACAAATTGATTACATTGGCCAAAGGCTGAGAAATGAGATCAAAGGTGCTTTTTATTATATCCATTGAAACGTTATCATATCCAGGCGACTTTCCAGATTTAAAAGAGTTGCATATTTGATTTAGTTCCAAATATTAGTTGGATTTAAGATAAGCGACTCATTAACAGAAGCGCCAAGAAAACTACGAAAAGATACTTGTGTGTCTGGAATTTTCCTTGCTAAATTCGGACCTATGTTGGTGAAGAACTTACAAAAGCAGTTAGCTATTTCTTGTGGATCATTTAACAGTTTTCCATCAGAGAAAAAGGAATTTGGCAGAGCTGCTTTTCTGCTCGGTTTGTTGATTACATCATTGATTAGTTTCAAGTTTCTTTCAGGTTATTTTTAGCCTTCTCAAATTTTATATCATAGTACTTTCGTTTAGCAATTTTTATAAGATGATTCAGTTTGTTCCGATAGCGTTTGTATTTTAACTCAGTAGTTGAGTCCCTAGAATTAATGAACTGCTTATAGAGTTTATCTTTTTTCCTGATAGAAACAAGCAGAGATTGCGTTATCCAAGGGAGCGATTACTTTCTTTTGTTTTAAGTTTTATCGCTTTTAATGGAAAGCTTTCATTGTATAATCGAACATACTCACTCACAAAACTATTATAACATTCATTAGTATCGCTTTCATCGAAACGTAAATTCCAATTAACACGAGAAAGAGAGAGCCGAAAATTGCTCTTATTTCTTTCTGAAAAATCTCTTTTAGTGAGATATTTAGTTTGGCTATTTTTCGACGCTATTTCTGTCTCATCCACTTCATAAACAAAAACCGGTAGATGGTCAGAAATATCATTAATAACAATACCATTGAAATGTTTACACCTTACATTATTCGTGAATATATTATCAATAAGTGTGGCCGAATGAGCAGTGATCCGAGTCGGTCTATTGATTAGAGGAATGAACATTGGGAATGTTAATTTCAACAAAAAGAGTTTCGATCACTTCAGGTTCAGAATAATTACAATCGCGGCATAATTTGTATTCTAAATCGTCAAGTAAATAAAGACCTGCTCCACCGGCGGACTTGCTATCGCGGTGGTTCGAAATAAATTTATATCCAGGTATTTCCACCTGGTCCGACGTAAGCTCAGTTAGCCAGGTTTCCGATACGCATATGGCAGAAAATGGATTTTGCAAATGACTAAGCAGGAATTTAAATTTATCTAAATGACCGATTAGGCTTCGTGTATTAATATGAAATACAGAGAAGCAAGGAGAATTTGAACTATTAGTTAGCTTAGCATTAATTTCATCCTCAGTATAATAATTACTAGGAGGAGGAGAAAAAGTAAACTGTTGATCTGGATCTAACTCATTAAAGAAAAACTGATTAGAGACAGACGAATTATCAATTGGGTTGTACAAAAGAGAGCTTAATCGTTCGCTATCATAATGTAGAGGTCCATCGTCATTTCATATAAAGCAATATTAAAATCGTTATTGCCTAAATGAGAAAAAGGGAGCTCAGGCTCAGGGAGCTCAGAGTCAGAAGCCATTTGGCTTCACTGGCTAATAATTAACTGTCAATGTATATAGCCCGATACTTAGCTTTGTCTTGAGTTCTTGAACTCCTCAAAATTTGCCATAGACATAAAAGAATAGACTTGGGATGCTGGGTTATCATCTTTACGCAACAAAACTTTGCCATTCTTTGTCCAGGCAAACTTGAAGTGATTTACCCTCTTGAACTCTTTAACCTTAGCCAAAAGCTCATGGGTTCTTCTGGGTCAAGCTCTCGTTGATATACAAGTCAAACTCTTCGGTAAAACCAAGATCCATAGCTGTCTTACTCCTTATCTCTCTTTCTGCTCAACAAACGGTCACGGACATTACGACGACAGAACTTTACAATTATTGGAGGGCATTTCGCCTTCTCTACTTGGCAGACGATGGCTGATAGAAATGTCGGCCAACGAGATCTCAAGCTCAGGATCAACCAACTCCACAAGCTTACACACAAGATCGTCTGTTTCTTCATCAGGTCGCGTGAGGCACGCCCATGTATTTCCAACATATCACGACGAAGATACTGCTTTAATGCCTCGCTGTCGTTTTCGACTTCCTCCAGCTTAATTTCAAGATTGTTTAAGCTGCCCTTTCAGGGCATCTACTTCTGATCTCAGGCGCCGGTTCTCCAGTTAGATCTTCAGTTGCCTTCTTAGCCTTTTTTCAATTTGGCGTCAACAAAAGCTTGGCTTCGTTTAATTTCGCCTATATCATCTTTGTAAAGCTTGAAGTACTTAAGCATCATATCGTGAATAGACTCAGATTGCTCCTTCAACCGTCTTGTCAGAATTACTTCAAAATCCTGAAGACCGGCGGCCATGTTTATTGCTTCGTTGCCATCCCGGAAAGACACACTTTCTTCGGTTTCGGATAATTCCGCTTGTTCTGCTGCCGTCTGATTAGCAGATTGATTTGACGGCTTCTTTTGGCCTTTTTTTGATTTACCAGACATGTTTTAGAACGTTTAGAACTCAAAGAAATGGGGAGCTCAGAAAAATACGTCTCACCCGTCCGTCACCACGTGTGTTGTTCTTAGGTTTAACAAACAAAAGCTCTAATAACCAGGCTTGTGAACCTTCTAAATTGGTGAAGTGCCTTTATTTCCACTTAATTAAGTAGTAGGATGCTAAGTACTGTACATGCAGACTGTAAAATGGTTGTCTCTATTCCACCCCCAGGTCAGCCCTCTATGGCCTTGAAATCACAGCTGAGAGAAAAAGGTATTTCATGTTGCAACTATAATCATTTTTACTAGTGGAAGTTTGAACATGATTCTAATTAGGAAGCTTACAAAAAGTGGTATAGCATCAAACTCAACTGCACTCAGGTACCAATTGGTTTTCATTTGAACCAGTGGCATTAATAGGTCCTTTTTGCTCCTTTGATAGCCTCAGAGGTAAACCAATTGAAAATGGAAGTTGACTCCTTGACAGCATCTTGCCAAGAAAAGGACCAACAGTTACAGGAAGCTCAACAATCAATTCTTAAGTTTAAAAGAGTGAGTGATTCCTTTAACAGATTTGCTGATTTTACAAAACTTGCGAAAAACATGAATATTAATGTTTTTAAGGGTCAGAAGTAGCTTGTACTAGTTGTAATAAGCCTCCCGTTGATTTTGTTATCATTTGGAAGTATCGCTGTCCTGTCTTTATCTGGCTCTATGTAGTAAAAGCCATGATGAGAGTTCAATGATGGTTACCCGTTGCGCTTTTGATCATATTTGCATGGAAAAGGCGCGTTATAAATTTTTAATTATTATTATTATTATTACCCAAAAAAATTGAATGCATATTTGGATGCAACATCTTTCCCAGGATTCTCTTCTACTCATCAGGAGAGAATTCTTGGAACATTAAATAATAGCCTTATGAAATTGAAGGGTTCTCAGCTCAGCAATTTGACATTGTCAATGATATTACTGATTTTAAGATAGAAGAGATGCTTATGAAAGCAAACCAGCAGAAAGGTTCCGATGGAAGCCCGGTTGTTTCACTAGATGGTATGGACAGTAGCAGTGTTCACAGTGCAGATGCTTTGACAACACCTAGCAGTACAAGTAGTCCAGAGCCATACAGCCATCAGACTCCAAGTTCTCACAGTCGGCCTGGACTGCTTACAGGTGCCTAGCTAACTTTCCACCATAATTATATCCTAAACCTCTCTTTCATGTTCACTGTCCATTGGTAACGTGCTCCATGTTCCTTTTCCATGCTCCAGTTAACCTATTACCTCAAGCTCAAATCAGTTTAAGTTAGTGCTGGTATGTTGATGTGCTTTTTTTTCTTCTCAGAATCATATACTCAAGCAGTAAACAATCCTGTGACACCAAGTTTAAGAGCCCTTAAGACACAAACCCCTCCAAGTCCATCAAACAGGAAGAGACATGGTATTAGAGCATCATTTGGCAAAGGCCTTATGAAACTAAGAGGACATAAAAGCTCAAGTGAACCTAGTTTAGGTATGGGCTGTCTAATATATAGCAATATTTGGTGTTATACTGTTGTACAACGAACTTGGTTTTTCTCTTCTCTTGAAGGTTCAATTTGCCCAAGTTTTCAAGGAGAAATCACTAGGACTTTACGCATATTGACATCAGTGTACAAATCTCTTTAAAAATTCTTTCACAATTAACTGTCTCCATGAAACACACAGGAGCTCTGGACTTAAGAACTCCATCTTTCGTTTATGATAACCACGCGACCTTTCTTTGTTGCTTTTTGCTGTAGAGTATTTGATTGCACACAGTCAAGTTTGGAAATCTCAAATGTGTCATTTCTGTGGTTACTCCTTTTGATTTAGACATTGATCTACAAAAATCATTGGATTTTTCTAGAAAAATAGGATTCTTTAAACGATAATAGAAAGTACATGTAATACAAGGATACTATACGGGTAAGTTAAATTTAAAAACTTGTCCTCTTTTTGCACTTCAGTTGCGACAGATCATGCAGATAAAGAGCATATACAAATAAAGGTACAATGTGTTGATTTGCTAGTCAAATTTACAAATTCATGTACACTGTACTGTCACTTTAACTTGAAAGGAATATAAAAGCTATTTGTTATAATATAGTAAAAATAATAATGATAATTTAAAATATATATGCTCATATAATAAGCTTATGTAATAGAGCTTTCACAAAAATTAATTATCCATTCATTTTCTAACCCTGCCCACCAGTGCTTAACTTGGATTGTGCTATACTCACCACGATGTGCAAAGTTTTGGGAGACATTATTTCTATTATTAGTTAGGGGGAAAAGTTCATCAACCTCTTATTTCCTTCAAATTTTCAGTAATAAGAGTTGTAGGTAAATTCCTAATTTCAATTCTTGAACCACAATCCTCTTCATCAGATGTTAACGAAACTGTTACATGACTGTAAATGTAAAGATTTTTTATTGTGCTGAGTGGCAAGAGTTTGTCCAGCATCTGAGAGATTTTGTCACGACCGGTAACCCAAGATAAATAACTATACTATATGCAAAACAAGAATAAAAAATGTCAAGTTAGTTGATGCTCCTGCCTTCTATTATGTTCATTTTGAAATGAGGGCGTGATTCTCAACTAATACAAATGCCTGAAACAAAAAATTCAAATTGAACTTAACAGGGTTAAGACTCCCAACTGGCCAGAGGCAAACTAGTTGGTTATTTACAAGCATGGCCAAGGATTTGAACTCGGGACTACCTTGAACAAATCCAGCTAGTGGTCAGAGCGGGACTTGAACTCGGGGCCTCCAAATTACAAGTCCGGTGCTCTAACCACTCAGTCTCGTTGCCTCCAAAGGTAGAAATAGGATGAACAGTTATGACGTTTTTTTATTTTTCAGACTTTTAGGTATTTCAGGCAACAGCAATTTGCTGTCTGTCCTCTTTAAATTGTCTTTTGAATTTGCCCCACAGATGCAGCATACTGTAGTGGTATTGCTTAACATGTGACACCTCTTGTGGAGAGCTGAGTTGTTCTCAGTTTAACTGATCTTGTCTGCTTGTCCTTGCTTACTTTAGGACATTGCTAAAGAACAAGAGAGAAATCCTTCTCAGAATCAAGACGAGGAAAAGAAAAAGAACTTAAGCAAATTTGGAAAAGCATTTATTAAGTAAGTGACTGAACTAGTCTTTCTTGATTTCTATCAAATGCATTGTAATATTTTATTATTAGAATTACTGGTATATATTAAAAAGCAGCTAATTAAGATCAAGGAATAAAAAAGTGAAATTTTTCTCCAACAGATTACGAAGGACAAAATCTCTTAGCATGAATCCTAATGAACGCGTTGGTCCTGCCGTGAAAACTCTTGATCTCAAGAGATTCACCAATCACAGTCACAGAGATTATGGGTAACTAGTACACAATGAATTTTTTAAAAAGCTCTTGTCTTGTAATATAGGGCCATGACTTAAACTATCAGGATATAAAAAAAGTTTTATACCAGCAACTGATGATAGACTCAGTTTGATGAAACATGCAGACTGCTGTGTGGTTGTATTAAATTTTGTGCTTCTTATGGTTTTCTTGTTAACATTTAAAAAGTAGCTAAAACGCATTTAAGCTTGTTTGTGTCATACTATTCAGTGACCAGCTGGAGCTTCCATTTGGTCAATGGAGTCCACAGATGGTAGTAAGCTGGTTAGATGATCTTGGATTAGGGCAATACTCTTTACAGTGTGGCCGACATATAACCTGTGGTCAGGACCTACTAAGAGCATCACCCTCCCAGCTTGAAAAAGACTTGGGTTTTAAGAATCCATTACACAGAAAGAAATTACAGTTGGCACTACAGGTTTGTTCCTTTGTGTAAGTTTAAAATAATACTTATACCCAAGAAGCCAGAGACTTTTTTATGCACAGTTTGGCTTCAGCTTCGAATGAAGATTTGTCAGCATGCTACTAAACTAAAGCATCCTCCATTCCTCATCCCATCCCCCAATGTGAGGTAGCACCTAGCATCTTACACCCAGGGAAAGTAAAATGACTGTAAAGTACATCTAGAATTATCACCTGCCCTAGGAATGTTTCTGTGAGTATATCATTTCCATTCTTTTATTTAATGTTGTAACTGTGTGTGTGATTTGCTTGATTTGTGTCTATATACAGGCATTAATTTCAGAAGGTCCAGATGTTATGGGCAGGCTAAGTAATCATTGGGTCTTAGGTATGTTCTGAAATGAGAAATATATCACAAAAATTTTTCAGCAAATTGTGTTATAGTGGACCTCCACGCGCACATGAGCGGAGCCCCATACCTAAGAAAATGTACACCTGTCCACCTGTCCGTCCACACCCCAGGGAAACCAGTGTGAAATGTCAATTTTTTCTAGCTAGTGTAAGGGCCTGTAACCTGTGTTAACCTGATAATATACATCTATATCATGGTCAATTGACAGGTGTCAAAACAGGGTATCCACTGACCAGTGTTGTGGGCTTAGATGCCAACTCATTGAGGCCACATGCTTTCTTTAAGTTTTCTGCCTACCAGTTGTTAGCTTTTAATTGATCATGGGCTCAAGTTTATGTTTTTCAGTCACATGGGTTTCCCATAAATTGTGGTCTTTTCAATTTTGTGAAGTTCACTGTCTGCAGTAAATTTAAAATCCATAAACGGAAGCTTTGCTTTTACCTCTAGCAAAATCTACATGTTAAGGATATGTACATACATACTTTATTGGCTCGTCCCCACGGGGCTTTTCAGAGTCAATATGTCTGAAATATCATCACTCAAGGAGTTCAGTAGCTCACAGCCACACTGTCTATCTTATGGCCCTTTTGTGACCAAATTAAGTATTAGCAGTTAATATTGTTGTAAAGTTTGTGATATAGAAGTTTCCCAATTACTTTTTAGGTTGGCTTGAAGATATTGGCTTACCACAGTACAAAGATGCTTTCAGTGAAGGCTCTGTTGATGGGCGCATGTTAAACTATCTCACATTTGTAAGTAAAGAAAAAGAAGAAAATTCCAGTATTACTAAAGTTGTTGCTTCATGTTATAAATACAGATGACAGGTCTTGATGATTAACTTAAAAACAAGTTATTCCGAACACCCAGTGCTATTAAAATCTGTTTAAATTTCTCGGTTCTCTGACGTTATTTATGAGAATCTATAATAACCAGTTCTTGTGAATATGAGAGGTACAAGTGGAGAGGAATCCATTTAAAGTGCTTCTGCTCTTTCTTTATTGGAAGGGCAGCCTTAGTATAGCACTGAACCAGCTGCAAGGCTCAGAAGTGAGAACTTTATTGGGGAACTGAATTTCTGACCCTGTTCCTCCTAAACCCAATCTATTTGGAGCAATGAGTATTCATGATTTAAGTATAAATTTTAATGTGTGATTTTTTCTTGTAATGATAGAGTGACATGCTTCATCTCAAGGTACATAATGCACTTCACCATATCAGTATCAAGCGGGCGATACAGTGCCTCAGGTGAATTCTACTTTATTACCTCATGCTTAAGCTTTTTATCTTAAATATGAAAACTTGAAAGCTCCCAACTGTTGAAACACTATACATGTTACGCAATAACATTTTTAAGTGAAAAAACACCACCCTTCTTCGTTGTTCTTTTTTCAGTTTGTGAAGAAATAATTCTGAAATTCATATCAGCAACTAAAGCTAAATCGGCTTTGGAATCTGTTTATTTACTTTTCCGTTATGACAAAAGCAAGTTCTGGCATATTAAATAAGGATAATTTTTTCAGTATGTTATTATTGTGATGTTACTGTTGTAACTAGTTTAGTGTTTTTTTTTTTTAAAAAATTAAATCTTGTCTGATGTAATATTGGTTTTTAACAGTTTATGTAGCCAAAACCATTTGAAACTTTTGTTATCAGAAATATAAAAGCAATAATAATAAAGCTTTATATGTTGAGTGGGAGTGAGAGACTTGTGCGTGTATGTATTCTGGTTGGGAGGGAGTGCTGTGCGTACCCCTCTGTCTCACCTTGCAATCTACTAATAATTGAAATTCTGCAAAAATAATGCTCTTATTTAGCAAGTTGTAGTTAAATCAATGTTCATGTTGCAGATTACACAATTTCCATCCAAACTGTCTGAAGAGACATCCTGTGGATGAGGTATGGTTTCTTAAGCCTCCATCTACACTAAATAATCCACAATACTAGTAAAAGCAATAAAATCAGAGTTAGGAGAAAGAAACAAAATGCTTAATTATATTTAAAAAAAACATGAGTTATTTCCTTGAAACCTGGCGATTTTTGTATGAGTGACTGTTACTTCAAGTCTTAATGCCTGGTAATAATACGGTCAAACTAAGTCTACCATTAATCAAACATTGCGTAATTTGCATTTTTAAAGGTAGACGGAATAGCAAAGGATAGACTTTGTTGTGTGTATCTTTTGTACTTTAAGCTGTCATATATGATTAATTTTATTGCTCCAATCATTTTCATGTACAGTAATATTCAGTTTCTGGACAATCTCAAGCAATAAACCTGTGCTAAACATAGGAGAAATAGGGTATATAATTCTTGGTATACTTACACTGAAGCATTCAAAGTAGCCTCTGCATATGTTTCTTTATTTCTTTATTATTAATTTCATTTAGTCATGGTTAAAAGGTGCTGATGTATTACTTTGGACAAATGGCAGAGTCACAGAGTGGTTGAGGTTGGTGGATTTAGCTGAATATGCACCAAACCTCAGAGGGAGTGGTGTGCATGGAGCACTCATGGTAAGAGCTTATGTTTGTTAACCCTTGTTGAAGTAGGATGTGTTACTGGATGCCTAAAGTACAATAATAATATTATTGCACTTTGGCATCCAGTTAAAATTATTTTAACTGCAGTCTGATAACTTAGTTGACAAGTGAAATGAAAGAAAATATTGTAAGTACTCTTATCGTCTTCTTTCTGGCACAACATATCTCTATTGGGAGATGATGGTTGTGAGCTCTACTTTAATTAACTAAATAAATGGGGTTTTGTTCTTCCAGGCCTTGGCCACCCCTCTAAGAGGGTTGGGGTAAGGGGTGGGGTTTGAGGTTGGAGAGTTTGCCTTGGGCTGAGTTACTTGAAGGATGATTAGTACAAATCCAGGGCTGGTAAGCATATGGCAACTCATAATATGTTCACTAGTTCTCTAGTTAATTTAAGTTAACCTGGATTTTATAGCTAACTGTGTGGGCTTCAAGCAACTGACAGCCTTGATGTGTTATGTCCTCATGAAACTACAGTTTCCTTGAAGACATTATTTGCCTGTCTATTGAAAATATAATGGGGCAAGCTAGTAACCTGCATGTGCAGGAAAGAACAGTTCATTGAAACTTACTCACTGATGTAGCTAACTTCTTGCAAGTCAAAGGTAAACTTCTATTTTACGTAACATAATCTTTCAACCTTTAATTCAATTTACATTCACACTATCACTTACAGATTCTTGATCCCCGCTTCACGGCAGAGAGTCTGGCAGCATTATTGTCCATCCCAACTAGTAAAACACTCCTTCGAAGGCATTTAGCAACTCACTTCCAGTCACTCGTAGGAGCAGAGTGTCATTGTGTGAAGGAAGAAGCTGCCGCTGACCCAACATTTCAGCAGCTAATGCCTGGCATCAAACACAAGGTAGAGTCAAAACATAGTTGACTGCTTTCTTGGATATTTTTAAGGAATGTCTAGCTGACTTGAAAACATTTTCCCTCTAAAACACAAACTGTAAAAATTTATATCCAACTGAATAGCTAATGCCTAAAATGTTTCTGAAAAGAACTAACTTGAATTGGGAAAGTATGCAGTCCAAGATTGGTGTTTTGAGCAAGGGGCAGTAATGTTTTTGAGACAACAAAATTATTATGTTCTATCATATTTATATTTCACCTTAGAAGATAAAAAAAATCATGATTTCAACATGTGTTGAGACAAATCATTCATCAACTGTTGACTTTGTTTTTGTCATCCAAAGAACCATATTTTCAGCACAGTTGACTAAATTGTTTCACTTGCTTGTCCGGAATTCTAATAGATTGTGAAAAGGACAGTATCTTTGGGTGCTCTCCGGAAGCGTGGGAAAGGGGACCTGGAACTGGATGACTATGTATGTCCAATGGACCTTGAAGTGCCTCCAGCACTAAAGTCTTATGTCATGCAGCGAGGTAGAAGGTCAACTGACTCCATTCGATCCAGGATAAGAAGTGATGATGAAGGCAGTCTTCAGGTATTTACAACCATCTGCAAGAATGGTAGCTTTGAATGAGTACTAGATTATGTGGCAGAGTTTTTTGGTGATGGAGTGGTCGATTTCAAAGTGCAATGAAACGATAATTATTACTACATAACGACAAGATACTTTCTAAGCTGGCTTATCAGTTCACAAGTTTGAGATAATTTTTTTATTTTTTAGACTGATGAACATGTTTCAGGAACAATAGGTGCCTTCTCTCAGGAACTTGACTCTCTAACAGTAAGTACTGACATTTGTTTTGCTAATAATTGCAGTTATTGATTTATTGATTAAATCTGTATGAAGAAAAAGTCATAAGTTTTACAGACTGATCACTGGGATTTCCTGTTCACCAGATCTCAGGGATCACTTCACTTCAATGTATTTGTGTTTCGATTATCACTTATAGTCATTTGCATTCTTATGGATCAGCCAGCCTGCAACAACATCACATTATAAATATAGGTGTTACAGTGTGTAAGATTCAGATGCACATTTCTTCTTTCTAGAGCCTAGAGAAGGGTGTCCATTAAGGAGAAGATCTGGAGTCAGCTTTGCTGTAATACTTTTCTATTTGATTGTTTTCGCCCAACACAGTTCAAAATAAGAAATTCTAAACCCAAGAAAAAAAAAAACAGCAACAACAACAGGAGAAAGGCATTATTGGCGAGGAAAATACTTTGGGAGTCATTTTAACCAAACTATTATTTTCTCCTTTGTTCCATTTTGTAGCACATGTTGAAAGAAGAAAGACATAATGCCAGGGATGCCCTTATCTAGTAAGGAGTGTTTCTTTCGACTGGTTGCACTGAATTTCCTGTCCACTAAGTAAGGAGCATAACAGAGAATAACAGAGGAACTGCTTTGTCATTAGGCCTCAACAAAACCTGGATCAGAACAGATTAGATCAATCCCTGTTGTTCACTATATGAGAAAAGATTGCAGGGGTTGATCTGGTCCTTCTTAACTCTCATAGGAGCTAGTTGCATTCTAGCAATCAAATTTTTTAATCAGCTTTATATAGATTAGATTTTAAGTGGTTTCCTTTTGCTAGATACAACATCTATTTTTTTTTGTATGCCTTGCTTCACAAGCAGTCCACAAGAATTGAATAATTCATCCTGATTGGCTAGTTCTGTAATGCATATATCGGGGGCAAATTAATTTGGCCCATTTATATGGTTTGCTAGCCATGCTTCTGTTGGTTAATAAATGATGATGAGGGAATTGGCAAGAGGTCTAGAGAACAGAGTTGTTTTCTAAACAAACTAGGTACTAAAGCTAAAGATATTTTATAACCGTACTGAAATTCTCTACATTTATACGCTTATAATAGTTTATTATCATACAATAACTAATAAAATTAAGTTGACACACTGTTCTTGGGAGCATGTTTCTTATATTGTTTTTGTTTTTTTTTTTGTATTTGCTTTTGGAGAAAAATGTATTGCAGAGTTTGCTAGTTTTAAAATTTGCTTAACTTCAATATGGTTGGTTAACATCCAACATATCAAATCTCAGTATTACAAAACCAACTTATTATATAACCACCAATGAAAAACCAGGTGAGCTTTCCCACGAAAACTTGATATCTTCACATGTGAAAATATCACCGTTGCTTTGGCTTCATAATAAATCACACCTTCCACACCAAGAAACTATTGAAGTCAAATGGTTTTGTATTTCATTGGTGTTTATATAATAAATAGAACATTACATGGCCGCATGGAGATTCGAAATTTCTCTTCGAGTGTTGAAAAAATATTTCACTCGTTCGCTACACTCACTCGTGAAATATTTTTCAACACTCGAAGAGAAATTTCGTATCTCCGTGTGGCCATGTAATATCCTCTATTTCACAATCTTTCATCCTTGCCAAACAATTATTACTTCCCAACTAAACTGCCACAAAATTGTATTCAACAATGAGGAAAAAGGAAATGTTCCAAAGATTTTATCTAAAATCCCACATGACCCAGGCTTTGTATAACAGTACTGCAAAATAGCGTGTTTTATGTTTATGGGATGAAGCTCAAATCAGAAAATTTGTACAAGGATTACCGAATAATATCCATGAGTTAATTGTTTTTGCCCTTAATGCTCAGTCGGAGGCTCAAATTCCCCCTCCAAAGACAACAACGAAACTTTGTGGTAAGTTTCATGAATGGAGTTTAATTCTTCAGAAAATTTGTCACCAGATTTTCGTGATCTTCATCCCATACAAATAAAGTACTTTCAGCATTCTGATTGTCTTTAATCTGCACTAATAATTGTGGTGTACTAACTGAAAGGGGAAACACTTTACTGTTCCGCATTTGTTTCTGAGGATTGAAAATTGGCGGACCATATAGATTAAGTAATTAGCCAATACATCATATTGTTCAACATTTATTTCTGCACCTTTTACAGTCAATTATAGTAATTAGTTGCTCAACATAATACTCAAAGGAGTCTTTGATCAACATAATCATAGATACATCACACTACTGGTAATTAACTGGAAGTGAAATATTCTGAGTACTTCCCATCAAAAGCCTGAACTGCAAGATGCCTCCTATTCACTAGCAAGGGTACAACTAGAGGCCATTATTGTTTTCATCTACACAAAACAGATGCAATCAACTGTTCCTCTTTGGAAGCAGGACAAAGAAATCTAGCACAAAAACGTGAAATGCACTGAAGCCTACTGTAAATTGTTGGTGTTATTAGCATCATTCTTAAAAACATACATATCTGTATAATAATCATCTTTTTCTTGACAGTGCTGTAGAATTCTGGAAGTAAAATTAATAAGTAAACCCAATTTGGAGGTACCATAGGCCCGTTAAACAGAGCTTAGACAGGTGAGGTGCACTAGCTACTACCCATATGAAAATGGGTACAGTGCTTTGCATGTAAATGAATTATATATAACAGACAGGATGACTTACTTTGAATCATTTCAACCCAGAAAAACGCTGGCCAATTCCCGAAAATTACTACATTCCTGAGAACAGAAAGACCAGACTAAGAAAAACATCCACCAAATCAAATAATGTGACCCGACAATTTCTCACTTGAAATATGATTATGGTGGTTTTCTCAGTGTGTTATCTTGCTATTCTTTGTCAGAGTTTGAATATCCAATGGTGTGGACATAATATTCCTTGCTTATTTCCTTGGTTAGACACTGTTCACAGTCACATTATGGGGAGTCTTATCAGTAACTAATACTGAAATAAGTAAGGGCTGCTACTTTCAGAATTCAACAGCATTCTATGAATAGAAACTTGTTCTTACGTCACTCATAAAAACAAATCTTAAAAAAATATAAAGAACAGAGCTGTAGATTGAGAAAAACAGATACATCCCATGCTGGAAGCCGTAGATAATATTGATCACGATATTTCAGTTACATTTTGTAACAAAATAATTATTATTAAACGTAAACCTAGCTGTTGTTTCAAGTTAATTACTTGCACGCTTTTCAAGATAAAAATCAGTCAAGCCAGTAGTCCTATAAGACACAGCCAATTCCAAACTAGTAATACATTAAATTGAAGTGTTATAAGAGAGTAGATTACTTTCCAGAATTTTTTGTGACCAGAATTAAGCCGACAATCAGGCCATACAATCCCAGAACTTCTGCAAAAATCAAAATAAGAATCATGCCAACAAATAAACGAGGCTGCTGAGCTGTTCCTCTGACGCCAGCATCTCCAACAATACCAATGGCAAAACCTGAAGCTAGACCACTGAATCCAACACTCAAGCCTGCACCCAAATCAAGAAAACTCCTGCAAAAAATTAATGGAACCAAACAGTCAAAGCACTGACATACATGTTTTGAATACACAATGTACAGTAGTGAACATGGACCTAACAGGAAGTTCCCCAGGAGGAAGAAGGAAGTTTGCACAAGTTCTTACCCTTGGGTCCCCAAGGGAAGCTAATTGACACAGGATTTCTATGGGTGCAGTTGTTGCAAAGTTTATCAGAAAAAAAGAAGAGCCCTCTTAGCAAGAGTAACTGCCCTAGAGTTTATCTGTTCATTATTAGTTAACTATGCCTAAGCTGCACTTTGCATGTGAATACACAGTGTGCATCATTTTAGAGAGATGTAGTTTCACGTTTACGGCAAACAGCAGAGTTCGTTGAAAATTTCTCTTAATAGAAAATGAGCAGACTAAAACAGTCTAAAATGATTCTTATGGATGAAAATAATGTGAAACTACTAATTATATTCTACAAGTAAAGAACACTTAAAGACAAGTCAAGAACACACTTGGTCACGTGGCACAAAATTCAAGTTTGCCATTTGCCAAAAACATGAAGCTAAATCTCTGCTATTGTTGGTCAACAACTCCCAGCACTGTTGGACGTTACATGTTGGGTCTGTTTACAAATCCTGTTGAATGGTGTTGTGTTGAAACCAGTCAAACACTCAGCTACGTCCAAATGGAAGCACAAACTCTTAACATTGTTGGGCCAGCATGCTGGGAGTTGTAGTGTCTGTTTGCACGTAGAGTGAGGATGACAAGTCCTTAAACTGCTCATTAAAATTTACAGTTGAGTTGAAGCATGCTTTATGAGGAAGAATAGTTCTCACAATAAATGAATAGCAACAGTTAATGCACATGCACTTTTTGTGTTCTGAGAAAGTAATATGTTTCAATGCAATTTTGTTTAACTTTCTCCTCTTTGCTTTTTGAGTGTTTTCAGAGGTACTGGTTGAGTTCACTTTAAGACTACCTCTACAGTATTTTATCCTTTAGAAATAGGAATTTATGCTTATTTTCATATACTCCAAGTACATTGATTACCTTCAGTTAACCTAACAAAACTAAATGTACAGTTTATATAACATTCACTTTTCGGAAAAATGGTGTGGAACCAAATAATAATCAAACAAATGGATAACTATTTAATAAAACTCTTTTTAAAGAAGTGATCATACTCACTTGTACAGAGTGTAGTCGGTGCTAACTGCAAAAGAACACAAAACATCAGTTTGTCACAGTTCCTAACACCCTCCCTTGAGTTAAATTGCAAGGGGTTTTAGTATTAAAACCCTCCCCCCCCCCCCCCCCCCAGTTAGAGTGAGCATTGTGCCTTGTAACTAATACAGTTGAATCCAGACAACTCAAACCTTCTTGAAAAAAGTTTGAGTTATAGGGAGTATGAAGCAAATGACAAGAAATATAAAGAAATTAAGTGAATGCATGGAGAGAGAACGCAAGAATCATGCACACTTCACGTTAAGGGCAGCAAGAGAAATAAATATTTGAAAAGAAAATTAAACAACAAAGCCTGATTAATATACAGGGATGGACACTGAATTTGAATTGAAGTGACATAAAAGTAAAGACAAAGAATTGACACTGTTATTTATAAATAAATTAAATGTTTAAACTTCAGTCTGTAATTTTTGTTTTCAACCTGTCACATGCTTAAAACATGATTCGAGTTATCGAGGGTAAAATTATATAGAAATTGTCTGAAGGGAAACAAAAATTACTTCAAGTTAGCAGAAGGTTCAAGTTACAGTAACCATGTGAAAGAAATTCAAGGGAAATCAACTTTGGTTCGAGTTAGCACGAGTTTCAAGTTATCAGGAGTCAACTGTACTTTCATTGTCCAAGGTAGTGTGTAAAGACATATGAGCAAACTCCAGTTCACTTAACATTCATTACCAACAAAAGTGTAACACTACACCACAAGGAAGTGTTCACAAAATACCAGAGCCTGTTCCATTTATTGGAGTTATTAGAGAAGGAGGGCTTATAGGGCTAATTCTGCCATTGATTAATTTACATACAGTGTCCATTCAGGGTTCTCATTAAGTTTTGCAGTAGACAGCTAGGATGTAGAAGTGGGCAGCTTGGCAATCGACAATCGCTGAAGGTAATTTTAAGGTCTCACTCTTGTATCTTACTCTTTATACCCAAAGAGAACGTGGCTCAAAATTAAAGGTAGCTAGTTTTTTAACCGGTTACCGGCACTTTAAAGATAACCATGCTAATTTAGTTATATTTTCTATGATGGATGATGTCAACCACCCCCAAACCCAATTGGTTCCCATGAGTAAGATAATTAACCTGGCATGTTAAAAGTGTGAGCTGGCAGGCCTCTTAATTCCCTTTGTATCAAAGACCAGCTACTATGAACGGTTTATGAAGTAGAGTAGATCAGTTAGCTCAAATGCTATTAATATACGGCCACTAAATTACCATAACAGAAATTTGTTTCTGTATTTACATTGCTTATAGCTTTTAAATTCATGCAATTTCTATCTTTCCGATTATTTTGAAATTGCATGTGTGTGTTTTCAATGCTCCTATGAGTCACGTGGGTAAATAACCTATCTGTGTCTAGAAAAGCCACCATCTTCTATTAAATTATTTAAAAATAAACCTAAGGTTAACAGTAAATACACTTGGTGTGTAATATGTTCATAGTAACTTTTCACCCGTCTTAAGAAAAACAAATTCAAAATTTAAAAAATACTTTGTAGTAAATGCAAAAAGTTCCTTTTGTGTAAAAAAACATTTCTGAGTCATGACTTCATGCAAAAGAGAAAAACTGTTTTCAGTCGACATTTTGAAATGAAACTACTCCTGTAAACAAAAAAAAAGTTTCATTTTTGTCTAGACAAAAAGATCATTTAGTTTTGTTTGTAAAAATATTTATTAACAAGCAACGGTTTGACAGTACGGTGAGTGAGGTTAACAAGGTTTCATCGCATGATCAAGACAACTCACTTCCATTGCCGATAAGAACAGCTACAACAAGACCATAGATAGCGAGGATACCAGCCATAACTACTGGAATTATGGACTTCACAATGAGTTCTGGTCGCATCACACTCATGGCAGCAATCCCTGTTCCACTTTTGGCCGTCCCATAAGCAGCACCTAAAGCTAAAGAGTGTTCATACACAAGATCAATTTCGGCCCAGAAGATTCACGACTTATTATTAATCACAGAACACTTACCACTAAATACCATTGCGGAAGTCGCCCCCATGACTCCGAAGAAGGCCACATAAGATGGTTGTTCAGACATTTTCTCCTGGCGAAAGTTTTTAATATCAAATGTAGTATGAAATGACGAAACACCAGAAACACCAGCTGCTAATCAATATGGCGGCGAGCATACAGTTAATCATGTGACAATATCACGTGCTTTCCTTATCCAGACCTCTGCTCTCTCCTGGGAAAAAGGAGCCGGAGCGGTTACTTATTTCATAATGGCTGACAAGTGGAGATAGAAAATATAAGATGTGGCGAAATCCATGGAGACTTGAACGAGGAAATCTGAGCATTGGCTTGTTTTATGGTTTAAGAAGTTTTTGTTCGTGGAAAAATGCCAGGTTGCAATGTGAATTATCAAGAGGTACGTTATCGTAGAGTCAGGGTTATTTCAAAGACGAATATGTAAAACTCAAAACCAAAACACACCAAACTGGAATGTAATGAAATGGAAAATCTCTTGCTGTCTGCAAATTGAAATCAGCTGTAAAAGACCATTCATAAAGAAAACTAGACTTTAGAATCTGCATGAGTGTTCTGGGTTCTGGTCCGGGTAGTGGCCCTGTGTACTTTTTGAAATGAAATAAAACAAACTAGAGTGAAATGAAATGGAAAATCTCTACTTTGCAGAATGGAAACCTCTTGTTGTTTGCAAAAGGGAATTGACTGAAAAAGATCACTCACAATTTTGACTCAAGTCCTTGTTCAAATGTCGCAAATTGTTCTTGCTCATCATTTTGCTTTACATTCTGCACATAATTATGGTGTAAAAGTCTTTTTTTTCTCAAAATCAGTTTTGCAAGGTCCAAAGTCTTGGCATGAGATTTTTGTCTCACTCTCCATTCTCACTCTCACTCCAGATCTTATGTTTAACTGCTCTTGTTCTTGACCTGTGCCAAAATACAGGCTGTTTTGCAGTCTACATCTATTTGGGCCTTGCACTTTTCCTTTTCTCTTAAAGTCAATAATTTTATTTCGTTTTGCAATGCATTATACACAGGATTTTTCTTCTGTCAAAGAATTAAGACCTTTAGAAGGTTTTCAAGCCATTCAGGAAATGAAGATTTCTCAGATGATTCTAACAAGGCAATCAGTAAGAAAGCTACCAACAAAGGTATTATATCAAGTTGCTTCCAGGGGTGCAGTAGCCAGCCTTTTCGCGAGAGTTGGCGAAAGGGAAAGAAAGTGCTAAACTATCTAAATTTAGGTCACTCTTGAAAGAAAGTTCATGTATACCACAGTACCTCCAGAGGCATGTGCATATCATATGTACAAAAACATTTCAGGAAAACTTATGGGTGTTTTTGCTTGGCTTGTTTTTATTAAAGATTAAGATGAAAATCACTTTTAATCATTTTGTTATTGAATTTAGGTCCTTCCATGTAGCAGTTACTTGGCAGGCAAAATTTACACTTCTCTTCTGCAGGATTGAACTTTGCTTTAACACTTTGTTAGTCAGAGTAATTTGTATGTGTCACCTTTCCCAAATTCACAGACATGAATTTTTCACAGTCCTTATTTATTATGATCAACTGTTTGATGTAAAAATCATAATAAGTTGTTTAAGGGTTCCTGAGTTAGAAAAATATACATATCACTCACCACATTTTGTTCTGTTATTTTTGTGTTACACTATTAGGTGAACGATCAAAAAGGCTCTTCAAGATGCCAGCAGGTGACGTGAATTATAACAGAAAGTATTATCAAAATACCTTCCTTTCAGCGACCCGAGCTATGAGTGACTATCTCCTAAAACCAAGGTACCAATAGGCTGATCTTTGTGAGATTAATCAAACAATTCACATTTTTTATGCAACATTTTGCATGATTAATTAATTTTAACCTACAGTAATCATTAATCAACGCCAGTTGACGTATCAGTTGAGTATACTGTCATAAAGGTTGTGTTGATAAAAGTGATAGGAGGTCCACAGAAGTTGCTGCTGTGAGTGAGAGTGTTGGTTCTTTTATGCTGATAATATATTGACCATGCAGTACATTTGTGCCTGAGTGTGGATTCAGTCCACTCTAAAAATACCGCAGTCACATGCAGAAATGTTGTGTTTATTCTCTTTCCTTGGAATCTCATTTTACTTCATTTTATCTATATTTATCTAATACTGTTTCCTTGGATTAAACTGCAGTGATTTAGAAGGTCTTAAGACTACTTCAGTTCGTAGTGCGTACAGTGACCCTGATCAACCTCCTGATGTTTGTTATTTAAAGTCCGATGTAGAACAAAAGTAAGTCTATCAGTATAATAGCATTTTGTGTTTTTAAGTTTATGATTATTAAACTTAAAAACACAAATGCATCATTGAATCTACGATTAATAGCTTGAAGTAATAATAGATAAAGAGGTCAATTAAACATGAAGAAGATCATTGCAGTTGTAGACACAACTTTAGCAGCTGCAAAACTAAAGCCTGAAAAATCCAGGTTTATACAGGATTCATACACTTGATGTCTGCGGTATACTAGTCAGGAGCGGAGCGTATTCTTTTATTTCCTGAAAACATTTTTGTCATTAACTTGGTATGATTGATTAATCTTTCGCATTCAAAAATTATTGGTGTCTTTGCCCATCTGAAGGGTACATGTCTCGCCCTTTGCTGTCTTTGCTTGTAACCTACTTATGTGATGGCGTAACTGTTTTACCCTTTTTTTCCGTACAGTACCTTACCAAAAACACTAGAGAAGTAAAATAAACGAGGAAATATTGCATTTTCCTTCATTTTTATCTACTGAAAATGTCCTTGGGAAAAACGAAGGAAATAGCATTTCTGAGCCCCTAAATTTGAAAAAAAATACTGGGGGACCATACCCCCAGACCTCCCTGGTCTGGAGTACCTTCCACGGTCTAAATATGTGCATACATGTACATTGTAAAAATCTCACCCTACGCCCCTGCTAGTACAGTACTTTTACCAATAAGGAGCTAACAAGCCAACTGCTTTAAAGCAGGTATAAGAATAAGCATGATATGGGTTAATTAAGTCCTGTTACCAAGCCCATTTAAACCCTTTTTTAATGAAAAGTTTTATGTACAATATATCATCACGCTGGCAGATTTTTTAAATCCACTCTAATGGGTGCTTAAGCACTAATAAATAGAAACAACAACGAAAATGTCCTTCATATGATCACATCACCTTTTTGCTATATGAAATTGTGAAAATATTCAGGACTGTTTTTTTAAAAACAGTAAACTTTGTAACCTACAGGGCTTATGAAGTCTGGGGAGGCCCTGAAGGTCTGGCAAAAGAGATCTGGGACAGGAAAAAGGCATATGAAGAAAGTGAACGTTACAGAAAAGGTATTTGAAGGGCTTTTAAAAAAGTCTTTTTCATCAAGGGTCACATTTGTGTGCGAGGGGAGCTTTAGTGTTCAACACCATTGTGTACACTGTTATTTTGTAGGTCTAGGAGCACTTATAGGCCATTTAAAGAAAACAATAAGGGATCATTCTAAGAAGAAGGAAGAAAACAAGGTATTTATAACTCCATCTGTGTTTGGTTTTTAACCACACAATTTACAATGACTGCCAAATAAAATAAAAACTGAATTCTGACAATCTTGAAAAACTGCATGGTTTTATATTACCCCTGTTTGTTTGAAAACAAAAGCCATGCTGACATTTTACGATTCATCATTTTTTTACAAATTTGAGTGTCTTTGTATTCTTTCTCTTGAGGTACAGAACATTGAATTCTTGAAACCTATTTACATCATACATTATTTGCTATTTTAGATTTGATTTGTTTTGTTTCTAATATTGTAGCAATTTGGTGAAAGAACAGAGAGAAATATGATGTTAAGAGGCTCTGCTAAAGTTGTGACTTACGCAATTTGCAGGTATTTGTGGATGACTGGTTCTGCTGGTTTAGTACCAGCTTCAGCTGTCAAAGTTAAATTGATATAAATACTTTTTACAAGAAGATTGAAGATGACTTGCTACTTTGTAATTTGTATTTATTTTTTGTACCTCTACTTTTTGCAATAACTTTTTAATGTTATTGGAAGAGGATTGTGATTGTGACTAAAAATATAATCAGCAAGTAGATTTATCATAGATGATAACGGTCAAAATTAAATTCAGGTTAACATACAACATATACACCAAACTAGGATCATGCATTATTTTGATTTTTTTCTATTTCTCACATCTTTGCAAAAAAGTTTTGAACTCCCACGGAAGGGTTTCCAAAATTAGCCTAACTGGCAGATTCCTGCAGGAGATTACTACATTATAACAATATTTTATTTACAAATGCTTGGGAATGGATTAAGTGTTTTGACCAATGCTACTTAGTGACATTGGGGATATATTTTTATTTATGCATATGCTGAAGAGCAGAAAGAAATAGGCTTGACTTTTTCTATTCTTCCTACTCCGAGAGGTGGTAAATGCAGGTTTATATTTTAAAATACATGTAATTAGGGTAATGTTAATTCTAGGTAATTTTTTTTATTGATTACTGTAGCATGTAAGTTTGTTTTTAATACTGGTGAATAAGCAAGAATTCTTGTTTTCCTTTTCAGTAACTTAGCTGTCATGCTGTTTAAGTTTGGTGCATATTTGTACACTGGATCAGCAACCATGCTGTCAGAATCTATTCACTCACTGGCTGACATGTTAAACCAGGTATGTATTACCTACAAAGAGTGGTGTACATGGTTGCAAGTTGTTGACAGTTACTTTATCAGAGCAGGGGGTTAGGAACCACTTACAAGGACAGTGAATCTAACACAGTGAATGGAAACCTGACACCTGTGTCTGTACCCTCTAATATCTGTCATTCTTGCCTACGAATAAATCACCTTTTCATAACAGTTACTAATGACAGAGAGATCATTCAATTTTTCTAAACACCACTTTTCAAAAGTATAGCTATCATGACCTTTACACCTAAGAGAGAATTTTACCTGTGAACTTAAAGGTCAGGACATAAAAAACAGGCAGTTGTCTGCGAGCAGTAATTTTATGAGAGGCATATTTTATTTCAGTGCCTGTTAGCTGTCGGTATTTTGCAGTCCATCAAGAAACCATCTCCAGATCATCCGTAAGTCACCAAGAAGCTTCCAGGCACTTCTTTAATGTCACCTGAATAATCAGGTGACATTATTATCATACTTTAATAAACCATAATTAATTTTGATCATTTTAAGGAGAGTGTGTGAAAATCTTAAGTATCTACAAATCTGTAAGGATGTTTGTATCAAGTGAAATGTACATTTGAAATTGTAAAGCAAAAGATATAGTGTAAGTTTAGTGGTGTTCATTCATAAGGTCATGTTGTGAGATCTGGGGTACTGTGCTACTACAGGTAACTTCTGATTTCAGATAGAGAAGTTTTCACTTGACTGTCGCAAGGGATTGGTTTTGGTTTTGGTTTTGGTTTTACTACGCCCTTTGGTTGGCTAGTGTATTTACTCTGGTTTTGGTTTTACGACAGTCAAGTGAAAACCGCTCTAATATGATGGATTGTGGAATTTTAGTAAAGCAATAATTAAACACTCATTTTCTTATTCTATTTTGACACATATCAAACTCATTTTTCAGATATGGCTGGTCTAGGGCTCGATACGTATATTCACTTATCAGTGGTGTTGGGATTTTCTTCCTTGGAGCTGGTGTTACTATGTACCATGGTATTACAGGACTCATAAACCCTGCTCCACTGGAAAATCTTGCAATGGTGAGTTGTTACAGTATCACACTAGAGGAGATGGTCGTTTGGACAGCAAACAGAATGTGGACATATGACTTTTTTTGACAGTTAACTTTAATTCCAAACTGCTTTTAATTAATACTAACCTGTCCTTTTTTAGAACAATAATGTTAAATATTAACAGACAAAGAAGTGAAACACAGGCTAAGTAAGCCTCACATGAAAAGATTTGGCTCCTTTTTCAGTGTACTCTGTAGATGGTCTTTGAAAGGTAGCAAAGTTTTCATTTAAGGGTTCAATCTTATCACTCAAATCTCCTGCAGCCGTGTTCTTTCTAACTTTCGGCATTTTTGTGTACCACAGGCCTATACTATTCTGGCTGGATCGTTCTTAGTGGAAGGAGGTTTGTTGTGTAAAATTTTTTTGTACCGTTCATTCGCGCAAAATAATGGTTGAAGAATTTAAACAGATTTGGAGTGGGGTCAGATCTAGAATTGTTTTTTATACGTGTATATTTTCAGTTGGCTACAGTAATCACAAGGTGTTTTAGACATTTGTTAAGTTTGTTTTCAGAAAATAAGTATTTTGTGACATTTTTTCTTGCACTTACGAACTAAAGTCCTGTTTAGCGTTTGAATGTACGATAATTGTTAAGTCTACTAATAAACCGATAAATTTTTTCAATCATACAGTGTATTTCACTGATTTACTGTGCCGTTGTTCTGTTTAGCCACACTGTTGCTAGCTATAGCTCAAGTCAGAAAGAGTGCGCGGGAAAGTGGCATGTCATTCAGACAATACGGTGAGTACTCAGCTCGCTCTTGCTAGGTCTTCCAAAGTCTCCAAAGCCTTTTTACGGTATGCGGCTCCCGGGATGCGACTATCAGCAGGATCTAAACGTTTCAGTTAAGGATATATTTTGAGTCATAAGTATCACTCTTATACGGTTGTTTCTTGTTGACCAAGTACGGCATAAGTAACGATCGACTGTTTTGATAATTGATTTCTTAAATATAATGATTTTTAAGTAAGCTGTAGGACATGGAATACGTACGGTAACCCGCTAACGAGATCTCTATTTTACATTTAGTTGTACGGGGTCGAGATCCAAGTGCAGTAACAGTTTTATTGGAAGACGGTGCTGCTGTAACCGGAGTTATTCTTGCTACAGGCTGTCTTGGCTTGACATCTTACACTGGCAGCACTGTGTTTGATGCAATAGGGTCAGTTTTAATAGGAGGTATGTCAGATAAAATTCACATCCGATGAACTACATCATCGCTTTGTGCCTACCACCCTGCTTTTGACAATTTGTTTTCTTTTGATTCATTTTTTCTGTCTCTTCGTTTTGCTACTTACTTACTTACTCTCTTGGTGTGCTTCAGGGCTTCTTGGCTCATTTGCAGTATTTCTCATTGGCAGAAACGCGGACTTTCTGATCGGAAGGTACCTTTTAAAATTGCTGAACTTCCGATTGGCCATTTTCTTTATACGCTTAATATGGCTTATAGCACATGCGGTTATTCCACATGTATGTTTGTCCTTGCACTTTTCAGGTCTATTCCAGTCAACAGATTGCAGCAAATTATTGAAGTTCTAGAAAGCGACATAGTAGTAAGGTAAGTCGCCGTGTCTTGTATGAATCTATATGTTGTGGTTCGATTTTGTCCTTGGTTTAATTTTTATGTTCTTTTGTTTTGGGTATGGTAATGTATGGTAATGTTTGAAACAAAAGCAAATAAAACTTAAACCAAGGATAAAATTGAACCACAACATATTTCTCATATTAAGCGACCAGTCCTCCACCTCCCCTCAGCAATCTCCCTTAGGCAACATCAGAGTGACCGACTGACACCTCTAACGAAAACTCCTGCATGTAAGATGGACACCAGTTAAGTCAAACATTTCTGTCAGACAGACACAATAACAGCCTTATTAGCCTGTAGCTCCTTTTCAGTTTTTCTTGGGCGGGGATATTTAGAATTAGCTCAATACTTTCAGAAACAGGATCATTTTATGTCTCGACTCCACTGTTTTGTATTTTATAATAGTACAATATGTCTCCTTATAGAGCAGATATCGTCTGTTATTTCCATTTTCTATTAGATCCATACATGATGTGAAAGCCACTGAGTTGGGTGAGCATTACAACTATGTACAATCGCGCATTTTTGTTTTGTTCTGTTGATATACCTTTTAGCTCTTGTCTCTGACATCACGTCGTTACCTCTATTCAGCTGTGATATGATGACGATAATTGTGCCGTCCTACAGGTGCAGACGTAGTTCGATTCAAGGCGGAAGTAAATTTTGATGGACGAGAAATAACTCGCTGTCATCTTAACAGAGTGGATATGGAGTTGTTGCTGGAGGTAAGCTTATCTTTGTCTGTTGAAGGTGTTTAGATCCTAAGGAAAGCAAGAAGTATTAGGTTTTGGCAGGGGATAGGATAGCTTCGTTTTTGAGTTTCCGCCATAAGTCCCATCTGCTTCTGCTTCACCCTTGAAACTCTTTACCCCGTTTGTTTCTCTGACTTCTTTGTCCTGTAACTGCCATTACTGATGGCTTTCCTACCTGCATGGGACGAACATTTCGCACTCCCTGCATTAGGTCACAACTGTATCATGCAGACTGATACCAAAAGGCTAAGAGTCTTCTAAGAAAGTAGGACTGTGGGTTTAATGTGGAGTACTATCCAAATTAAAGCGCCATTCTTTAGATGCTTGAAACAGGCTCTAGTAAAACTAAATGTTTTCAACTCATATGAATTCATCTTCGGACTCGTGATTGCAGGAAGTTCAGAAGTTGACAACAGTACCGGAGCTAGAGTTGTTTCTTTTGGAACATGGTGAAGAAGTAATCGATATGTTGGGTCAACAAGTGGATAGAATAGAGAAAAATATCAAGGTAATGTAACTAGTCACTATACATGCGCTCGTGTACGGACCGGCGCACGCGCCTCCTGCAAGTGACGTCTCAGTGTCAATTACGTATTCTTACGGTCTTCTCTTCAAATTACACTGAAGATGGATTATAAACCCGAATAATCCGAATCTACAACCTGACAATTACGACACTTATTGATATTCTCGTTTACAATGTATCAATCCTGTCAGTTATCCTTAATATATTGCAAATGTCATGCATCAAAACGAAGTTTTTGTCCAGAAGTTTTCAACGTAAAATGCAAATTGATTTGATAAGGGTGGAGCAAAAAGGAGGGCTCACAATCCCCACCTCGGCGGCAAATCATTTAAAACTTTGTCACACCGCTGGAAGGTAGTCGGTCATGGCTTATCGTTAGAAACCATTCCAACTGAATCAAGTGACTGCTAAAGCATGTAAATAGGTTTTCGCTTAGTAGCAGTCAACTGCATCGCTAAAAACCAAATTTTTCATCTTTCGTCCTCAGAAAAGAAACCCAGAAGTACGTCACGTGGACTTGGAGATTCTTTAACACAGTTTTTTGTGGAATGAATGTGGTTTGCTCTGCAGTTCCGTTGGTGCACTTTGTTTTGAGAATTCCTAAGCAGTTGTGTCTTGTTCCCTTAATCTCTGGACAAAAAACGCAGTTGTTACTGAACTTGGAATAGTCAGCATGTAGGTCGTTAAGGTCACTCACGCGGCCATTACTCAATTGATGCCTACGTCGTCGGCGATCATTTTGTCTTCATTTGGGCAATGCAAGACTTGTCGTCCTGCTCCACGCTGGAAGATTATTGCCACTTAACACGCAGCTGAAACATCAGTGGTTACGATTTAGTTGACTCTTGGTGGATGCTTCAGTTTTAGTGCACGGCGCTAGTATCAATCTCTTGTGGGACTTTCTCAGACCTCTCTGGAGATGCAAATTAAACACATCTTTATGTTCAGATCACTTTTTGGTGCCTCTCACTACTTGCAGCTTGTATCCAAGTTTTATCAGACGTTTTTATGAGAAGCAATGGTTTATCCTGTTCATATAAGTGTTGGGGGTTGTGTGGAACAGTACTCGCCCAGCCGATAGTACCGAGTGCTGGGTACCATGCCTCTTGCACGGCTTCTATCCTCTTTTAACTATAACTACTCACTGACAAACCCATTACTAGCGAATGAAACAACAAACGTGAGAACTTTCCATTGCATATTTTGTGGCTTAACTCAGTTGTGGAGAATAGAACAGTCTACGATGTCGTTATTGGAAAGACCTTAGAGCCTGATAATGGGACTCATTCAGTTGCAAGTACCAAAGAACTAATTAAATGCTAGCGGCAATAAAACTGTTCGTTAGGACTTAACATACAAACAACATCAATAGGAACGGCTCAAGGTCAGCTATTATCCCCGAACAAAGAACTACAAAGAACTACATTTAAGTTTAACAAATCCTTAAGACAGTCAATACTCTGACTCAAAAAACAGGCTCAGAACTGTCTCTAATCCTGATCAATGTGGGCTAAACCGGCACTGATTCATTGCTGACCTTGGACTGACTATGAACTGTTTATTAAGAACTGCTGCCCAGCATCTACTACATCCGGATACCCTTTGCATAAGAAAAAACCTAAAAATACCAATCATCAAAAAACAAAATTAAAAGTAACTACTTCAAAAACATAAGTATATCTATGTGTTGCTTGACTTTCCGAATTTACTTTGTCGCTCGGTCTGACGAAAATATCCCCACTGAACACTCGTTAGTGACATTGAACTTATAGAATTCTAGTAAATCAATTTTCCTTTGCAATGTATGCAGCATAAAGATCCCACACTCTCAAACAGACAACTATTGATTTATAAAGGAGTATAGATCAGTATCAACATATTCTTCGGTGTTTTTGCAATTAAAACAAGCGGGTATTTTAAGTAACGTCGATCGAAAATGCGATTGTATAATATACATTTCTTTTATTTTAAAAATTGGTCTATTTTACGAAGCGAAGGTTAAATGATAACATATATACTTAAGCTATATACACATTGAACATAAAGATGATATTAGATTGCAAACTATTAAGGAAATGATTAAATTTGTCCCATTAGAAAGGCGCCATTTTTCTTAAGTGAACTCTTTTTTCCTTTTTAAAAGTTATAGTTGTTTCTGTTCGAAATCACTGCCATTAAGCTGTTCAAATTTTCCGCAGCACAGCGTCTTGGAAGGTTCTCAGACCTTCCCAGATGCCGCGTCAAGTGTTTCACTGTTTCACTCTCTGCTAAGTACACATGTAAACACAATGGAAAATGAGTAATACGTACAAAGTAATAATGCGAACTTCAGTTAATTTCAATTTTTTTGGAAACGAGTAGTTGAAAGAAAATTGAATGTTTCTGGACACAAACGAGAAAAAACCGTGAACTTTATTGTAAGGATGCGTGTTTATAGAACACGCTGGCGTGGGCTCGTCTGTTTTGACTCGTCACGCTTTCTTGCCCGCGTGATGAGCCAGAAAAGGCTTGTTATTAATATACTGTATATTGATGTGTATAATTTTAGATGGTACAGTAATTGATGCGACGAGGCGTCATCTGACGTTTGGCTGCTGCTCAGGTGTAAATACAAGGGTCCTCCTGCTAGGGGTGTTATGGATTAAAGCGGGTTTATACCTGCACGCCGTCACAAGAGCCTCGCTGATTGAAACCAGAGAACATTTCTATAAGAAACCTAAGAACCTACTGTTGAATAGTACAATAGGCGACGGGAACAACAAGCACAGCTAGTTCTGTAAGAATGGAAGCTCGGGAAACGTGGGTTGGAAAACTTGATTTCATTCTTGCCTTGATAGGTTTTTCAGTTGGTCTTGGTAATATATGGCGTTTCCCATATTTGTGCTACAAGAACGGTGGCGGTAAGTAAGCACTCTGTGTTCCATGTTTTCAGCATGACTGTGTGATAACTGCCTGTAAACAAGTGGTGATTTCAAAGCGATTTGGCGCAGTAGTTTACTCTACAGTTTGCTCTAATGACAGCCAAGTTGCATATATGTTACTGTTCATGGTTCCATTCGTGGATTCATTGAACACGATGAACGCCGGCAACAAATTGCATTTAAAAATCGACGATTTTTGCCATTTTAATTGCATCTTGAAAGTTTTAAGTGACCTAAAAATGTACGCTTCGGCACTGTGTTTCTTTATTTGAGTACTAATCATACAGCAAGGTAAATAAGTACGAGTAAGTTTTGAAAATGTTTTTTGTCAAGTGGGGTAGGGTAGGGCTCTTCCCACAGTGTTTCGACAACTGTCCCGTAAACGAGCGTCGTCGTGACACAATTGCTCCAGATCAGAATGTCGGACCGGCAAAATAAGAATCGATAAGACAAAAGAAGTGCCCAAGCTGAAGGAAGCATTTGGAATGTCTTTCGAATAGACTTGAATACTTAGATTGTGCAGCTGTTCATGTGGTTAAGGGGGTTAAGTGTTCCAGAGTAGGTTTTGTTATCCAGTTTTGCAACCACGTGAGAAGGCGGCCATATTGGTTAACAGGACCAATGTTTTCCGCGCAGAATTTGAATGAAAAAGGTTCAGTACTTTGATTCCTAGCGGACTGGACTTCAGTATCTTTTTTAAAAAGTTCTGGTCAACCAGTATGGCTGCCTTGACGTCAGGTGCAAATGGCGGCATTAGTGAAAATACATTGAACAGACAACAGCGACAATGGTATCTTTTCTTTATAATGACCCCATAGCAAGTTGCCCATTTTGTATTGACGATAAGATTTGATATTTTTTAAACCTTTATAGCAAAACTATTATGCTCACAATTCGAGTTTTTAGCGTTGAAGTGCCTCAGGTATCACAGAACGTAAATTAATTGTCGAGTGTAATAAAAGGTAATTAACCTCCGCAACAGGACCCGGCCGTAGAAAATAAGGTCAATGATGTTCTTGCCATGTCATTGTTGATTGTTATTACTCAGATATCAAAAAAAGAAAAGGTTGACAAATTTGTCAATAAAATACTAAGCCAGGTGAGAAAGAAAGCAAATGATGAATTCTAGCATTTTTGATAGTCTTGGCTAGAAGCGCCACTTGATGACAAGTGAAGCAGCAGCAGCGCGATAGGTGACGGCCAGGTCAAGGGGATTTTATTACTTTATTTCGCCTCTGGGCGAAATCCCTGCGGGGGCAATAATAGTAATGATAATAATAATTGTAAACTTCTGACTGCAGGATGCTTTCTGATTCCATATGTGATCTGTTTGGTGGTTGCTGGGGCCCCTATTTTAATATTGGAAGTTTCCTTGGGTCAGTTCACAAGTCAAGGTGGCATTACAGCCTGGAAAATCTGTCCATTGTTCAAAGGTACGTTTTTTCTTCGACATCCGATGGATTACTAGGTTCCTACTCGGGCCTTTGTGCTTGATTAATTAATAAGGTTACTTTGTAGCTCTCAGGAACAGTGAGAGAAAGAGCTTTAACCAATAGATTTATTTCTTTCCCGTGCCTCTTCACAGCAACGTTAACATCAATGGTTTCATCTGCTGCAATACAATACTATAGCTATTATGTATTAGTATAAAAAAGCTATATTTTCGCTGCCAAAACGTCCTGCATTGTTTGTAATTATATTTTAGCCAAAACTGACACAGAACTGGCCACAGTTGTTCAAAAAGGTGGATACGCGGCGCGATCCATCGGATAATTCTATGCCTGTTGAGGCCTCAAATGTAATAAATGTCCCTAAATGTAATAAAGGTCCTAAGTGTGAGAACTTTTGGCCCAAAATGTCATAAAGGTCCCAAATGTATAAAGGCTTGGTTAGCATGGTAACTAGGCTTGTGTGTGCAAAATACACTTCAAATGGAGATTTGTACTTCGGTTCTTCTTTCTGGTTCCTCGTTTAAAATCCTCTGGTTTTCGGCCAGTCCTTTCGCCTAATAAGAACCTTTCTTCCCGCCAGTTTTAAAGAATCATACTCCATCTTGCACCTTACAGACCTTACAGCAGGAACATGAGCGCAATGACTTCTATTTTCCTGGAGACTGCATGGTATGGGCCGCTGTATACCAATTTTACTCGCAATTTACGAAAACGTTCTTGCAGAGCTCCTTTAAATTCAGAACCTTTGTCACTTTGCACTACAAGATCAGAGGGGGTCCATTTTCTATGTTTTGCTATTTTTACTTTACACACTTCAAACACAAATGAACCTACTGAAAACATTCATAACGGACAATAGATATTGATAACCGAACAATCCTTGATCTGAAATTTAATCCTTCCCCACTTTCCAAGGTCCAACAGATCTACTTGGTGTCCGACTTGAACAAAGTTGAGTGTTTCACGCTATTTCTTGAGTGTTTGGTTTTCCTTCTTTTCCTAATATCAGGCTGAGATTTAACAAGGCCAGGCACTGTTGGGTTTGTTTAGAAGTCCGATCTGGTTTCAGAGAAATTTTACAAAGACTATCATGATCATTTAAGAATTTGTTGTTTGCTGCTTTTCTTTTAATCCACCATATTCACTTTGCCCAATTAAGTAATACTACATATTGTTTATGCCTAAGCCTTGTTCTCAGTTTCCCTTGGGAAACCTGTAATACCCTAGCCTCCCAGTTCCCACGCAGGCGTTTTTAGGGCAGCTCGTATTTCTTCCCTCCCACACGAGCTCCCATAAAAACGCCTGCGTGGGAGGCTAGTAATACTCATGAAAAACTGTAAACACTGGTCATGCAAAATATTGGAAAACACGGTGCATTATGGGCAATGTGAAATTCTTAAATGTCTATTACGACTTCAGTATGGCATAGAAAGTAAATCACCTGGCTATGAGATTAAAGTCACTGCGACTTTATCAAGTTTACGGCCAACAGTTATTCTACTACTCTTAGGATTTTTATTACATTTAGGGCTAAGACGTATTACACTTAGGACCTTTATTACGTTTAGGGCCAAAATCTATTACATTTAGGACCTTTAGTACATTTAGGGCCAAAATTTTTTACATTTAGGACCTTTATTACATTTAGCGTTACTTATTACATATGAGGCCTCAACCTTTACATGGCTACCTGCGGACGTCGCTTTCGTCGCACGTTTTTCATCAAATCTCAACGAAATTGTTTGCATGTAGACAAGTCAGTGTTTTACGTGGTAGCGCTCGCTGCTAATGAGCTTCAGCAAACACGATGACGAGGACAGAAAGAAGACCATAAAAACGCAATAGGTGTTATAAGAGCAAAACAAAACCTCTGAACGTGCACATACTTTTTGATAGATTTCTTTGCTGTCATCGTACGAATTGCCCTTTTAGCCTTTATCACGCGCATGCCACTATTATATCCAATAATTGTGTACCATTTTATTTGGCAGGAATTGGATATGCAAGTGTTGTAATAGTCCAATTTCTCAACATTTACTACATTGTTATCCTTGGCTGGGCTTTGTTCTACATGTTTGCTTCGTTTACTTCCAAGCTTCCCTGGTCTCATTGCGACAATCCATGGAACACACCACAATGCGTTGATTTAACTGGAAAAGGAAACTGGAATAATTCTGGAGTAGAAATAAATGACACAGTGTCATCCAGTCAAGAATATTTGGAGTATGATGAAATATTCAGTGTATTCGAACATTCCAATAAGTTTGGCTTTCGTAGCAAAACTGAGTAAAATATGATATTTTATATTTATCATTTCCTTAACAAGCCATTTCTGCAACATTTGGTAACCTCAAACATTCAACGAAATTTCTCTTTATATTTATGATGGAACACTGCACCATTTTGTCCCACTAAATGAAGAAAATGCGTCAAACTTGTTCATTGGCTTTAGCTTGTACTAAAATTGCTTAATATTCAGTTTATTTTTAATTGCCAGAAACCCACATGTATAGAATTGCAAAATTTCAGACTTGAAGCATATGATCAAAGTTTTCCAAATTTTTCTTCAGGATTTCTTGGAAAATTTGCCGCTGGCTTACTAACGTGTAAATGATTTCTTCCAGGCGACGAGTTTTACGCATCTCAGATGGGTTAGCAGAGGCGGGCACCGTTAACTGGGATCTTGCATTATGTCTGCTGTTAGGCTGGATCATCTGTTATCTGTGTGTTTGGAAAGGTGTCAAATCAACAGGAAGAGTAAGTGTCTCAGTTAGCTGGTAACCGGCTGATCCATGCCATGCCATGCCCATGTCCGTGTCTTCTGTCTAAACTGGATTCTAGTAGTAACAGAACATTTGTTATCAGTACTTATTTTCAACAGTTTATAGTCAGCAGGGCGAAAGGCATTTAGTTTAAACTGACAAATAATTAATAAGGTCAATACTGAACGCTGGCTGAGATAGGAAGAAAGGCTATATAGAGAGTAAACAAAAAATACATAGGATTGTTGTGACGTTAAACGCTGATCTCCAGTGAAAAAAGAGATGTTCATGACTTGTCCTTTGTTTTTTTTTTCTCTCCGGCAGGTGGTTTATTTTACAGCTACATTTCCTTATGTACTGCTGACAATTATATTTTTTCGTGCAGTCACCCTTCCAGGAGCGGGCGAGGGTGTCAAGTTTTATCTCAACCCAAATTTCACTCGTTTAGCTGATAGCCAGGTGATTGAGTGTCTTGTTGTCTCTTTTTAAGATCGTTAACAACATTAAAAGGTATTTTTATTTATTCAGAATTTCCCATCACATAAATTGACCAATCGTTGTGCAGATGCTGAGCCGGTCGCGTTCGACTGACGTTATTTTGGAAGAATAGTAATTGGTTTGTACAATTGTCTTAGTTATATTATAAATTAATTATTATTAATGGGTTAATGGCAGGTTTGGTTGGATGCTGGGACACAGGTGTTCTTTTCGTACTCTATTGGCCTTGGTACTCTCGTCGCACTTGGCAGCTACAACAAGTTTAAAACAAACTGTTACAGGTGAATTTCCAACTCATTTCTTACAACTGCATCTTGTATGTTTTCGCCAGCAGTCTTAAGTAAAAGACAAACGAAAGAAAAAAGAAAGAATTATACCACCAGCACTTTACGCTGGCCTAGTTAATTGATCAGTTTACAAAGTACTCTGCAGTTGTCGATTCAGTTCTAAATACTTCATTGTAGAGACTGCATCATATTTGCCTGTGTGAATAGTGGTACTAGTCTTTATGGAGGATTTGTGATATTCTCGGTGCTTGGCTTTATGGCGCAGAAGCAGCAAGTACCAGTATCTGAGGTGGTTAAATCAGGTAAGCTAAACCTCATGTTCCTCATTTTAACATTACATACTACATGGCCACCAATGGGTTCATATTTCTATGGCAAAGTCAGTATTAACAAACATTTTTCGGTTTTTTGTGTGTCTGTAACCCTAGAGTTTTTTGCTTACTGAACGCCAGTTCACGTCTTTGTTATAAAGTAAACACCTGCAGTGCTGCCAGGACTGTTCACCGTCGAGTCTCGGCAGTCAGTACTGACTCAGAAGTGATGAAAATAAGAAAATTTATTAATCGAAGTTAAGACTAAAAAAGTCGATTTCCTTCGGTTACTTTAGAAAACAAGAAATGTTGGAGGGCTGGACGACGTTTCTTGTCATGTTGTTTTATCTCCTCAGGCCCTGGTTTAGCGTTTATCGCATACCCCGCAGCAGTAGCTGAAATGCCAGTTGCTCCTTTGTGGTCCATATTGTTCTTCTTCATGGTTATCTTATTGGGATTGGACAGTGAGGTATGACATGTATAATTCACCCCTTTACTACACCGGCCCCATTGCCGTAGCCTGAGTACACTTCCTATTACTAATATGGGGAAGAAAAGCTACGATCTCAGTCATACACGTAAATCTAACCTGGCCTGAAATTCTTCATAAGTTTATTACCTTTTTTGTTCTACTTCACAGTTCGTTGGAGTGGAAGGCTTTGTGACAGCCATTGTTGATCTGTTTCCTAATCACTTAAGGCGTGGCCATCGCAAGGAAATCTTCATTGCTCTTTGCTCTGCTTTCTGGTTCTTGATCGGTTTATCCATGGTTACTGAGGTAATCACTCAGCTGATATTGAGCATTAGGTGTTGAATAGACTAGTAACTAAACTGAGTTCGGCATCCAATCGGCATTCACTCGGCAATTCAATCATTCACTTGGTTTCAGGGTGGAATGTACGTATTCCAGTTGTTTGATTTTTACTCCGCGAGCGGCAGTGCTCTTCTGTGGGTGGCGCTCTTTGAAAGTGTAGCTGTTGGCTGGGTCTATGGTAAGTATAGTCTTTTTTTTTGCAATAATCATTACAACATTACATATAAGTTATCTCGAACAACTCTGATTTGCGTGTATGGATAATTGCAGGCGGAGACCGATTCTATGACAATATGGCCTCCATGATTGGATTCCGTATCAATCCGTGGATCAAGTGGTGCTGGAAATATCTCACCCCAACTTTTTGCTTGGTCGGTAACATAAGATGTTATCTTACGTATTTTATTTTAACTCCAAAACTGAGTAGTTTGAAGAAGCCCAATTTTATCATTCCATTACGGTGAAAGAGAATGTGTGGTTATTTCTACTATCATTTTAAACAAATTGTATACAACTTTATAAGGTTAAAGGACATGGCAATATAAGAGCACTTATGCAAAGAAAAAGAAACTACGTAGTTCTTGATCTGAAGTAAAATTGCCGTTCCACTTTCCCTATTCAGTAAAATTGCTAACTGCTTCAATTTCTTTCGCGGGTTCTAATTTACAGGGGATATTTATATTCAGCCTGGCGTCTTACAAACCACTGGAGTACAATGACTATTCATACCCAGTTTGGGGACAGGTGATTGGTTGGTGGATGGCTTTGTCCTCTATTCTGTGTATACCTGGGTACATGGCTGTGAAGTTTGTAACAACAAAAGGAACATTTCAAGAGGTACTCTTTTTTTGTTTTATTGGTGGACGTCATCTGTCTAGTATATTACCGTTTCTGCAAGAATTTTCCGATTTGCCACCATGTAGTGCACTTGGTAGCAGTTCTTGAAGTATGGCTGACTATGTGGTGGGTACTGTACAATAGACAGGGGATGGACAGTTCGATCTCATGCATGTGCCAAGCGAACTCTTTGCTTAGTAATACCAATAATAGCATTCAGCGGTACAAGCTTGTTTTGCAATTAAATAACTAGAACAAGAAGAGTGCCGGGTGAGGTTTTTAATGATTTTTTTTACAGCCTTGAGAAGATTATCGCGGAACAAAGAGTCTGATGTGTAGAACCTTGTCGCGGGCACTTTCTCAGTTTGACCAGTGACTTCACTATCCCTAGTGGTTAAAGGTTACCATTTGAATTCTGTTATTCGTCTGAAACCCTCCTTGTCGTTCTGAATAGTTACTGGGACTAAACTAGTGGGCGAAACGAAGCGAAGCAGGTCGTGTCTGAAATATCGCTTTTTTTTTGTCCATAGCGTTGGAAAATTCTGACCACACCGACCCATATAGAGAATGACAAAGAGACTGAAGCTGGCGATGAAAATAATAAACTTGAACTTGAGAAGAAAGAACAGGACTCGATGTTGTAACTAGTTGTGTTCTACAATATTAAAGGGTTTTCATCTACTAAAAGAAATTGAGGGACTGCATCAGTGGAGATGTGAAACACAAAGGATTGGTTTTATCAGCTGAGCTGGGAAAGGAAATTGGCCAGCGTAAGGAGAGTTAAAGGAACCAGCCTTTCGTTAAAGCGAATCAAGGGAGGTGCATATATCGAAAGGTCGCAAGAAATCAAGGATAAAAATCTTATCTTTGAATTTTTTATTCTATTCCGCACGGAATCACTAAACACTTTTCATTCAATTTATTTTTTTCTTGTTTTTCATGTTATCACCAATGACATGGCTCCGCCATATTTGATATCAGTTGATTCTCTGACAAACGGCTAGCGTTCAAGAGGTCGGCTTTTAAATCTCTTACTTTTATCAAGTGGCCAGTTACTTAATCAACTCAGTTAATAAAGCCAAATTTTTATCTTTGACAATAATTGAGTGATAATCAGCTTTATATCATTCAAAGCAACTTCATGTGACTTAATATATATCCGATAGTGTGTGATAAGAATTATGTGGAGTAAGTGTTATTGATGTAAAAGTACCACAAGTCTGTAAGTTTTTAGATATCCTTTGCCGGCATTAAACCGCGATCTTGAACTGATTGTGATGTTACAATTGTTACTACTGTGTCGTCCCTACCATTCTTCTTTTACTGTTTCCATTCTTTTCTCTTCTCTTTTCATTCTATTTTCTTCTTGAGACGAATGTGATGATAGAAGAAGACTGGATAAAACTATACTCTAAAGGCTAGTACTAATTGCAAATTAGGGGGGTGCGTTCGATAGGAAGGGGTGGTGGGTAATGAGTGGTAGTGGGAAGGGGGTGCAAAACCTGATGGGCTTGTAATATTGAGAAATCAAAATCAAACACTTTTATCAATACGAATATCAGTAGCTGTCTTTATCAGTGTTATTGTTTATCCTACCACTTTACAATTCGTTACTATTTCATATTTCCTCAAACATGCCAGAGCGTACTGTACTTTTTACATTTACTGGGCTAAACCTCTAAGTAAAGGTCAAACACTTACTATGATCCTCAGGATATTCCTTTGCACTTTAAAATTGGCTTAAAATTGGGTTACAGAAAAATTAAAGTTGTCTGAAAAGTTTAAGCGTCGAGTATCACTTTAAACCCTTGTTGCTTTCTCGTACCCAGACGTCTCTCTCTCGATGAAAACGCGCGTGCAAAGGAAGGCGGGAAGGAGACAACGGTCGAGACAGCGCTTCGCCTGTCATCTGTATCCTTCCCATGGTCCCTTGCGGTTCATCACCAGTCACTCGCATTTTGCGCTCGCCTCTACGATAAGAAAAACGAAGCGCCTGAGGAGGAGGCTGGTGAAATCCATGGCACACAGAACGGTTACTACTTCATGTACGGTACACAAATAGTAAGCGTTCTCCTTCGTCGAACGCAATTAGTCTAACTGCTTTAGGCCAACAATGAGTCAGCAATTAGCGGCTTACTTGAAAATATTATACAAAGATGTTCAATAGACATGAACAAGAACTTTAGTGGCGTTGGATTTCAGAAATACCTTGTAAACTGAAAATGTTTCGAAATGATAAATAAATACAAAACAAAACGGGGGGCATAGTGATAACTAGTTGGCGATGTTGAGAGAGCACAGGTAACCAACTTAAGAATAATGAAGATGATGTGAACTGCTGAAATATGAATTTTATATGAAGATATGATCAACCAAAAAATTGTTTTAAGAATGTTGTAAGATCTGCTTTCATGCCTTCTTCAGCTTGATGTTCTCTCTGGAGCAGCCCTCTGACAAAAAATCCACCTCATCATGCAATAAATTGAGTCAGACCATGTATGTCAAGTGTTCCAGTAGCACTGTTTCCCTTAGTTTTAACAATTAATCAACAGTGCTTATCATTAAGTTATAACAATAAAAAGCTCTTAAAATTTTTTAGTAAAGGAGACAAACAATCTTTATGAATGGTGTTATTCTTTTATTATTCTAGTGTGGGTCAAATTTTCTTTACTTGAGATAATTGAGAGACGGCTAACAGTCCTATACAGCCTTGCAAGTACTTGTAAATATACAAAGATACACAGAGGTTGACAGTATTTGATTCTATAAAAGCTGGATGTATGAACAAAAAGACACATATTTTCTTTATTGGATTTACTTGACAGGTACCTCAAAAAACCATAAGTGAGGGTTAGGGTGTTTCCATGAAAATAACCTTATGAGTTGTTCTCAAGTCTTTAACCTGAATCATCAAACAGATATTAGCTTTGTTGGCTTTGAACAGCCTTCGTCGAACTTAATGAACAAATGTGAAAACTGTACTACACTAAGCTGTACTTTAACTACAGTTTATAATCTTAGTATACTGTTCACAAAACGGTTTGCTTCATAACATTGGTTTTAGCAGTGAAAGCCCTGCCACTGAGTACATATTTGAGCATATTTCTAGTGGCTGTTGGAAGAAGTATTATTATTATTGGTTTTAGATCAATCTTGAGTTGCTGCACTTGTTTTTTCAAATGATCTCAAAATGCTGCGCTTAACTGTATTAACTGCTACGAGCGATAGAGATGGGGGGTGGGGGCAATCACACAGATACATGGAAGTGCAAAGAACTTTTCTGCATCTCAGATTCTTGATCTAAAGCTTCATTATGGTTTAGAAGACTGCCTTCTTCCTGCATGAGGGTGAAAGATTTTGTTGTAGGTTAATTGGACATGGGTGTCACTGTAGGCCCCTGTTTTCTTTTTTACACTGTGTTCTTCAATTTAGTTTTCGCTTTAAAATCTGTCCTCACTGGTACTCCCCTGGTAGTGCTAAACAAGACTACTCCCCATGTGGCCAGGCTTCCCAATGTTGGGGAGGCAATCTCCATGAATGTCCCATCCACTCTGGTGGTGAAAGGATAATGATGATGATGATGACGACAGTGGTGATTACACACAGACAGGTTTGTTGTTATATTAAAACTCAGTCGTTCATAATTTTTTTTAACTAACCATGGGTCACAATTGGGTGTTAAACATCATTAGATCCTCTGTAAGGCTTAAAGATGCAAGAAATTTGCCGTGGACTATCCTCTGTAGGTCTTCCACTAAGAACTCCAGCCTCCTCTAGTTCCTGTTCAACCTTCCTTATGATATTCCACTTGTCCTCTTCATTTTTTCCCTTGCTTTTCACACTGACTTTCACTTGATGTCCTTTTTCCAACCACCTTTGAATTTGATTTAATCTGAAACTTAAGTCTCTTGATTCTATTCTATCACTCACTTCGATGTTCTTTATTTTAGGCGTTTTTAATGCTTTTGCTTTAATGTCAATCTTGCGTATCATCTTGTAGACAGGCAATGCTGCTTTGTTCTGTTTGTTGATCCACATCAGATCAAGTGATTTCTCTCGTGCAATGTTGGCTGCATTTTTAAGGGATGTTTCGCCTAGGTTTTTTCCTGTTTCGTCTACTAGTAACACACTCTGTTTTACTTTTAGTCGGTTTGAGCTGTCCTCATTTCTCAAAATTATTGTCGACGTTATCGTTCTTGATGATTGTACGTGAAAACACGGCGGAGTAAGTCCGTGCACTTTCCTCAGAAAAGAAGGCCTGCTATGAAAAGCAAAGAAAACTACAGAAATCGAGGCTCTGTAACTTTGTTCCAGCAAGCGAAAACATCTCCAAATGGGAGCTATCGGAGCCATGTTGGTAGTATGGCACTCATCCCCAGGATATTCTCGGCTTTGCATAACCACTCGTTCCCAGGACGTCTCCTTGCCAATTTTTCATACAGTCCTTTATGGTTTAAACTGTGAAGGGCCGCAAACGAATATGCCGCAAAACATAGGATCTATAAACGACCTGACAAGCAAAAATATACACTGAGTAGACACAAAGCTGATCGTACTACGTGAAAAATTTGCATGACATCAACACGACACCGAAAGAAACAAAAACAGAGTAGCCCGTTCACGGACGCAAATAAACCAAGGGGAATTTATTGACCGCCAGCGCAATGGGGTAGCGGTAGGGTTATTTTTCTTTCTCGTGCTCCGCGCTCGCTTCGCTCACGTGCTCGCCGATGTTTTGTAAAAAAACGAAAAGAAAAATAAAACAACGCCTGTGTACAGGCTAGAAACGGAGTGGGGTCAAAACCAACAAAAATAAAAAGACCACTCACACAGCCACCGGCGGTGATTATTACACATTGCCCTGTTATCGTGGCTGTCTGTATACAACGCTGTGTTTTCAAGATATGTAGAAAAAAGAAGAACGCAAAAAAAACAAAACAAAACAAAAAGGAAGGAAATGGAAAATTACTAAATGTCTTGGGTGTTTAATTGGCCCGTTTTCGAACAGAAGCACAGGGGTCCATAGGACGTCTCTTTAGTAAACAAAGATGTAGGTTATTTACTTCGAACTGTGGAAACCTCCGGCCAAATTCTTGGGCGAGTTCTGTTGATTATTGAAAAGGGTGGCAAGATAAAAAAAGACTATTAACAGTTCTTTATTTTTCTTTCACAAGTGAAAGGTTTTTATTTCTAATTTACGTATCAAGTTTTCTTACTCATCACTAACGCTTCAAGAGACATATTACTCTCGTTTAAAAGTTCCCAGTGCGAGTAATAACAATAAAGGAAGTTAAAATACTTTTTTTAATTCATTCAAACTGTGCTGAGTCTGTGAGCAAACTCACTTTGAAGCGCTTGCTTGAAGACTAACAAAATGGCTTAGGGTCCGACTGTCATTTAGAATGGAAAGTCTGGTAGATTGCCTGAGATATACTGTAACGTGAAACAGATGAAATGTAATTGTCGTGGTTTTACACACGAGGAAAATCCTCCACTAGTAGCTTTGGTATTTCATCAGCTTTTCCAAGTCGTGGTCGTGGGCGTGTGAAGTTTGCTTCAACCAATCAGAAGCGCTACCCAGATCTGGGTAGTTACACGTCATCAGCATGGAATTTCTGCGCTCGTTTCTCAGACGTCATTTCGCGGGGAAACCGTAGGAGGCGTCACGAAATGTCGGCTGTTTTCTCAGGCTAATCCCACCCCTCCCCCTCCCCCAAACAGGAAAGATCATCCCCTTCAAAATTTTTTCTATTCAAATACTACTAAATTGTAACATGTATCTAAAATCAAAAATTCTCTTTCGTTTTGCAGGATCATTATATTTCTATTGAGATTCGTTTTCAAGTGAGGACTAGAAATACCACTTCTGAATTACTTATAAACGACACGGCGAAAATACATTACCATCTAATTAGGATTTCCTCGTTGTAAGTTTAACACTAAACAATCCAACAAAAAGGCATAGTTCTTCACTACGACTTGAGTCAGGTTTGATGGGAACTGCGGATACCTGTCTGGAGGCAGTCACAAGTCCGCGAACGAGTGCTGCTTAAATTGACTCGACATCATACGTTGCCAGAAATACAGAGTGATAAGTTATAAATTTAAAGTGGCCCGGAATTTAGAGTGCTCAAACTGTGGTAATTGATGTGCAGAACATTGAACAATCCTAAATACAATGGCACATGGGAAGCTCAGCCCTTGACAAAAGCATAGAGTTGAGATCCATTTAATTTGGAAACTTCTTGGTTGGTAAGAACTGCAATAAAGATAACAAGAAACATCTTATTAGCATGATAACTACAATAATATTATTAACTCTATTATATATCTATATTTTAAAATACATGTCTTATACGGATAGGAGCTGGTATACAAGCATACTAGGAGCATTTGCCAATACCGGGGAAATCTTGATCCTAATTATTCCTGTTAGTTATGGCCAAAAAGAAAGCTCAAAGCGATGTTGCACCATTTCAGAACATGGTTGTATCGCAGTTTAAGTTGAAGACAATTGAGGTTTTCAGGCAAACACATTCACGCCTTTCAGGCCTTCCCGTCAGAATATAGTTACATAACATACTCATGGCCACTGTAACTCAGCCGAATAACTTCCCTACGGGTGATCATTTGTTCCCTTCCTCAACACATACGGAATGTTAAACTGCTTTTGTCAAAAGGGTCCCGTTAATGTTTTTAACTATTGCCTGTCAACAGTAAATTTAGCCGTGGGAAATCTTACCGGAGTCACAAGAAGCTGACAGAGACAGTTTTATAGCTTTCTCAGGCTGACTGAACATTATGGCCACCTGTTTCAAATAAGGACACACGGTAACTCAATGATTGAAGCAACAAAATACTAAAATCAATGACAAAAACAACTGGGAATTTGTGCATCAACTAAACGGGTTGTAAAGACAAACTGGGAATACACAAAACTTCACAGTACTTCATAAAAAGTAAGAGATGACTGACGTATGTGACATTAAACACAATAGAACTGAGAACATGATGTTGAAACTGTTACCTGTCGCTGAAGTTGATTGAGATTCATAGCTGTGGTCCCGCGGGGATTCTCTAGTAGAACAGTCCCCTGAAGAGGCTTGCCGGCCACTCCGCATAGCTGTACGTTGACAAAACCACACACTGGCGATCCTGAGCTCTCTTGTGTATTCACTTCTGATCCCTGACGACCCCGCAGCAACTTAAGCACCAACACAGCGCCTTTCACCTATAAAAAAGAAAGTAAAAGTAAACACTCTGACCTCCGTACTTCTGGAATTTGCAAGATTTGTTGAGGGAATACACAGTACCTCCGTGTTTTCTTGGATTATCTCCGAAAGAGAAGGTGAGAGGGTACTAGGCACTAGAGGTTGCTTCACACTGTCTTCAATGTATTCTTTGTGTGATGCCATGACGTCATTTAAGGCCTTGACAGCGTCTTGTTCACCTTGCGTGACGTCAAATACAATGGTGATGTCATCACTGGGCTGGAGCTTGGCCTACAAATTTCGTATTTTATCGTTATGGTTCTTAGTTCTGATAAAACTACAAACGTATGGTTACTGCCTACTATACTACTGCGAGAAGTATAAAAAACCTGTGAATGAGGCTGAACGTATTGACAGGATGTAACACATAAATTTAAAGAAGCATCCGTTATATAAGGACACTTTTGTTTTGTTTCTCTTCTTCATCGTCGAGTTACTATGTTGACGGTTACAAGGATTACTATGGCTACAGCTTAAATCGCTTGAGGAAAAAGCCGTGTTTAACCCTTAGATGACTGAAAGAACCCGCGCAGAAATGTCGTTTTACCGGCTGAAGTAAAGAACTGAAAAGACGTTACCTTTTTTCGTAATTTCTGAATACGGTTAACCACTTCACGTGCGACACCCTCAGCAAGCAAAGATTGATCAGGAGTAGTGTCCAATAAAATCAATACCTGGATCCGCACAAAGCAGACAATACGTAAGTTATATAGCAAACGACAGTTTCAATCAGCGGGTCTAGTTTAGCAAAGGGAAAAATTCAAAAGAAGACGAACATGAGCTGTTCAAACCTCGCCATCTGAGTGGGCTTCATAAGCAGAAGGAGTTGAGTCACTCTGATCAAGTGAGTACATAATCTGTTGGTAAAACAACACAAGTGTTCGGCTTAAAGTGAGTTCAAACTAATCATTTCTTAGTCTCAGCGCATTGCATGCAGGTCAGACCGAACTATACCTTTAGGTCTGATCCAGACAACACGTGACCGGCTACCAACAGTTCTCCTTTATCCTGATAAACCTCTATTTCCTCATCCGACAAACCTGTCAAATTCAGCAATATGTTAGACTACACGGCGACTGAAACAGTTAAAACACGCCAAAAAGAGTTAGGAAGGCTGTTAACTGTAGAATACATTAAGTCCTTAATATCGTTCAAGGACACATGAATATTAATAACTTCAAACTCTAGATGTGGTACCTTTAATTGCCCGAGATACTTCCTTGAAAGCACCTTTCAACCTTCGCCCTAAAGCCTGATTATCTGGCTCAGCCCTGAGTCTCACGCCAAACTTTTGTTTGTCAGAAGATACTGTAATCTTTCTCACATTCACCTCCTGCCAAGGAATTAAGAGGTAAATAAAACTATAACTTAGAGAGGAAGAGAATTAAAAGCCACACATCTTTAAACAAACTACCTTACTGCGTAATACGGTGGCGGCTATACCTGCTTAATGTAGATTTCAAGAGACAGCACATCTTCAAGACTCTGTTGCTGCTGGTGAATCACCACAAGTTCAGGAAGTGGGTACTAACAAAACAAAACAACAACAGTCAAGCGTTTAGTTAAAGAAAAAAGTTCACCAGGTTCCAAGTCGAAAAATTGGTCAGCGGATCCACTGTGACCATAGCTTATCCTACCCACCAGCGATCCCCACCAGCCTTAAAAGTGGTATGGAGTATACTGAGCCTGCGATATCATATCATTACCCATGATACAGTACTTTTTGGAATCAAATGCGAGTGTTGTATCCACTCACTCTTCACCTTCACGAAGATGAAATCGAGAGTGCGAGTGTGTGACAGTTACACTATACACTATACTTTATTTTCATACACATCAATTTGCCATGGATCTCCGCCCGCAAATAGCAAAAGCTAGACGAGGCGGGCAGAGAGGAAAGGAAAGGTTACCGACGTGATACAACTCACTTTGACTCTGAAGATGACTACAGCACAGGTTGTCGAAACGCCAGTCACTGTCAACAAAAACAGTCCTATTCAGGACTACGTTCACCCGGAGGATCATACTCAACCTACTTATGGTTCAAACCTTTCTTTTTTAACCGCCGCCTGGTTAGCTCAGTTGGGAGAGCGCGGGTCTAGCCTGAGAAAACATCCGTTCCTCCTCGCTCTTCGCCGCTGGAGACGTTTCGCGCGAAACGTCCTTGTAATGACATCTGCAAATGGTTAGACTATCTAGTTTTCTCGGATAAGGATGAAAAACCGTAGGTCCCCTCTCACAGCACTTTCACTGACTTGTTCTTAAAAAAACCCACATCACTTTTCGAAAAGAGTAAGGGGTTGTAGACCCCAGCTGTGAGGGATGACACCTCGCATAGGACCTGAGTCCCGCTTGTGCACATTCCCTCTGGGCAGGCCTGTGTCCACAAAAAGCGGGTAAATGAACAGAGTTACCCAAATATTCAGGAAAATGCTATCAAATCAGTAAACTGACAATGTAACCTAAAATTAACCTAAAATTGACATTTCTTACCTTGATAGGCAGAGTTTTTCGTTCTCTTACAACTCGGCCAAGCTCGATTACGGTTAGCATGAGAGCCACTCTCCTTTCGATCTCTTTGTCAATGAGTTTTTCTCTTAAAAAGAAAACGCGCTGATAAATAAAGTAAATCAAAACTGTCTGCGTCTAAAGCAAATAACCGTTTCAGTTAATTGCGAAATTATACAATTTCAGTGCCTGTATGTAAATTACCTTGCCTGCGGGATCATTAGGTAGTGAATGCTTTGTGTTTCTTCTGAGTTCATACTCTCTGGGATGTAAGGACGCAGTGCCTGGTAATTGTGTTCAGTGATGAATGGAGTAAAAGATGCCTGCAAAAGATCGTCAAACCCATTACCATTACTTCCGTCTCCCCAAGAATGGATTAACAAGGCAGGAATAGTACACAAGCAAATTCAATTATTAATATGCTGCTACTTATTTCTTCTGACACCGTATATATTAAAATAATGTTTTCTAAAATTCACATTAATCCAGTTACATGAGATGGTGAAAAATGGCAATGGTAATGGAGAAATGGCATACCCTACCATTAGTCTTGTCATAGAAAAGATGACACTAAAAAGTGTCTGAAGAGCCTCGTGACGATCTTTATCTCCACAGTCACCCTGAAAGCAGAGCAGCACAGAGCCATTCTGAGAGAATTACAACAGTAATAAACTAACAAGATTCTTATTCAAGTCAGATCACGAGCACGAAAGTTGTCTGTAACCTAGAGTATTGAAAATTGATCACCTGAGTGAAATACCGCGATTGCGAATAATTAGAAAATGCGCAAGAAAACTTGGGAGTATCTCGCTGTCTTGAACAAGAACAAAACTTACGCAATAAAACGAAGATTCCAACTTCTGGGGAGTTTTATTCAGATTATGTCCGCTTGTAAAATTTTCAGGAAAGTAAAAATCTCGTGAAAAGTAAAACTTGTTTCATACCCTAATCCTCTTGCGGTTCATTCTCACATAGACATTCGTCAGATAGTCAATGAACTTTACCAGTCGAGGAACAACAGTATACAGACGATATGCTAAAACACAAAACACCCAGTCAAACATTAACTTAACTGGATAAAGCACTTGATAGAAATAGTAACCTTTTTGTATTCTTTTTTCGTAAAGGACAAAGCACATTTCGAAACAACTGCCGCAAGCACCAAACCCAAATACCCGACCTAATAATAATGCAAACGTATTTTAGTTTCCCAGAGCACTGACAGATTTCCGCACTTACCAGCCATCTCTTGGTGAACAAACAAAACCAAACTCTGTGTAAACGACAAAATCCAGCGATCAAGGGTATTCAGTTCCAGGTTTAACAGAAGGACTTCATCATGAACAAACTTGTGCCCTTCCTGTTGTAAAAGGATCAAAACAGCAGCAAAGTGTTTGGTGCCGGCACAAGAACGAATGCAGTGACGAACTACTTGATCCAACAGATAAAATAGCTTGTAACTGGAACATTTGAATGCGTCTGTTCTCGCGAGTTTCCTTCCCAAGTTCGGTATCTTTTACATTAGGGACTTTAAGATCCAACGACGCGACGGCAACAAGAACGACGCTTAAAAAGTCAATTTGCGCTCTTTTAGTCTTAATCGCGATTATTCCTACCCACTTACTTTGTCAAATGTAGGCGGACCCAACTGGAGTTGAGTTCCTAGGGACCATATCCAAGTTCAAAAAGAAAAATAAGATCTTGTCGTTGCCTATTTCCGTTCTCCTCAAAACACGAAATTGGGCATTTTCACGTAGCAGTCGTGCAAAAACGGCAAAGAAATGTACAAAAAAGTGTACTGCATGTGCAAAGTTGTTGTGTTGCTTACTAAACCTATTGGTTTCTTGACGTTCTCGTTGATGTCCTGTCGTTGATTCTTAAAGTCCCTATTTCCCCCGCGTATCATGCTCACTTTGTACAATAATGTATGTTATGCCGGCAGGGCAACAGTTCCCTGACTGGCGACTGTTGCCTGCAACGCTCTTCCGTTGGGGGTGTTGCGTGAAAACACAACAAAAAGCTAACGCTATCTTCCATCTAATACAGTTGAACTTACAGTTGCCACATTAACGTAATTTATTTGTTTAAAACATTATTTTCCTGTAAATTACACCTACAATATCCAGCCCAGAATGACATTATTGAAAGGCAATTGTCAGTCAATCTTACCCTCTCCAACTGTTGTATGTTTTGTAGAAGAAACCTGTGAGCATTGTACCAAGGTAAAAAGACATCCTTGATAATATCCTTGACTCCTTTTTCTTGGAACTTAAGTGTATCCCCCCTGACCACTGGCGAGTTGATTAGGTACAACCTACCAAAAATAGAAACAAAAAAAATGTACCTTATAGGGTCTGTATCATAAAATTGCCTTGACTAACAAAATTCTACTACCTTAAGCAGGTTGATTTTGAATGTCACTAAAGAGAGCCAGCTACTGTAACAACATCTAATCAAGCTGTCAAGCTGGATGCCTAATTCAGTGATAATAGAATGAAGCAAAAAACAGATTTTTGCCACTAAACACAGATGGGTGTCATGAAATAAATTAATACGGTTGTATTATATTATTTGCTTCTCTAACATTGTTGGTTAAATCCTACCCACCTTAATGCATCAGCCCCATACTTGTTGACAATTTCCATTGGATCAGGATAATTCTTTTTTCTCTTACTCATTTTTGCTCCATCCCTGCCAATCATACAAATCAATACAAAAGTTATGCTGACAAAGAAAGAGAAAAAAGCAAACAAACAAACCAAAGGAATGATTATTTACTAAATAGCCTCTGAAAAGGGTAAGGCAAGCGGGAAAAAAAGGTTGACTCACGCAGCAAGAACCAGTCCATTGACAATAAGATTTTTGAACGGTGGCTCATTAAACAAAGCAGTTGAGATAACCAGCAATGTGTAAAACCTGCAAAATTAAACATTGTGAAGTACTCAGTATAGCAACAACATTTACAACTAAACAAGTTATAGAGTACAAGATATTTCAAATTAAATTATCTTACCATCCTCTTGTTTGATCAATTCCTTCAGCAATGAAATCAGCTGGAAATGATTTTTCAAACTCCTTTTTATTTTCAAATGGGTAGTGGGACTGAGCATAAGGCATACTGCAAATAAAAAAGTTTGCACCAATCATTCATTCTTGTCACTTAGTCATATTGATCAGACAATAGAAAAAGAAAGACCCTTTCATCTACAATGTTATTACATCAAAAAAATTTTCCAAGTACTGAAAATGGACAGAAAGGCAATCCTTGCAGTAGTTAAAGCCATAATGAAAAATATTGCACAAAAACACCAAAAACTTATCAGCTCTTGTTTTTTTGTTGTTGTTACTATCATCTTGCAATGCTTTCACCAAAATTGTGACATCTCCCCTTGCTTCTTATGGTCTGATCATACATACAGAATTATTTCAAGCAACAGAAAATGCATTGACCACACAGCAGCGAATTGTGATCATCACAGTACAGTCTGATACTACAGTACCTTCCACTTTCAAACCAACAGTCAAACACTTCAGTCACTCTCCTTAAAACTCCTCTGTTTGTTTTTGATGGGATGGTGATGCTGTCAACACTGAAAAGTAAGTCACATAATGTTATATGAAACTTGTTTATTATATAAACACCAATGAAATACCAGGTCAGCTTTCGCGCGAAAACTTGATATCTTCACATGTGAAAATACCATGTTATCTTTGCATGTGAAAATATCACCGTTGCTATGGTTTCATAATAAACAGCGCCTTCTGACCAAAAAACGATTTTAGTAAAAGGGTTTGGTATTTCATTGTTGTTTATATAGTAAATAGAACATTACATTGTCGATTGGAGATACAAGATTTCTCTTCTCACGTTGAAAAAAGTATTTCACTCGTTCACTGTGCTCACTCTTGAAATATTTTTCAACACTCAAAGTGAAATTTCGTATCTCCCCGCGGCCATGTAATATCCTTTATAACTACAACATATATGTTGCAGGTCAGGGTATATATGTTGCAGGTTTAAAGTTTTTTCTAAAATCAAAGTAGACCTGTACAATATACATACACTGAAGGGGGTATAAATGAATATAGGCAAATACACATAGTGTTAAATTAATACAAACTACTTACTCCATGCCATTCTAATAAAAAATGACCAATCACTCATGATACTATATTGGGGTTAGGGATAGAGATGCCCTTAAGTGTTCTTCTCATTTCTTTTCTTTTTGATAGTTACTTTTAATTAGTGCTACAGGACACAATTTAGTCTGGCTCTGAGACTTGGTGATACTGCTTAATGAATTCTTTTTAAATTTGTAAGCTAATGACAGCCACACTATTCATGTAAATACATCAATTTATTTTGATATCTGATAAAACAGATTAAAAATTGCTACCGAATACTGTCGTGGACCTGTTATGAAAAGTACATTAAATTACAAGATATCAAAGACTAAATAAAATGAATATATAAAATGACTACAGAAACCGAATTTAAACACCTTTCTCTATGTAGATCAGTGACTCTCACTCCTGATAACTCTGCCAACTCATCAATGGATCCAACACAAACAACCTGTTGATTCATAAAGGAACAGTCACTGTTGCGCTATTTACATCACGAGAAGTTGCTACAGAAAGAAAATTTTACAAATAAGTTTGACATATTTGCCACAACAGATATGCACATTCAACCACGTAAAATGCAGAACTGGTTTAATGCTGAACATACCTCTTCAAAATCATCGCTGACCCAAAGAGGAATTGGTGTACCCCAGTAACGATTGCGTGACACATTCCAGTCATGAGCATTTTCAAGCCAATTGTGAAAGCGCTTTTCCTGCACAAATTCTGGAACCCTACATGAATGGAGGAACCATAGGAGACACGGTTTACAATGTAGCAAACAAGTCTGCCTGTAATCTATGCAGATTTAGCTAATTAAATAAAGAAGACTTTACCGAAATTACTCCACACTGTTGATTACATAGTATTTACACAATGAGAATAATAAGACAGCAAGAAGAATAGGCACACTAACGTACCAGTAAGATTTCTTGTTATTGACCAGCAGTTTGTCCACAAGAGATTCAACATGAATAAACCATCCAGGAACAGCTTTGTATATCAGTGGTGTGTCAGATCTGCATTAAAAAAACCAGGCAGTTCTCACCATTTGGCAGCATTTTCACATGGCACAACTATTATTTTAATTATTTCAACATTTTTTGGCAAAATAATTTCTTTTTACAACTCTGTGGCTTACAATCTAGTTAAAGCCAGATTGTGCAAAGTCACAAGCAAAAGTGGGAGAATTTTAACCAATTAATATACTTGCGAACAAGCATTCTAATTGGTTTAACCTCATTCTTCTGCTTCTGACTCTGCCAATCTGGTTTTCACTTAATCATATGCAGAGTTGGAAGAAAAACATTCTGATTCTGTCAGGCTTATGACTATGATTAAGACTATGGCTACAACTGGCTTAAACAAAAATCGGCCACACCTCCAACAGAATGGATAACTGTGTTTATGAGTGCTTTGGTGTACTAGGCTGCCTTGCTGCTTCAGCCACTTCATGATATTCTTGTCAGCATCCTACCGTCAAGAAATAAGTCACATTACAATCATAATGTGTTATGTATCAGTTATAGAATCCCCATTACTTGGGGCATCCTTACAAAACATTCTGTCCAAAAAATAAATTACCAGTGTGTGCACCATGCATACTGGCCAGGCTTATATACCTTGACATGTTGTCCTTTGAAATCAGACACATCGTCGGTGAATTTTCCACTTGGATCCACTGGACAAGGTATTTTGCTCCCTTTCTGCAAGATTCCATTGGCCAAACAAACTCTGTAATCGTCCTGGACAAAAATAGAATTTAAAAAAATATTTAGCACCACAAGCAGAGTCACAGAACCAAAAACAAACAGCTTAATTAATGCCACATATATAAAAAAAACATACAATAAAAAAACATCAATTTTACTATGACTGCAAGTTACACTAACCTCACCAAAGGCTGGAGCAGAATGGACAACACCAGTACCACTTTCATCAGTCACATAACCATCTACTAGCACCTTGAAAGCTCCTTGATCTTTAAACTAAAAAGACAATGATAACAATCAGTCATGACTATAACCTTCTACACTACCTTACATATTAACACGGTCAGCAGTCAGTGATGATGATGGCCGGGTCTTTTGAAGCTGGCTAGTATAGTTTAGTGTTATTTGTTACCTTTTTTGTGTGTTTAAATAATTTAGTTTTTCATGTAAGAGTTCCTGTTGGTGTCTTTTATTTGAATATGTCAAAGAGAGGAAAGAAGCAAGACGTGAATGATGATAGTTTTGAATCATATGTGAAGGACTGCCTTGAAACCATTCGACAGGATGTCAAAACCATGAAGACTAATCAAGCAAAAAAGACTTGAAATCCTTCGAACAATAACTCGAAAGAACTACAGAGTCGCTTAACCTAAACTTCGATACTCTAAACGGTGAAGTCCACATGGCCATGACCAGAGTTGACAAATTGGAAGATGAGGTCAGCAAGCTTGCTACTAATGTAAACCAAGCGTGCAAAAGGCTTCTATCATTGGAACGTTGCTCAAGAGATTTCAACCTATGATTTTACAACATTCTCGAGGACTCAAATAAGAACTGTATTGAAAAATAAAATTGAAGACCATACTATGTAATGATATGGGCATCAAACCCATGATAAAGAACGCGCATAGGATTGGGCGGCCGAGGACTGGCGCTTCAATAAATGACCTCAGACCTGTCATTGCCAAGTTTCTTTATTGACTGGAATGTCTTCAGGTAATCCAGAATAACACAAAGTGCATCTTCTCAGAAATTACCTATTCCCAACTCGAGAATTAATATTCAAAAGTTTTGCCCCCCCCCCCGTCGCTGGAAAATACTACTCCAATGATCTCCTCTTTCTATTCGCAATAAATCATTGAAACTTCTGTTCAAAAAGGCACTTAAAAATATTATCTTGCTCAATATTGAGTTGCGTGCGTGTGTATGTGTGTGCGTGCATATTTTTGTTTTAATGAATAACAAAGCTATAATAGAATAAAGTCAATCTTGTAACAGGGCCATAATTAGTTTTACTATAATGTGCCCATCTTTATTCTAATTTTTTTCTTGCAAACATTATGTACACGTAGTTTAAACAACCTTGTACTAATTAATATTGTACAACTGATGTATTATCTATTAGATGGAGTAAAAATAAAATACCAAAATATAAAATATATTTACATTCATCCTAAAGGTATTAGATTGGCACAGAATAAAATGGGTCTATAGGATCCTTATAGTAACTTTCAAACTTGAAACAGGTAAGGCTAAACATCGTTCATAATTTCTTTCATCAAAATAGCAATAAAAATTTACACTCACATCTTGGAAGTAAGTGAAGAGAGGTTTGTAGGTCTTTCCTTTCAGGGATGCTCCTTTAAATCTGTTAAAGCAAATAGTTTTTATAAATGACAAAAAATTACGAGTAAAGGGTTCACACTGTTTCGAGCTCTTAAATTCTCTGTCTTCTTATTACATTTTCCAATTTTCCATGACCTTTAGTTTATGTGGCTGCCATCTCTGAAAATGTTTCCAAACTATGTTTGTTTATTACTTGGTTTCACACATGCAACCTTTTGGGTTCACTTATGCATGCTGTTGAAATTTCCAGTGATTAATCCACCAAGCCTATTTCATGTTCCACAACTTCCTATGACCAACAATTAAATAACCATGACTTTCATGCTTGGAAAAAAAATGCTTTTATTTTCATGATTTTTTTTAACCAAGCACCAACTATCTACAAAGCACCAAGCCTGGGCCTGATCTTGAAAAATTCATGGTATCTTTGCTATACACCTTTCAAGTAGTAGATTTTCAACAAGAATTGAATGATTTAATACAGTTTTCCTGTTTTCAGCAGTAAATATCAAAATCCACCTAGTAGCAAGTTGTCATTTTTTTGCTGTAACATAATGCAAGAAATACTACATGATGTTCTGCTGTAATTGTGTCTTATAATGACTGCAAACCTTTCTATTACAGTATACTCCTCAGGTTTTTTGAATAAAGCATCAAGTCTAGCTTCCATCATAATGTAGGTATTTTCTGTACCATTGTCTGCAAGTATCAAGACAAGTTTCATAAAATTAGCGTTCCCATGTTACTAACCTACGACTTTCCAGTTTATAAACCTGTTTTAAGTTTTGGTATCAAGGATGTACCATGTAGTCAAACTAAAACTTCAGCTCTCAAGGTATTTCAAACACAATTGATTACTATTCAGTCACACCGATAACAATGTACAACCATCGATCTAGCCAGTATGTCCTCATTAACACATGATTCAGTGCTGTTGACATCATTATCAATGATATACGTGAGATGCATGTCACTGGCGTTCACCAGTTTGACAAACAATTTGGAAGGTGATTAATGGGTATTAAGAATAAGAGTGTAAATATATAATTTATATATCACCTTTCACTTTGACATAGTCCATATCAGGATTCACAACAAGAGCAAGGTTGCTAGGAAGAGTCCAGGGGGTGGTCGTCCATGCAATCATACTAACATCAGGATTGTCATCCAAGGGAAAGTGTACAATAACTACATTAAAATAAAAAAATAATGATTCTGAAAACAATAGCTAGTGCTTTATAATTGAAAGTAAATAACTGCCTCATGTTACAGTAATCTCTAAACTTGTTGTGCAACAGCTTTTAACTTGTCAACTTTTTTACATGTACCCATATTAGAAAAAGTCTTTTTTATGGGTGCTAGAACTTACAACAGGAAAATCTTTGACTCTGATGATTTTATTGACTTATAAGTATATTCATTGTTGTTGTTGTTGTTGTTGTTGTTGTGTCACTGTAACGATGTACTAACCAGAGGGATCCACAGTGTCCTTGTAATTTTGGTTGGCCTCAAAGTTTGATAGTGGAGTATTGCACCTTGTAGAATATGGCATGACCTAACAAGAACATATAAGAATAATATTGAAGTAGGAGGTAAACAGAAAAATAATGAAAAGTCAAAAGATCAGTTGTTTGTTGTGGTAAGCCCTCACCACTAAAAATACCACGTATACATGTACAGTTAAGAATAATTATACATTTTTTTAATTTTCTGACCAGAACTAACAATACCTTGAAACCTCTATAAACCAATCCTTTATCATACAGTTGTTTGAATGTCCACCTAAAGAAAAGATTTTGTCAATTATTTTGAAAACTACAACATATAGGGCCAGTTATTTAATCAGAGTTTAGGCAGTATCTAACAAAACCATGTTCTAAGCCATTTTCAGTTTGCCCAACACTTTTATCTTAACACTATTTATCAAGAAATGTTTCAAGACAGCAAAAGGCCAAGCCTGGAAAAGCACTTATTTTCTTAAAGTAACCCACTATGGAAGAGATCTAGAGGTCCAAAGATTTGATAAACGGCGGCCTAAAGTAAGACATCATTTAAATAACCGACCCATAATTTATATGAGCCTATTAAAGTTAGAAGGATTGCTTTACTTCCTGTGACCCAATGTACATACCAGACAGATTCCATAAACCAAGGATACAGCGTCTTGTAGTCATTCTCAAAATCAATCCACCGCCCCATCCTCTTGACAATAAACTTAAAGATAACAGAAAATGGTCATATGCAAATATCGTATCATAGGTTTTTTGGGGAGATCATGTAACATGAAAGGTAAAAATTAACTTCAGGCTGAGATTTTTTAACCTAGGTTGGTTCTCAAGTTCCTTTGTCTCCTAATTCATGAATAACCAGAGCTAGGAGACAACAGAAATTGAGAATCAACCTTTTAACCTGAATTAATAGCTTTGACCTGTAACGGCTATACTAGAAGAAAAAAACCTGGACCAAAAACAACACAAGCCAAACAGAAGTGACTGAAATTAAGCTCATCAGTCCCATTTTAAAACCGCGGACACCAGGTAGCAGAAGGTTCTTAAAAGTCCATATGCAGGCAATGTATGGGTGTCTTGAAAACAAAGACCCCTGAGACCCCCTAAGACCCCCCACCGAATGACTCTGAACTATAATGACGTAAATGGAACCTGATTCACTCAATTTCCTAACCCTAATCAATAAAGTTCAGAGTCATTCGGTGGGGGTCTTAGGGGTCTAATGTTTTCAAGACACCCAGTGATGCACATGGCAAGTAGATGACACTCTTATGAAATATGTCCTGGTGAGACAAGTGCAAGCAGGTTTTACCACAAAGAAGTCAACACTGGCCAGTGTATTAAATATTAATTCACAAATATTACCTCCCATTCACTGGAATAACGCATCACAATTTTTCGGCATTCCTCATTGTATTGGGCAATTCCCATTTTTTCAACATCATCTGGACTCTACAACACAATGAATTAACAACATTAATACTCTAGCTTTTTTCAAAAAATTAATTTGTTTAAATACGATGTTATTCATGCTCCATTTTCTTCATGACTTGTCTCTTTCATGCTGATATGTAAGTATTGACCCTTGAGATGTAGAAATAGTTGGGCCTTGAGCACCTTTCTTAAAACTTTCAAATTTGCTCATTGGTTGATCTAATTCAATGTTGTTTTGTTATTTTAATATGAAAAAGAAATACAGACTTATTCAAACAATAACAAAATAGAACAGTTTACACATTATTCACAACACCCTATTTTTTGTTATGTGAATAGTAATAATGAAATATACCTTAATTCCCAGCTTCTGGTCAATTTCATATTCCTGTGAAAGGACAATAATGTCAGATAAAGCATTGTTGGTACATGTAATTATGTTGTACACCAGAAGTAGTCTATATAAAAGAGATACACTGAAAATATGAAGTTATGCAAGGTTCTCAGGATATTTTTTATCAAAGATCAATTTTCATGTTAACAGTCTATCAGTATAACAAATGTCTGAGCTAATTGCTGACACTCTTTGCTTACAGATACAGGTAACCCTATTATTCAAAATACCTACCAACATCATAAAAGTCACCTCGTTGCTACAGGTTCCCAGGGGTGAAAACTGTAAAAACCTTGAAGTGTTTGTTACTTACTACGACAAAATGTATTGAACAAAATTGAATACCATACCACAGGAAGACCATGACAATCCCATCCAAAACGCCTTTCTACATGATAACCAGACTGGTGGGCATATCTTGTCACAATGTCCTGTGTATAAACACAAAATTTATCAATATCATGTAATAAAGCTTCAACCAGTTTTACAGTGGAGTTCATGCCCCAAACAAACACCAGTAGGAGAGTTCTGTTAGTTAATTATTAATTTATTACAAGACAATAATTAACTTTTGCCATTTTCTTTACCTTAATAGTACCAGCAAGAATGTGGCCATAATGAGGCAAACCAGTGGCAAAGGGAGGTCCATCATAAAAGGAATACCTGGACAAAAGACAAAATATATCAACACTTTTAAAGTGTTGCATGGCACTTTCATAAAGACTTAAAAATACAGTGAAACCTCTATTAAGCAGACCCCCAATTAAGCGGACACCCTCTATTAAGCGGCCACTAAACTGGGTCCCTTTAAAATGAACCCCTATTCAGAGGACACCTCTGTGAAGCACACCCGGACACTAAAATATATTGTATTTGGCTAATTTCTATTGTTGATAACCTCTATTAAGCGGACATCGAACTGAATTGACAATAGTACTATTGGATTATGTCCTTGAAATACAAACAGTAGCCAATTAATAGAAATACATTTAGCTGTCAATAAACTGTACATTAAACCGAAAGTCTTGCACAAAGTACAGCACAGCTTCCTCAAAAACCTGCATGGAACTTTATCACAGTACAGAGTAACCGTTGAAAGTTAATCGTTAACAAACTGACTTGACTTGAACTGACAGATTGCAGGATATTCATATGCAAGAAGTTGATGGCAGATATGAGGAATGAGAGCCACCCCATATCTTTCTTAGCTCCGCAAGTTATGACAAGATCTATCCCATATCAGTTAAGATCAGGAAATACTAAAACCACTACAACAATGAAAAGGACAAAGAGGGAAAATGACTTTTTTTATTTTTAGGTTTTCTTGATTCCATTATTATTGTAATACTTACTATCGTAAATAGACTTAATTATTAGTATCCAATTGTAAATTGTACTGTTTTTTCAGTTTTTAACTGCCAGAAGTGTTAATAAACTATTATCATCATTATTTTTACATTGCACAATTTTTACCAGCCTCTATTAAGTGGACACCCTCTATTAAGTAGACACTTGGGAAGGTCCCGAAGGTGGCGGCTTAAAAGAGGTTTCACTGTATTCAGAAAAGTTAGTTTATACAGGGATCAGTTTGAGTTCTAAACCCTAACCATTATTTGTTATGCCACAACAACATTCATGAACAACAGCATACTAACATAGCTCTAATTTCAGACTAAACTCATGGCAGAAAAAAGTTTCTTTTTAATTGTGGATACTATTTAAGTAGAAAAATAGGCTGGTATTGGGGTGTGCAACATTAACCTTTTTCCCCCTTTTTCATCCCCCAGAGAAAGGTATGTGTTGAAAACCAAAAGGTCGTTGCAAATGAACTTTACCACATTGTTTTTTAATATTTCTTTTAGTTTTCTTGCTATACAGATCAGTTTCCTGTTTTTCTAGTCAGTATTTATGATTTTTACTGATCCAGGTCTACATAAGATCTGGCACTCATCCTGGCTAGTGGTTTTTATTGTTGGATGTCATGTTACCATGAAGTAGCCAATGACAGCAAATGCTATCGAGGGAGAAAAATGACATCATAGGTGCCACCTACTTCCCTTTCAATATTGGGAATCCTGTAGCAATACAACGAAAAGAAATTTGGGTAAAATCAGGAAAATAATATCCTAGTTCCAGACCTCTCTCTACTAAGGAGAAGTCCACTCACCACTTTCATTTTTGTTTCCTTTGCGTTTCCGTGCATCAAATTCATAATTTTATACAAGAAAGCAAGATATACGCAATTCTAACCTCGGTTTATCCTTGGATTGTCGCAAACAAGTCTTAAAGGCATCTAACTTCCCCCAAAGTTCCAAAATTTTCTCTTCCTCTTTGGGAAAATCATGGTACTCTGTCCCTCCTCCACCTGCCATTTCAGGCTCCAAGTTTTGATCAATGTAGGAACAGTTTCGAAACAGAAATAGATTACAGGGGTTAAATTTTCGTGTACTGAACTGCAGAAAACCAGTAGTTTGTCGAGGAAGAAACTTCCTCAACATCACATGGGCCAACTATCCCAACATGCAATCATGCAATCATGATGCAACATCCCAGATCCCATAAAGCCTTTCGAGTTTAATCCATTCAAAATGGCGTCCAGTTACGTGAAAAGGGTAAGCAAATATAAATACTAGGAACTTTCTTGTTTTGATTTATTATTAAAAAGGTAGCAGACGAAAACTTGTAAGAAAAAAGATATTTACGTTCATTCATTTGTTGAATAAGGCATAATTTCTTTAATTTTATGAGCAAGCTTAAAGCCAAGCCTGATGATCGGGGATGCAGGATGAAAGTACTGTATATTTCATTTGCATTGGCTTACAAAATTATTTTGCAGCTGGTGGGAGGAGTGTGAAAAGTCTGGGATCGCAGCCTCTTACTAAGGCATTTTGTAGTGCATAAACTTACAGTTAAATAACCTTAATTTTTCAGACAACTGCTTTAGTTGGATTAACAGTTGCTAAAGCACCAAGAAAGGTATGAATAAAATCTCAATAATCTATCATGAATTAAATGCTCATAGGTTAGTCTCATGAACAGCGTATACTGATCATTCTCCGTAGAAATACCTAAACCATGTAAAATAACTTTTTAATTTCATGCAAAAAAATATAAAAATATTATTTACTATTATTACTTACTGTGTGTCTATTTCAAAGTCAAAGAAGTGTTCTCTAAGGGACAGTTAAATGTACAGTGTAGGACTGTTCGATTTGATGTGTAATTCTTTACTTACTTCTGATTTAAAAGACTCTTACAAAACTGTATAAAGATACCTTGGAGGTGCTTGGAAGTATGCCAAAAAGTGCTCAGTACCGAATAAATGCGGAACAAATCACTAAACAGAGACTAGGTCTTGTGGAACAGGTAAGTGTAAGTTAAACATTTGACTTTTGCATCTTGCTCTGGTGGCTTTAACAGTACAGTTGCATACTCAGTGTTGTCAAAAGTAGCCGGCTGTTGACGAAAATCGCCGCCTACTTGGTAAGTATCGGCCAGCTACTCTGCTTGGCATTTCTTTACAGATGGCGTGTTCTAAATAAGATATCCCTGGACTGGCCACTTACTTTAACAACTTAGCTGTCTACTTGAAAACTTTTCGACAACGGTGGTGTTAAAGTAAAGTTTTCTGAAGATGTTCTAAGCTTATCCTAACCAAGCTACATTTCAGTTTTCCTTTTCTTAGTCTTAAGTCAGGTTATCAGTGGTTTCAATTCAATCCTGTTGCCAGTAGTCTACTGCCCCCTATAGGGCCCTCCTACTGTCTTGTTACCCTGTGATTTACTGGTCCTTTTTAGGCTCATGTTGCTCACCTTGCAACAAATACTATTATTGTCTTGTTTTGTTGATGTTTCTTCATTGTTAGACGTCATTAAGATCAAGCTGTCAGAAGAAGGGTGTACCTGATAAGGAAGTTAAACTCCAATAGGCCATTTCCGAGTTCACCTGGGCCTCTGTATCAAAACGAAGTTAAGTGCTCAGCCTTTGATATGAAAATGATTTTTCATTCTCATGCAAATAAAACTCATTTTCACAAGAAAGGTTGCGCACTTGGCCTCATTTTGAAAGTGAGGGTTTTTGGAACTTGGAAGCGGCCTATTTAAAGGGGCCAAGTTTTTAACTGTTATCTGTGGCTTGTGGTCTTTGCTATTGACAAAAAATGATTACCCATTAAATGTGTATTTGTCTTTAGGAGAGCGACATACCTACACTGGAAAACAAACTTGGAGCTGGTCAAATTGAAGAAGTAATTAAACAGGTATTGGATTTGGAGGTCTCTTTAGAACACTGATGTAACTGACACCACTAATCTTGCAGCTTGTTTAACAGAAATATGCTTACATTGTCATTGTTTTCAATAAGAGTGCACCAAATTTGCATTTTGTGTAATTAATAATAATAATAATAATATATTTTTTTATTTTAAGTATATACATATTCTAAAGTGCTAATAAAAGCTGACAAACACCAATACATAACAAACAGCTTACCGGTACTCACAGAGGAAATGAACATAAAACACTGCAATCACTGTACATGAATAGACCATTTGCATTAAGAGGTCATGGGACCTCATGAAAGTTGCCTGATTTTGCCTTTGAAAAACGATTAGTGGGTCATATCATAAAAAAAATAATAGTGATTTGGTTTTTCAAACCTGCACTATTTTCTTAAAACGAGTAAGTTTGTAGCTGGTCACATAACCAAAATGTGATTTTTAAAATTATGAATTACCTCTTTCTGAACACAAATTTTGCACTTAAACTTCAAGGAAAATGTTGAAAGATGATGTGGTAACGTTTACAGCACATCTGAGCATAAATATCAAAGGTTTAACAACATGGCGGCCTATACAAATCATACTACTTTGTTGAAAAATCAAAGTGCCATAAAATGTCTCCCTTAAATACGTTTCCTCTTACATTTTGGATGTAAGATAATTTTTATGTGCTCTATCAGTTTTTGGCATCATCAAGATTCCAACTCATTGTTTAAAGGAAGCATTGGTTAGGTGATCTCTTAGTGCAAGTGGCCTATTGCTTCATTGGGCAAATGCCAAAGGAAATAAAAAGGTCTTTAAAGCCTGCTTTAAACCCTGAACACTCCAGATTCTCCTGATAGCTCAAGGAAGAGTGTTCCACAGTGAGGGGCCAAGAAGAGCGAAGGCCCTGTCTCCAAGGGTCTTGCACTTTGTTTTGGAGACCTTTAATTCCTTGCTGGTAATGGATCTTAAACTGTACGAAGCACCCTCCTTGAAACTTAGAAGCTTCTTCACGTAGACAAGGGCAACACCAAAAAGATCTTGGTGGATGTATCCTTGAGAACTTCAACATTTCATTTTAGTGCTTTTAAAACTACATGTACCTTTTTACCCAGGTTGGAAAGTTCACCAGGTTATCAACAGAATCACTCACAGTCCTAAGTTGTTCCAAGTTCACTAATTGTCTCTTATTTTTCATTGGCATTTTCCTTCTGGAGCCAAACATTAACTATGCCTTGTTTATCGCTGTTTTGTTGTATCAAAATAGTAGTCATAGAGGTTTTTTAATTGTGCTGCTATTTTATATGTTTAGGCAGAAGATGAGTTGTCATTAGCTAAGAAAATGCAAGATTGGCAGCCATGGGAAGCCTTACAAGGCCCCCCTCCTGAAAACCAGTGGACATGGCCATAAATACTGGAGCTGCTATGTGCAATAAAGCTTTTGATTTATGAAAAGAGAACAAAAGTGTTGTTGCAAGATTGAAAATGTTATTTTTGTACTGAGTGGTTTTAAGTTGTTGTTGTATGATGGCTTCTTATATGATATGGGCTTAACAATAATTAGGTGATTGGCTCTTCATAACCATATTGTCTTTTTTTGCTGTGTGGACCTAAAATTCAGGTTATACTTTGCTTGTAAATAATGTTTTTGTTTGGGCTTTACCCACAAATTCAGTCAACTGTTTACAATAAATGAGAACATAATTATGATGGTGATGATTTTAACAAAGTTATATCTGAATGGTAATATTTTTTATTTTCATGCTGAGTTGTTGCCTTGAAATCCATATCAATGGAATTTGCGCCTATTTTCTCATGTTATGAAACATTTTAAAGCCACACTTTTGTTCAGTATGACATGCCACACATGCAAATACTGTCATGGAAACATAACTCTGAGTCGGCTGATAATAAGGTGGAATACCCACAGGTGATGTAGGAGGAAAAGGAAACAAAAATACAACAAAAAATAGATGCTAACATTAAGCTCATGTTGAAAAGAAATAGCATTTTGTGCAATGTACATATGAACTGATTTATGTTCAAAAAACTCTTTAATTATCATTGAACATTTAAATTTTCACAATTTAGACTCCTGCAAAAACATGTTTGTGATTTGCAAATACAACCTTTTCCATAAACACATTTATTGGTCTTTGTTATGACTACAATGCAGAAAATTTTTGCAGTCATTAAAATAGTGATGTGGTAGTCGATTTCCAGATAAAGGAAAATAGAACTTTAAAACTACAACTTAAGTCAAACCCCTACAGATGACACCTCTTGTTCCTTAGGTCATCACTTGATCATGAAGAGACCAAACTGTAATATGAACAAAACATTTTGTTCCTCTGGTGTCTATATTAGGAAGCCAGGGGTGAAGCCACTTGTACACATGATATGCACATGCATACCTGAAAAAGTTGAGAATAAAAAAATATATAATAATATAAAATAAAAAAGTGAATTATCTGGAAAAAGCAAATAAATACATTTAAAAAGTACCAAATATATTGATTCATCATTTATTTCAATGTGCTTGTTTCTTTGAAATACAAAAAACAAAAAACTTTTTCTTTTCTGAACCTAAATGTCACTTTCCAGAGAAAAATGCACAATTTACTGGTGGACTGATATATTTAAACAAAAAAAAGAAAAAAAAGTGCATAGATAGCAGCAAACTGGATACCGTATATAAGGCATGAAATTGTTGTTGTAACAAGGGGCGTTAGAGGAATTTGGTAAATTCTGTGTACCTCTGTAAAAATCCTGGCTTCACCCCTGGAAGCTTCAATAACTTTGAATATAAGGACTTGACGCAGATATAAACTTCACCTTCAGCAAGAACTAAAAACCACAAACGTTTTTACTGATGGTTGAAAATGTTTATGAGAACTTATACAAAAGGTGTAAACTCCATTTAGGTGCAGCAAGCATTCATTTAAAAATTATTTGGTACTAGTGGGAAAAAAAAAGAACACGAAAACCATTCAGATGGAGTGTGCAAAGAGAATCTGAATGGTTTTCATGCATTTCCCTTCCTCCAAAACATTATTTGGGTAACTGCTAGCTGCAAATAGAGCATTAAAACATCCAGCTTCAACCCTCCACCCAGGAAGTTCTCAGACTATTTATCTGTTGAACTAATCACAAATACTGTAAGAGTAGCTGGGGATTATGGTTTTGATATAGTCATTTCATGTTTGTCCCTTTGTTCTTTGCCGTTAATCTGTACCATCATTTTCTTCCTCTTTGTCATTGTATGGTATGGGCTTGAATAGCTGCCTAAAGTGAGTTGTCAAAGGACGTTTAGTGGCTCTGTTACATTGTCGAGAAGTACCAGTTGCATGTGATAACTGACATAAGACTCTACTATGACCAGTGTTATACATTGGTGTGTCAATATGTGACCTTATTGGCTTAGCACTGATGGTATGTCTCTCTGGGGTATTAGAGCTACAGATATTTGCAGAACTAGTGACTGAAGGATGAAGAGCTGCAACATCAGCTCCTTTGATTAGAAAGGAAGGTGAACACATGGTTTGTACTCTGGGTTTATTGAAGCTATGGTGTTCTTGATTGAGTGAATCAGAGCTCTCTTTGATTATTTCATTGTCATAAGGCTGCTCAGGTTCCAACTTTTGGATAGAAGAACAAGCACCACTTGTGTCTTTAGTAGGAATGTTATCATCCTCTGTAGCTGTTAATTCAGCCTCTTCCTCACAGTCTGACAGGGACAATGGGCTGTTGCATACTGTTTCTCTTTCATCATCTGAGGATGGTGGACTTGGTACCAAAGTAGTCTC